TAGTGATAGATTTAATGCTATCTTTTCTCTGTTTCCTTCATTCAACACTGAGTAAACTTTACGAAATTTTTTTAACCATGTTTGACCTATAACCTTTATATGCATTCACTTAACTTCTTATATCCTACGTAACTAAAATAACACCATTGATTATGTCATTCAGTTTCTTATACTTGATTTACATCTATTGCTATGAATAAGTCATATTATTCTTGAATTTTTCCTGCAGAATATTTGACTCTCTTATTTTAGACAATGAAACATTGACATTTTCTCCTAACACCTTCAGTTATTTTCTATTATTATTATCATTGTTATTGTTATGACGATTACTTTATAAAGGCTGCTTTGGAAATACTATTATTAACGATTTGTACATAATGTTAGCGATCGATTACATCATGATCTGTCTGGCTCACTTAATTTATTCGTTTATAAATTAAACTTGTGTATTTATCCAGAAATAATTACGACGGTTATTTATCATTACTGAGTTGTGAAGATTGTTAAGTTACACATTTGAAATCATGAATCGATCAACGTTAGACCGCCATTAGAAACCTGGAAGCATTGGACAGCCGTTTCTTTCTGGTATAGGACTCATTAGCTGTGCGCATCCACTCAGGATTTGAACTCAGGACCTTCAGTCTTGTGTGCGAACGCTCAACCTCTGGAGCACTGAGCTGGTATCCATAGACTGTATGACTTTAAACGCATGTGTAAAATAGAAATTATTCTATGTGTGGATAATTCATTGCATACAAAATGCTGGAAATTCATTTCATTTCACAATGTTGCTTATTTTAAACGTAATCATAATAATAAAAAATTAGATGTTTTAACTAAATCGGATAATCCCTTGATTTACAAACAATTACTGCGATGGTTATAATAAAGCTTACTGTATTCTAAATAACAGACAAACCGAATGCAAAAATAACTTCTATAACGTTAAATAAAAAGGATTAAAAAATAAAATAATGATTGTTATCATTTAACTAGTGTATAGAAATAAACAAAAGAAAAAGAGATGAAGAAAAAAACAATGAGATGCAATAAACCAATTTGGTATATAGTGCAGTGCACTGTATGTACTACAAACACAAGTGTAGTTTTCTTTCCATTTGTTATTGTCATATGAAAATGGGAAACGATCATAAAAAATTTCTTAAAGAAAAAAGAAGTGGATACAAACATTTCAAAAAAGAGAAACAATCGATACCTTAGATAATATTATTTCATTGTCCAAAAAACAGCTTTGAATAAATAAAGATAAAAATTCACCAACTAATAACTATAAATAACGATTGGTGAGTTTGCAGTTTACGAATTAACTTATAAGACTTAAGATGGCTGCTCTAGTATTTTGTCTAAATAGCATTTTTGATGAAGTCGGTTAAATAATGACTCTCAAACATAACTTCAAATCCTGACTCATATTCTGAATTCCTCACATTAATTCATATCGTTATTTTGATCCTATTGGGCAGTTGAAATCACCCAAGGTCACTTCAGGTCAACCATAAATTATAGTCTCGCTTAATCATTTTGCGAAGGAAATAAAATTTTATTTATTAAGAAGAGGATAATATTATCGACTAGTGAGGAGTATTGTTTGAATTCTATTCTAACAAAAGTTGAAATGAGAATTTTCATGATATTCAGTTTTCTTGTTATTTGGTAATTTGTACGAACTCGTATAGAGTCAGCCTAGTACTGAAGGTGTGCTATGTAGTAATCTTATGCAATAGTTAGTCCCACTCTGAATTCTCATATTCCCAAATATCAATTTTTGTGATAAATCTTTAATTTCCTCTAAACCTCAAAATCAACAAACGCGTTTTGCCATATTACATGCTGATGCCTAAACGTTGAGTATATATTTAATAAATAATATGAGATGAATATGTTCGTCATTATTCTCCAATAATAGAAACCATAGAAATTGTTTGATCTGCTTATTAATATTTTAATTTGAATGAGAGTAATCAGGAACCACAAATGAATTCCTAAGTTGTTCAGAAAATCCAAAAAAAATCATTCTTCTCACAGGCAGGTATGGACTAATAGTTAAATCCAGAACTCACATTTCTTACTATCTGGGTCAAATATAGGCCTAAACCTCAATGAAAAGTTTCAAGCAACCAATACAAATGAGTTTTATTTTTAGTTCATATTGATTAGAAATACCTGCAAATGTAACACCTGACTTAATAAACGTCTGTTAATCACTCATTTTTTTCAAACTAGCGTAAACTCCATACAACATCCTTCCCATAATAACTAAGGTAGTCGTCATCTAATGACGTTGTACGTAAATCATATCTTGTTATATTCTTTCCCTATTCTACAATTCAGCTTATGATTCAAATGTAGATTGAGAAGAATTGATATAAAATTTACAAGCTCTATCTTATGATGTTTGTAAGGTTTCAATGAACAAAATACTATTGAAGCAATTGTCCAAAACAAAGACTACATGATAACCGTTCTCTTTGAAAAGGAAATATTTCTGTTAATTTATGTATCAAGCACAAAATATATCAGTAAAGCTTGTACTTATGTTAAAAAAAAACTTAGGTGATACTTCTTAACTGAAGTTTTGTATGATGTAAATGCCAACCTTCTTTTCAACATACATAATTATTATCTATTTATTCACTTGAAGTATAAATATTTATCTTAAATAAAGTCAAAATAAAAGCATGTATAATTTGTGAAATAATTTCTGATCATTAACGACCATATGTAACAAGAATAGCTAAAATAATATAACATATGGCCTTGTCAGTATTATTGATAATTAACAATTACGCTACATTAACTAATCATGATTATTAGAGTAGTTCCGAAAAAAGATTTATTTGACTTATGTATCATAATAATAATGGAGTAATGAAGATAGAGTTTTATGCTGCTAGAAGATTAGTGTTATTACAATATATACTAGTGAAGATGAGATGAGGCTACGGAAGGAAACGGTGGCGTGGATAAATGGTGTTCTAAAATTCATAAATTGATGAAGAAGTCACGGTATGAGGATATCTGCTACACTTCTTACAACCTAAAAGCCTGTTCACATCGCCCTACCATTCATTGATGAGTCAAACAATCTAATGTTAAAAAAAGGTTGAAATCAGTTGTTAGTTAAACATGCTTCGCCAAAACGCTTAATAATATGTAAAGAAATACTTTACATATTTATATATATCCCTCTGTGCTCATCAATTCGCACATGTGTATGGCCACACATACAAACGGAATAGTAATCACGAACCACTGTATATGTGCCAAAATATCTATAGAAACAAATCAGAACAGGTGACCGAATAAGCAAGTTATAAGATTGGTCTTCATTCAGTCTTTGTGGTTATGAACGTAAGTTATCCAGAGCATATACTAAGATTTATTCAAACCTTTGCCATACAAAGTTCAAAGTACCTTTAAGTATTTAAAAACTGTTCGTTCTCCCCTAAACCTACTCCGCTTGTTATTTCCCATTGTCTTTATTATTTTTGTTTCCTCTTACGCTCCGAATTTGTCTAGTTGACCTTTTATTTTTTTAACAAGTCTTGATGTGGTCATGATTGTTCGAAATATGTTGCGTTAATATATTTGTTAGCTCTGATATTCTTCATCTTCTTGGTACACTACCTAAGTTAACCAGTGAGATTATATGTTTTAAGTAAGTTCATTATATTTCCTCACTGACTTAGACTAATATTCAATAGCTTAAATAATCTCAGAATTTTATCAAGTTTAAATATATTTTACTTTAATTAAAGCAGATCAATTGATATTTCATATAAGTTTGATTTGTCAAAGTAGTTTCATCCAATAACCCAAGTAAACAGGTATATGTGGCTATATCGATGGTGCTTAAAAACATAAACTGTGAGGAAGTATTAAACGATTAAAAATGTTGTTATCCTGTGCTCCAGATTATTCATTTTATTTCACACGGCGTCATTTGTTCATGAAAACAATGTTGGAATTTATTGCTAAATATTGTTAATCGATGGTAGAATCAAGAAACTTGAGAATATAACTGCTGTGAATAAATCAAACGTCTTTCGGTAGAGTTTACTGTAACAGAATAATATCTAGTAAAATATCGATAATATATGTATCACAAACAACTGATATGATTTACATTTTCGATCGTTCTAAAGATTAATGTTAATGGATTCGGTCATCCTCTAGTAACAAGAATATCCTATATAATTTAGATTCGCAAGAAATAAGTCAACACCTAGACAATGCTGGGATAATATTTATTTTTCAAAATGAGCGCTTTACGCTCATATCTGAACAATCAACTTTTTCATATCTCTATAGATTTTCCTCAGTTAACGTATTCCTATAATACAATTATGTTGATTTTTTATCATTGAATTTTGATAGTATTTCCAACAGTCTTTACATATACCATGCTGATAATTTGTATTTTTCTCAATCAATATTTCAACATCAATAGTCAATGCTTTTAACTTCACTTTTGTTCGCAGTTAAAAATGAGAAACTTCTAGTTAAAAATTTTAATCCAAATTTATGAAGTTAGAGCATATTTTTAGCTCAGAAATGCGTACCTTATGCTCTAGTGTTTTAATGAATGTGGAAGATTTTGACAACAGTTTTAACCTAAAACTAATGTAAATCCTATATTGGAGATGGGAGCGTTTTTACTAGTGTGTACATATTGTATGCTTTTTCAAATTTTTTATGGTACTCATAAAAAGAACAAAATAAAACCTCAATATATCACATGTATTTTTAACCAGTAACGAAACACGAGTTGTTTAGTAATAAAATGAGTTTTTTTTTTAACTAGTCTGCACATTTCTGATATCGTATTTCAGGTAGAAATGTTCCGTATTCATTCATAGTTTGTCATGTAGAATTTTTAAATATCAAAAATATTCCTATTAACTGACAAGAAATAATGTTTAATAGACCATATAATATGTAATTCAAATTGTTTATTTTTACAAATATTTTAGAATTTGGACGTACTTATCAATTTGAAGTGGCTGCTTACAATGGAGTCGATCTCGGTCTACCAGCCCAGTTAAATATCAGTACACCTGAAGATGGTAAGACTGACTTTATTTTTCTCTATTCTTATTGTTATAAAACCAGGAAAGTTATTTGAATTGATTTATATTACTGGTTGACAGTTTGAATAATATCACATGATTGTATTTCATTTCAAGCATTTCTAGTAAATATTCATATTTCGTATTTTGAAGGTTTCCTACTGTTGCAACTATACTGATTTGTTTATTAAATCTCCTTCAGTGTACTTAACTATACACGTGTGTCTTACTGATAAAAATCTTCACTGACAAATCATACCGACCAACAAGATATTGTTTCGTAAAAACCGTTAAGCCATTTATTTTTTTCGTGCTTTACAAACAATAATGTAGGTAGATTGTCACATTACTTCATACACTTTAATATGTAGTACGTCATCATGGTGTTCATGTTCTGTTCGAATAATATTGTTAGGTTCGTCACCAAGTATGCCTGAAACTATTGCGGGTTCACCTTAAACGATAAACGAGAACGAGACAATGAACCACAGTCCAGGTAGGCTACCCTGATCTGTTGACTAATGAGAAGTTTTGATTTAGCAATGAAAAGTATATTCTACGAACACCCAGCAAGCACAATGCATTCAAGCATACAAATCTCATTTATTTGTGCAATAATAAAAACGTTCTTGGGACAGTTACAAAAGTAGCGCACTAAAATACACAGCAACCAATCACAGCCAAGGATTTTCCTAGTGGGAAATGAAATCTCAAGGTCTGATTAGCGCATGGTTGAGAACGTAAAATCCAAATTAAGGCATTTATCAGGCGAGTTCTGGAGATCTAACATCCACAACAAATATTTAGAAAAACTATTATATTTTATCAAGTTGTTTTTCCATTATTGTTAAAAGTACATTTTTCTCAATGTAAAGAAGAAAAGGATCTGTTATTTGTTTCCATTTACTCGTTGAAATGTTTTTCTTCAGAATTTAGCTGACTTAGGAATAAGTTAGACAAAAGCCAAGGGTGCTCAAACCATATTAACACCTCAGTCCATAAAGCCACTAACTGTCCAGGCTATCTGGTGCAGTTTACAAAATCATTATCATCATCGGATGGGAATGCTGGTGATATGGTGCATAATCTGTCACATTTATTGCTTTCTTTCCCTTAGATTTTAAGTTTCAAAACTATTCAGTGCCATTCACTCTGTAACCTCATTCTTTCGAATCATGTTATTTTACTGTGCTACTACCACTGCTAATACTACATCTAATACTTTGATATTCATCTTGATAGTTTCATCGTTTTGTGTCACTATTGTGTGTTAAACTTGTCAAGTTAAATGTTGCTTATAGCTGGCATATTTCTCAAGGCGTTATGTTAACATGTGCGTGTCGTAATTTCCATATACAACTTTCCTAGGATATTTATATCTTTATTCTCATTTACTTACTTAACCACTTACTTAAGCCTGTGAGTCATTAGATCCATATATTTTCCAAACTCTTTTGACCATTCAAACTTTTAAGAGATGAAAAAGGAAAGGGAACTAAGCCCGACATGGAGTTTCAGTCTAATATTTCAAGGTTACGTAATAATCAATAGTTTTTAGTTTCATGTCTGTAATCGGAATGATGCCTCGAAATAGATCGATTTCATAAGTTTGAAAAAAATATATGTAAAAATACATTCATGTAAAAATTATCTTATCACGAAAAAAATATGACCAAAACAAAGGCACAGGCTCATTCAAGATATAGGCAGAACCTAGGCAAAATGTTAGTTTTTGCAACGCTGTCTTCTTGAACACTCTATGAATATGTAAGTGACTCATTTTACAATAAAACAGATCTACATATGTCAAGTATGACAAAATCTAAGTGGTACTTTTTTAAGCCATCACAGACTCATTCAGATAAGATTAGTGATCAGTTAAAATACGGCTTATAAACCAAATAAAAGTGTAATTTCCTGGAGAGTTATGAAACAATGGTCGCACATCTACAATACATCTATAATACACTCAGTCGATATCAACTCGAATACCACGTATTAATGGAAGATTAAAAAGTTGTATATTGATTTGTACAAGACAAGTGAGTTGATATGCTGAAGCTAAACATGGTCAAATAATATTACTCAGTAGTGTGCATCACTACAGTGATAGGCTGATTTTAACAGGTAATTATTTTAGTCTATCAACATTTTTTAGGCAGTCATCAATACAGCTTTTAAGTTTATTTTTCAAACCTTTCAAACATAGTGATGTAAATTTGTGATTGCTATTCTTTTGCTTAAACGTAGTTAAGAAAGTTATCTTTAAACTAGAGCACAAAAAGATTTCAATTGATCATATCCTTCTTTGGTATTGATTATTGATTTTGCTGCACATTTGTCTAGACAAAATGTGATTTCCTGACAGAAAATCTCTCACCGAATGGTTAATCACTGTTTAATTTAAACAAAAGAAATTGATAATGACAATATTTCCTTTTGATAACTTATCCCAAAATTCTAACTTAATCCTACAATGGGTACAAGTTTGTTCTTCCTTGTTCAGTTTAAACATTTGTTTCTCACTTAAATTTGATCACACAATTTATGATTAAAAAATGTATATCATGGAAATTCGTGGAAATGACAATTTTAAATTGTTTGTAATAATTTTTTCTTTAATAACCGGATGTAATTAATAGTCGAATATAATTATTGTTCTTTCCCATTGTCTATCAGAAACTAGGATTACCAAACAAAATTACACATGTTTTGACAATATGTTTTAATGAATAATTCCCAGATAACTTGTACTACAGAATATCTTCAGTTGGATGAACAGTGAATATAAGAAAATTTTCAGGCAGCTCTTCTATCCGAATATGTAACTAAATAAATGTACACATTTATGATTTCTGTGGAGAGAAATTTATCTACGAACTGAACTAGTCTAAACAAAACTGTCAGTGAAACAATGATCATTTGTTATTTTATTGACAAGTTCGGAAATGTATTCCACACAGTGGTGGGGAAAAAGTTAGGCCTGGTAGAATTTGACTATGTTTAGAAATAAGCAATTTTCTAAATATTATTTGGAAAGTACCAATTTAAGATTCTCTATTCGACCTTTTATATCTGATGTCAGTTTCGAAATCATTTCAGACCATCTGCATGTGTACTAGCAAATTATTACAAAAAAAGAAAAAATTAAAGGCATTCCTTGATTGTTTCCGTAAAATACACAGATAAATTTCTAAGGATAAATTTTAAGGACTGTGTTTCACTATCCATTTTCATCTGAAATACATCATTGCGTTTCTTAAACACAATTAAATTATTACAAATTTTGGTGATATCCCAATGAGTTGAAATTCGTGTTTCTGACGTTTCATGACTTAATGCATGTCATCTTCAGAGTAAATCATTAAATAATCGAGATAAATCGACGGAAGTTTAAATGGTAAGAAGGAAACAAAGCAGAATATTTTTGATACAACCAAACCACAAGAAAATTCTTAGTGTTCTATTCATATTGCTCAATATGCATCATGTATCTTCCGACGAAATGTATTCACAAATGTACATTCACTTTAGAAAAATATCATGAAAGTATCGAAATTTCAGATAACCTAATCAAGTTCTTAAAATCCACATCAAATTATATGCTTTCATCTTTGACCTTTTAAATGAACGATAGACTCATTAGCTTCATACATCGAAATTGAGATCAATAAAAAATTTCAATAGATTGAAAAGATAAGAGAACAAAAGATGGTTCAAAATCTTTTAAACAGGACTTCTAATACTCATGGAATTAATCTATTAAAAAAGAGGATTGAATCTCTATGTATATAGAAAGGCTCTCAGTACTTTAGAAATCACCTTTATTCTAGAACCGATACTGGAAAGACTTTCACGCAATATATCATATATATTACGTCAGAATAAATCCCACATTTCGAGAAAACAAAAATGACTTCCATCTAATGTGTCCAGAGAAGAATCAAAAGCTATACGCTTCTTACAGAATGATTGTAGTTGCCACGGCTGACAAAAGTAATACAATGGTATTCATAAACACGCTATAATCATCACATTAATATGAAAAATATCGAAATAATTCAAAAAGGTTTTTACAATCATAAAGAGGTGAGTAGCCGAAGCATTTCATATAACGCTAAATCCCTATGCCCTCAGCAAGTAAGAGTGCCTGACAACGCACCCAACTTGGACTACTTTTCCAAACAACCACACCTGACTTATTATCTACAAAAGTCTATGCACAAACAAAATCCTAAATTTTTAAAGCCACTACTACATGTCATAAATACATATTTTTCTTACTCCCTTCAAACACACAGATCACACTTTGAAGTCTCGTACGGAATCGCCTTCACTGAAAATAACATGAGATTAACTGGTTCAGACCTATCAAGTACTAAAAATATTCTGTATTGTTTCCATTTTATCAGTTCTCTTAGTTATTTAATTATTTACTCTGAAGAGATTTGTATTGAGTCACGAAATATCAGAAATGGAGATCCCTACTTAGTAGTAAATCACAAAAATTGCAAATGTTTTATTATTGTTAACTTCCTATGCTCTAATTCTCTGAAACTTTCAAATTCAAGCTTTGTATTGATACAAATAATTTCTTTTGAATTCTTCCCATTTTTATTTGTTCACGTAATTAACATTGATCAATATAACCCTACATTGTTGTTCCAAGGTAAATAACCAACTCCTAATGTTGCCCTTTTTATTTTCTATAAAATATTTTAGTACATGGAAGCTATTCACTACATGTACGTGTCAAAGGACTTTCAGCAACTGCGATCGAAGTTGCATGGACCCCACCTCCAAGACAAAAGTGGGCTGAAGAAATTACAAGCTATCAGGTAATCAATCATATGAAAGATATTTTTCATTTAAATTTCAAAATGGAACTAAGGATGAATAAATTACTTGACTGGATTTTGTGGATTCTATAGTTTTCATTTAGAGTTCATTTAAGGTGTGGTGGCCAATTTCGACGATGGGCTCACTATTTTTTTGTGGTGGCCGATATCTGCGTGTTCTCAATCTTCGTGATTAGCTCGTCTAGACAATCGTTACAAAGTAGCGTATGACGGTTATAAATCAGAAGGTTAACTCGTAGTGATGAATACGTTTATTTGGGACACACCACAAAGCAAAGCGGAGAAGCAGCAAATAAAACGTGTGAAGCGTCGTGAATTGGAGAAGGCTGTTGAGCCAAGTCAAAGAAATAGAGCATGACTAAGAATATATAGTCAGACAAAAATAAGACAGACATGTGATCATCGAGATAAGCATGCACACACATGAATAAAAGCGACGAATGATTGACAAGGTCAAATGACAAGTGGGACAAGTCACATGAGCCCATACAAACCAGACAATAATAAGAACGAATAGTACATATAAATTGTTGCAATACAAATGGCTTGGTTAAATAAATTAATCGAAAGGGCTTAACCAAATTAAATGTAAGCGAACTGGAATGTATGTGGAGGCACTACAAAGGAAACCTTTACATGTAAAATAAGTCAGAATGTCGATACTGTTACAAAACATTTTTGAAACTGTAAATTTAAAATGAACATTAAACTATTCAATAGAAGATAAAATCTCAATATTTTTTTTAGCATAATTCATAACAGATTAAGATAAGTAATCTAATAGATGCAAGACACAAATACTGACAAAGTACAGCTTTCTTTTTACCAATAGAGAATACTATTAATAATATAGAGTAATATTAGTAACTTCATAAAGAAATTTGTAATAAGCTCTTAATGTTGCAGTGACTCTAATGGTTGTCTCTAAATTTCCCCTATTGTGTAATAAAATTTGCTATTACATATCGACGTATTTTTAATTAGAAAAAAAGAACCTGAATAATATTTCTATGTTAAACAAAATATTTTCTTAAAACTTGGCAATAATTTGAATTTATTTTATATTTTTCAAAAATTAACGATTTCATATTATTTAGGTTCGATATTTTCAACCAAGTGCACCAAATGAAACTGAAGTTGTCAAAACAACACAAGAACCATTAATACAAATTGAAAATCTTAAAGAGCGTACATTCTATACAGTTTTAGTACGGGCAATGACTAAAAATGGACCAGGACCATGGTCAGCAGCGAGTACAATTCGTACTACAGCTGAATGTAGGTGTTTCGTTTTCCCTTTCTTGTAATTCAACCTACATCATCTTATATTTTATTCATACTGATAATGTATATTATTTGGATGAGAACATAATACAAACAAAAATATTTGTGAGTGTATAATCTATGCAGTAGACAAATTTTACACGAATCCAAAAAGTACTATGAACAAATGGCTAATAAACTGAGAATTCCAAACCAAGTGTCTAGTTGCAAACAAGTTTAATATTTTTTTAATGAAAGATGTATTTGTTAGTCGACAATCAAATTAAGTTATCCGTAATTTTCATGAGTACAACTGACTTCTATCACTTCGATCGGAAGCAGTTTAATATTAAACGGGTGCCAGTCTCTCAAGGAATAATTGAGATTAGATTGAGTAGTGAATATTTTGAGGACTAAAAGAATTTTTACTAATCGTATAGTAATGTTAGTTAACAAAACTGATGAGAAGTATATATACCAATTGTTTATATTTATTAAGGATAGTGTTTTAGGGAACATAGTGTCTGATGCAATTGTTCAGTAAAGAAATGGGGGATGATTTAATGTTTTAAGAAAGGCTACAAGTTACATTACATAACGAGTGATAAGACTGACTATCAAAATCAACCACTAGAAGAGTTTACTTCGTACATGATACCACCAGCTTAATATATCTTATGATTGAGAGTCAGATATTCAATTCTGATGCAACGCAAACCAGAATAAAATACCTGATCCTAATCTCTTAGTTTTCAGTAGCCTGCAATTACGATAAAACAAATTTTAAAATCAGTGAGCACACTTGGAACACCTTCACAACATAGCATATAAAATGATTACTTTTTGGAGACTATCAATTCACAAATTATATTAATCCAGATCTGTAAACAAAAAATTTTATCTTACTTTTCACCTGTGAACCATTACGCAATGAGGCAAAATCATTTCTTTTTGAATCCTCTAAACGATTTACACTGTTTGTAAGTGATTATGATAAAGTTTGTCCGACACAATAACAAAATATTTTTTTACACTAATATAAATAAATAAATGTCTACATAAATTTACGACTTATTTGGAACGTGATGGATTAGAAGAATTTTGACAGAGTCACAAGGATCACGTGTAAACTGATATCAACATGGTAGAGACAGATTATTAAAATCGATCATGATTAACAATCAACAGACAACTAATTCTAAAACTATCGATAGTCAGCTGAATAATAAGCGATTACCAGCATAGAAAAGTAGAAGGTGTACTATGGGATTTGTCAGAAATGTTTCCATTATTACTACAGCAATAAAAACGAATTACCAGAGAAAATTGATGTCCTAGATCTATGGTTTCTAAAAAAATATCACGACAACATAAAGTCTCACGCTGTTGAAGCGTTCACGAGATTCACAATTTGAATAGTTTGGCCATCTATCCACAGTTCTAAAATTGTTCCACCGGTTCGAGTTTAGTAGGTTAATTATTCCTACGTACCTAATTTTCCTGATATATGCATTGGGAATCTATAAAATCTAAGATATGAAGTAGTCGTTAAGCGGCTTAGAAGTCTATGTGATGTAGAGGGTCTTATCCTGGTTATAATAAAAATGCCTGATTATTGGGGATACCAGACAATAATTTGCAGCCATTTCTTGCAAAGGGTACCGTTTCCTTCCTTTGGTAGGTCACTGAAATAAAGGTGTCTTTCTAATGGAGTCTAATTATGATTTGATTTTTACTGTATTTTCACAAAACTTCACCACATTGGCTCAAATGTTTGTCGGAAACAAGCATCCGACTATCTCTTACCTCTTCCAAAATCAAAATTAAAATGCAAATTTTGTAAAATTTAAACTCAGGGAAAATAGTATGGTAGAGTATGCTGAACTTTGTCGATAAGTCCAGGTAAAAGGTACAAACTACTAAAAAACGTCAAAAATTGAAGTTCATTGACCAAGGGACTGTCAAGTAAAATCTAAACACTACACACAGTCGAAAAATAGAATATCAAACGTCTTTTTTTCTCTATTACAGATGAAAATTTTATCTTTTTGTCCTATTGTTATTACTTAAAATATTAAACTAAACAATCCTCAAGAACCATATGCCTATCGTTAGTACTACTTACTAACTCATTGTCATTTAATGTCCAGTTTCATGAATTATCTACAGAGATTTCATTAGAAAAGATTGTTAAAAATTACATCGTATTCTCGAGATTAATGCCTGTAAAAGGCTTAAAACATAAATGTAATGAATTTAGTATATATTATACTTATATTATGATACTTTTATCGTGAACAGTTTGACAGAACACCTTAAGCTGACTTTTGATAATCGTTTATGCAGATAATAGTATGGAAAAAGTGACCATTTCTAAATCAATAACACAATGATAACGAATTACAGGTTTTATAAAAATTATGATTATCCACTGGATGGTAAAAAAAAAGTATGAACAGCTATCTCTTCTTAGTGGCTATGTTTTTCAAATAAAATTAAATGTCAGACCATGAGGTTTTTTTTATGTCAAGGACAGGTGTTTGATTATTTAAATTCAACTGATTAGCAATACATCGCGAGTTCCATTCATGCTTATGAATGGGTTATCGTTTAAATACCCCCTTTTGATTGATACCATAAACTGCGAGTAATAATTGAAACTTTCGAGAAATCAGTTGTAAGGCTATAATTACTAATGTGAGATTACATTTCTGTATGTCAAGTGATTTTATATAGAAGTGTGTTCTATTCGAAGTGTTTATTTAACTTCAGTTTCGATGAAATTGAAGACCAGTTTATAATGGATTATAACCAATTGGTTTGAAGATATGATACCAACTATGGAGCATAGTACACTGATTACTCACTATCAAATAATCTCAACTTGTAATGGTGTACCTAGCCAGTATTCTGTGGTTTTATTTTAAAAATTATTTCACTTTGTCATACAGTTTGTGAATTTTAAACTATCCACTTATTCATGAAACAGTTAGTTCAACACAAATATAATTAATTTCAAAACAATAAGTTCTGTTTATAAATTTCGATAGAACAGTGAGAAGACGTAATTGATCAGAAAAATTTGATGTGATGTTCATATAAAATGCCTTGACAAGTAAATATGTGTGACCAGATTGTTCGAAATGTGTAGCTCAAGTACATCACATTTTTCAGATCAATTACGTCTTCTCACTGTTCTATCAAAAATAATTAATTTCAACGAATTCATTTCTAGAACTATTTAATTGTAAATGTACGCATTAAATTATAAGTCTATAAACAACAAATAATATATTGAGTTACCGGATTGCGGGGTTGTTGTGAAGATTATTAAGTTGCATTACTGAAACCATGAATCGATCAATGTTAGACCACCATTAGAAACCTGGAAGCACTGGACGGCCGTTTCGTCCTGGTATGGGACTCATCAGCCGTGCGCACCCACCACTCCTGCACCCCGCATTATTGGAACCCAGGACCTTCGGTATTGTGCGCGAACACCCTAACCACTGAGCAGGTATCTAACGGTGTTAATGTCTAACTTGAGTTATCACCAGAAATTAAATTTACATTTCCATGTAATTAGTTACAGAGTTTAGAATTTTTCTTTTCCAGATATAAAAAAATGTATAAAGCGATTAATATAGTTGGAATAAAAACCTGGAATATATAAATTTAGTACATTTGACTATTTTTAAATTGAAATTGTACAAAGTTTGTTTATCATCAAAATAAATTTATAATAATAATAATAATGAATTAATTTTATTAATAATATTACTAACAATAGAATTTTCACTTATAACCTAATTACTTTGAAAACATTATTCTTAGACATATATATATATATATATATATATATTTACTAATCAATATAACAACACTTCTCTCCTCAATGTGAATGACAGAGAAGATGAAATTAAAATGTCAGTTGAAATTTTTATTTCCAAGTAACATGAAATTAAGGTAATAAGGTTATTATTTTTTTTCAACAAAGAGAAAAAAATAACTAATAAACTATATTCACTATCCTTATTCACATTGATTAGTGACTAGAAGTAGTTGGATTAACTGTGTTTTGAGAACACAACACAGATAACGTTTACCAAACTCAAAAACTAAGTCCTAGTAGGTGATGGTCTAAATGTTAGATAGTAGGATGAGATTTGAACTTATCATGAAATAATATAAAGTCAAATGTTTTAAGATCAAGCAACCACTTGTATTAAGTTTACGAAGTAGCTGCCGTAATCTATTTTATTTGAGTGGTTTCGACAAATATTTCTGTGATCGTGTGGAAGTGTAATTTCGACCATTTGTGGTGTGAATCTATTTTTCTTAATGCCAGTACCTATTTAGCTGGCAAACATTGTTATTTAAATTCAGTCATAAAATTTTATTCTCGTTGTTATTTTTCATAGTACCGGAACCTCCATCACAAATTAATGGTCTACGTATAAATCCAAGACAAATTAAAGTTACATGGAATACAATGCCTGTAGGCCCTATAACAAAACCTCAAATACCAATAACTGGATTTCGTATATTTTATTCAACAAATGAAAATACACAAGATTTGAATACATGGCAAATTTTGGATGTTGGTCCAGTTACAATGGCTACACTTGATTTATTAGATCCACAAAAAGATTATGTTATAAGAATTAAATCAAGAGGTGCAGATCGGAGACATGGAAGATTAAGTGAACCTATTCATGTTGGAATATATAATCCACATGAAATTAATGGAATCAATAAAGAGATCAATAACTTGCCAGATTCTGGATTAACAGATTCAAAACGAATCAGTCATTTGTCGTGTGCTTGGGTTCAAACTTTAGAGACAGCTAAACCCGGTGAAGCAAGTCTTAAGATTTCATGGAGACGTCCTCGTCAACTTGAAGGTCTTTATCAGTTTGAAGTAAGTTATTTAAATGACAAATGAAATGTTTGATTTGGCTTAATTTTGTCTGATGCCTTTACTCAACATTTAGTTCTTGAGCGGAGAAATTATGGTCAGTTGATGTGGAGATTGAAACATATCTGTCTTGTGTATTTTATATCAACGAAAACATTATCTTACACAAAATAGCTTAGATTAAACTTAGGTTATCAAATTCATGAAATTTAAGCCTTTACACAAATAGTTCTTATAATTTTTCCTAAATAATTACAGATTCAGTTACTTGGATCAAAAATATATACCGATGAACGAAATCATCCACATCGGATACTTTATGAACCACGTTCAGTAGAAGTTACAACATCAATGCTAGAACAATCTTCAGGCTCCAGTATAAACACAAATGGTGGGTACATGTCACCCATGTCAGATAATCCTCAGTATGAGTTAGTCATTGATGAACTGGAAGCGAATACAGTTTATGATGTACAAATTAGGCCTATTTATACACAGCATGATCAGAACGCGGTTATTGAAAATCCAACTCCAACAGGACGTACAAGTTGTCGGACACAAATGCTCCGTAAGTAATGTAATAAACTATTTTTTAAGACTTACTTGAGTGTCAGAAGTTTCTTAGTAATTTTGTTCAAATGTACTGCGCACTGAAGAACTTTCGGTTTGATAACATAATTGTTATAACTGTTATAAAATGAGTAAAAATTAAGGTCGTATTCAGCGGGACACCCCGAATTTTTTTTTATACTGATTAACATTATTCAGCTATCTTGAAGAGACTAATGTTCCCCGTAGGGTTCGTTCTTATATATTACCTCTGAGCTATTGAAGCTGCTTCTGGCTTCCTGTAAGAAAGAGGAATTTAGGCCACTTGGCTGCTTTTAAAAAAATATTTTTCTTAGATCTACCTGATTGAAAAAAGTCCTAGACTATTTATTCAAAACAATTCAACATACTCAGATTCATTTGCCAAAATGCTTGGAGAACTTGAAATAAGCGTATTCCGGGTTGTTGATTTCTGATTACCACAAAAGTTTTCTGTTCTTCAATTATTCTGTTACAAAGCTACAATAATGAAGTTTTTAAATAAAAAGTGACGTGTTTGCACATACGTAATGCATCTAAATTAATATTCGTGAATGAACTGATAAACTATAATTCTAGTCTCACATCTGTGGTTGAAATTAATGGAAGAAGGATCAAACATTCTGAATAATTATTAGGTTTTATTTTTCGCTATTTATGTTTTAATTCTATCACTAATGACCTAGTAGCACATCGCAATATGTGTAAGCTTTCTTAATGAAATCAGACGGATATGCAGTCATAAGATTACATATGGTACTAAAAGTACTAAAGTTAAGGTATCACTGAAACTAAGAAATTAAAGTAGTTACTGCATAACATTCACATGTGTCTTCTGATTTATTTCACTTTTTTGCACACTTGTTGTATTTATCTTCATTTGTTTGTTAATATTAAATAGCCCCACTTTTAGTTCCTCGACCCATACCAGTCACAGTAAAACCAATGACAGGACAAGTAGTTATGCGCGTATTTCGTGTCTCTGAAAGTCTTGGTCGTATTAGGAGATATTATTTAGTTTTATGTAAAGTTCTTCCAACAGAAGCTTCAAACTTAACTCCAACATCGAAAGAATTTAATTGGCCAGAAAAAGTGAGTTATACCAAAAGAAACTTCAAATTTAATAATATTTGTAGGATAATGAAAATACAGACTTTCATAGTTTTTCATTTGATTAAGTTTAACTAATTTAATGTTGTTTACTTATTAACTTTATTATGGTTGTGTTCTGTGTGTACATGAAATAAAGATTCTATGATAATCTAAGAGCACTAAACTAACACCAATAGAGAAATTTCGGAAGAGGGTGTTTTCATTTGATTCAAAAAGTAATTTCAGGTGTAAGACACGTAGCCAGCAGTCGCTGAATGGCGGATGGAATCTAAAATCACAACACACAAGGTTAGTTTAACACGTTACACCAAGAGAGAACATCAAGTGGTAGCCACGGCACTCTTTTATTTGAAAATTAAAATACGCGGGGTTTGTACAGAAAAGGGTGGCTAGTTTACCAAAGTCTTATTAGTCATCCTGTAAGCTCAGAGTACTCAGGGCTGGTTCTTCAGCTTCCACAGCGTTTATGTTTGATCGCCCTGAAATAGAAAGAAAACAGAACGGGTTAGTAACACCATACATAATGATTTTGACTCCCTCACACAGGTACTCAGGTAGTATACATTCTGAACAGAAACTAAAATTCTGATTATTTTGCTGAATAGCTGTTGATTACTTCTCTCAAGTGTATGTGTCTATCAGACTGATAATTAACTATACTTCTATCAGACAAGCTTTAAGAAAGGTAATTAAAAAAGCAAATCAATATAATCAAATCATTAGGTACATAAATTTGGAACGGAAAATTTAAATTTGTATTAAAACTGGTCGCTTTAGTTATTCTTTTAATATCTTATTTCACTGTTGCTTTTAAACTTCATTATTGGAGTGCAGAGTATTCTGAACATATGTTTTCTGAAATTCCGTATATATCTGATGTTCAAGTGAGAAGCGATGAATGGTGGACTGAACTCTAAAGCAAACCATTGCATTCCTAACTGGTGGTCTAAAAGTTTTCTCTTCGTGACACTTGCGTGTTTTATGTTTACTTCAATATCCACTTTTTTGTATGAAACCGCTAACCAGCTCATGAGATTTTCTAGTGATTCATCTGCTAGATTCCTTGTTCTAACTAAATGAATCCAACGAAAAGAAACGAATACAAAGGATTAGTAAATAAAAATAAAATGTTCCAATCATACTTAAGCGCGAAATATTATAAAATCATTTATTAAACCAACAATTTACACAAGAATACACTTATTGATATCATTCATTGTTAAAAAAATCCATCATACAAAAGAATAAATCATACAACATTCAATATATTTTTATTTTCAGTAAAATTTAAAAAAAGTTAGTCTTTTAAGGAAAAGATTTGGTTTGTACCAAATATTGACTAGTAAAAATCAATAAAAACCGAAAACTAACTAGACTTCTGTTGGTCTACATGTACGGAAATTTAACCATGTTGTTTATGTATTACGTTTATTTTCGTTATCATCCATGGCCCAAAAAAATAATCATGACGAAATTCAATTTGTTTATGTAATCCTATTTTCAATGCACTTTAATTTAAACAATAAATATTGATTTAGTAACATATAATCTGTGTGAAATCAAGTCTATGATTTACAATTCACATTATTATTAGCTATAATGAAAAATGAGAAAATAAATTACACACAGAAAGAAATGCCAGAAATGAAATGCCTACATATAATAAGAAGGTTACTTACTTACTTTCACCTGTCACCCCCAATGGAGCATAGGCCGCCTATCAGTTTTCTCCGACCAACTCTGTCCTTGGCTTCCTTTTCTAGTTCTTTCCAGTTTTTGTTCATTCTTCTCACGTCTTTCTCTATTCCTCGGCGTAATGTGTTCCTGATTAAAAGAAGGTAGATGACTAATTTTAGTTTAACTGCAATCAAGAATCAAGCGGTTCACGTTTCAAATGAATTGTTTTGTGATTGAACAACATGAAAAACCACATTCAAAATCTGATTCGATCGCTAATCAGTGAAAGGAAAATTTGTCTAACGAACACTTGGTGAGAAATAACTTGGTATTTACTTAGAGAAAGGTAATCGAGTAGAAAAGTTAAAATCTTCAGCTAAGGGCTTCTTATAAGAAATTTGTTTACAACTTATCAGCTTATTTGGTTCCATATTGCTTATATACTGAACAAGACTATCCACTAAATCTAAAATGTGGTCTTTTAGAATTGAAACACCATGTGCAGTTTATGGTGTGTAATCCAGCTTTCAATGAACGCTTGACTCAGATAAAAATGTAGGTACTAGGTTACTGGTAATAAGAAAATGAATTTTATGTTGTAAGCTTTTGAATGGTAAGATTCTTTTCGTTTTGTTTATTAACCATCCCTCTCAAGCAATTTAAAATAATATCATTGTGTTATATTTGAATATCCTTTATTCTATTTATTGTTAAATGCCTTTGTTTCATAATATTTTGAAAAAAGCGTTCATTTGCATACTGTACAAAGTTGTGATATACAAAGTTCATTGTTATCACCGAACGGAACTCCTCAGCAGTCCAAATACATTAAGGATTCATGATTACAATCCAGAAATTTTGAGTCGCACTGTAATCGCATTACTCGGCTGATATTCAATTATTTACACATGTGATTTTGGTCAATTCATAATATGATGCAACGAACGTCATCCACTGAGAACGGCAATACTTATTACATGTCTAATATGAGAGTAATTAAACTGTTCCATTAGTTTATGTAGTTTTCATACGGAAAATCTCAGTCTTTACTTCATACCAAGTAAAAACTATCATCGCGGTTCACGAACTGGATCTTATGCGATAAATAGTTGCATTATACATATGCCAAATGAATTCTAGTATTTAGCTAGTGAATATCCAAAAAAATGAATAGATATTTATTAGTTTCAGTTCTATGCATATTTTAGTGCATACAATGAAATTATATGTTGTTGAGAAATCATATTCACTAACATTGAAGAAAAGATTTGTTAGCTGAAGACAAAGGTTAGTTTTTCGCCTTTCATTAGATAAATCTAAATTTTTTCACTTCACTAAGTCTTACCTCAAATCACCAGTCACGTCCTACATTCTATAGACTACATTCAAGTACGATACAAGCTACGTGTGTATGCTTTACTCTTTATTAGAAGATATATATATATATACATGATTCTCAAATAATTTTCATTGAATCGACAATTCACTTTTCCTGATCAAAGCTTCATGAAGCAACACAATCTTGGAATGAAAATATATTTATTGCAGCTGAGTATAGTCAAGAAGCTTTTGTTGGACCATATGTTGAAATATTTCTAAATATACCAACATCATTGACAAAAAAACGATTTAAACGCAACACTTTAAATGAGTCAAATGTTGGTACTGATCAAATTCAACAACTACAAAATGATAAACCACCGTATTCAGAGAAATCAAGTACAAATTCATTACCTGAAATTTTAGTTTATGGTAGACAATTGATAAAGAATCAAAAATATAAAGTAGGTTAATTATTGTATATATTTTTATTTATTTAAATGACTAGTTCATGTCATAACAGATCATCATTCGACACAAATCAGAAATATAAAATGTTGCCTTGACGGTTTAACGAAGCCATACACAGAGATAAATTGCACGTTTCCACATTAACTTGTAAAAACTGTAATGGTCTAAAAAATAGAAGTCAATTTCGAAGATTATTCATATAAAATATTCATATTTCACACTTTTTTCATTAGCTATGAAGGCTTGCTTTTCTGATGAAAGCCAAAATTTAAGTGACCACCATTAGATCCGCATAGTTAAATTCATCATGTGTTATAATGGTCCTTTAAATTCAGTGATCTACCAAAACTTTTATGTGGTACGACCTTGAGATTTTGAGGCATTTCTAATTCAGAAAATTTTACTTATGAATGAACAAATTTCGACAATTAATGATCGGATTCATTATGAATATACTGATCCCACTTGATAAAGTAACTATTCCATGTTAACCTATTGTATGTTAACTTCAGACTCTTGTGTACATTGAGATTTCAGGGTTGTGATTCAATTTGTATACCGTAAATCCTAGATCTGCCGCTCTTACCCTAATATATTAAACCTAAACGTCTAACCCATACGTCCTAAAGATAACGTATTAACTCTAAGCCGAAACCTATCACCAGTCAGTCAGTGCAACCTAGAACTTCGTACGTATGTACATAAGTTCAGGTTGCCATACCACATTGGTACAGAGACGAAAAATGTCAAATCAAATCCCATAGTGATAACGATAGTAGAGGTATTAATGGTAATGACGAAGAATAGGGTTCGAAGATATTATTCAAGAAGTATAATTCAGTGAGGTAAGGTTAGAAGACAAAGGTAGAGGTACTGACGAATCCAAAAGATTAGGATTTGAGAGAGCTCAAAGAATGGATGCACTTGCGCCATTGCAAACGATTTTGAGCCATGTCATTCAAGGTGTCTAGCCATCGTTTATTATCATCTCGCGGACCCCAACCAGGTAAACAACTACCGACATGGCTAAGTCCACTAGTCAGTGACTTCATGGATTTCTGCCATGTATTGGTTTGGCCGCCCCTATCTTTCTTCCAACCTACTCCTACACCACAAAACATAACTCGTCGAGGCAGTCGGTGGTTAGCCATACGTAACACATGTCCCAACCACCTCAACTGATGAACGTCCACTACTTCATCATCTATTGATCTGCCATCCTTACCTAGTACTCGTTTCCTAAGGACAGCATTACTTACTCGGTTGTCCCACGATATACGAGCAATGCTTCTTAAACATCTATGATCGAATACTAGTAACCTACGAACATCTACTCTTAACGGCCATGTTTCACAGCCATATAGGAGAACGGAGCGAACTGCTGCACAGTACACCCGTCCTTTGGTTAGCGAACGGATATCACGCCTACTCCATAAGTGGCGCAGGTTGGCAAAACCCAATCGAGCTTTCTGTATCCGTGCTGAGATTTCGTCAGTCACCTGGCTATCAGCGATGATGAGACTCCCCAGATAAGTGAAGTGATCAACACGCTCGACTACTTCACTCCCTATCACTAGTTCAGGTGCCGATGAAACCCAATCTTGAAGCAACATTTTGCATTTCGAGGGTGAAAACCGCATCCCGAACATGCTCGCATTGTTGCTTATGGTAGTCAGAAGACTCTGCATTTTGTCAGCGTCTTCACCGAATAGAACTATGTCATTGGCATATTCTAGATCAGTAAGCGACTTTCCTGGTAGAAGGTCAACCCCTGAAAAATCTGACGAGCTTAATGTTAACTCTAAGAGAATGTCTACGACAAAGTTAAACAAGAATGGAGAGAGTGTACAGCCCTGACGGACACCACTTGATGAGTCTTTACTTAACCATTTAAAGTCTTCTTAAAACATCCGTTAGTCGGTGTGTTAGTTTAATATTTGCGCGATATGCCAGCAGTTTCCTTATCGATTATGAAAGGTTCTGCAGTATACCTTTGATTAACCGTTTTTCATTTTGACATATGAACTTTCTTGTTCACTTGTATTAGTCATAATTATACATCATTATAAAAGGGAAAACATGTGAATGCATAAAAACATATCAATCTAAAAATATCTGTAAACATAAACCTCGTTCATATTTTTTTATAATGATATCTTCCTTGTCAGCAGTCTATGTTCCATTAGGGTTAAAAGGCATAAGTAAGTAAGTAAATGATTTTTACAATTTTTACTTTTTTAACTCAAACTAAGACTTCAGGATTTATCAAGTTTTTCAAATCTCATATTGGATGACTCTTATTGACTTTTCAAAGTCATTAAACAACTAAGGAAATCATTACCAATTTCAATAATTAAGTTTCAAGTGTTCAGCATGTACAAAGTCGTATAATACAAGATTTCTTAACAAATTTAATGAATTTATCATGGTAAACGAGAATCTAAACTATAGTGTGAGTAAAAACTTGATTCTACATCTTTAAAACATACTTCACGTAAATTAAAAGAAATATTATCAGTAGTTTTAAATATTTGAAAAAATACTATGACTAAAGTCTGTCCAAAATAAAACAAGAGAAAATAGTTTCTCATTCTTATATATGAAGTGCTACTGGTATTAGTTACTGTGACCGTAGTAAGTAATATAAATATACGTAAATATAGAAGAGATTTGATAAAGTGATTGTATAAAGCTTGAAAAAATTATGATCTAACTATTCTGTGTGTTGTTTCTTCTGCACAGTTCTTCGTAAACTGAATTTACATTAGTTTTACCAATAAATTGTAATTCATATCGAACTTTCAATAAGTTGACTTCGGTTGCTCTATTTTTAATGAAATTGTCTTCAGCTATTTAGCATTTTCCCTAATTTACTGGGCTAGTGTATACTGAATATGAAGAAATGTATATTTTCAATTTCAAAAATAATTATAATCATAGTTTTCGTAACTTTGAGATTTCGTCTTTTTTGTAAAATTGATTGCTTTTGATGATTAGTTTACTAGTTAACGTAGTTTAAACGGAGAAAACAAGTATTATTACAGTCATTAACTAATAAGATTCTCACTTCAACTATATTATTATTCACACAGAAAACTTTAAGATACTTTTTAATCACCAAGTTGACAACTCACAAAAATTACCGAAATTCCTATGAATGAAGTGACGTTACTTAATTAGTAGGATATATGTGATCAAGGACTGAGTACATGAACTATTTGGTTCAGATATATTGGTTCTGGAAATTCTTACTGATCATGATCGTTGGTGCTCGCTACTGAGAATGTACGGAACGAAAATAAGAACTGTTCGATATTAATACAACTTAAGATAGTTTTAATCCTTTGTGACAGTTTAATTTATTTCAACTAAAAATTTCCTATAAATTTACAATGCACGAATGTGAAAAACATCTAGAAGTTAAAACATAATTTTTATACAATTAAACATTACTAATGATAAAAACAATAGCGTTTTTTTTATCGAAGTTAGTACAGAGGAAAGTAACATTAGATCTGATAAGTGTGATATTCTACTTGTTTTTAATGTTAAGAAGAATTTTAAAAAATACTACATTCTGACAAATTTTTAATACAACAAAATAATCGAATTTTCAAATTGTTCATTTCAAAATAATTTTGATCACATTGACAAATGGATAATTTTTTCTAGAAATTATCTTAACATTTTACTGATGTGATAATAAATTCATTCTTTTGAATTAATAAATCATCATTGAAAGCTTACACGTACAACTGGTAATTCCTTAAGTGTATCTTGAAACCAGGTAAGAAATATGCAAAATTGATCAACCAAAACTAGTTAGTGTAATAAGTTAAACAAGCATACAGAAACGAAGAATTGAACATTATAGTTAGATAAAAAGAGAAATGCTCTAAACAGAATCAACACTTAGGAATCAACCAGATTAGTGTGGGATAAAAAGAATACATTCACACTGATTGATCGCTTAGATTGATGAAACTTTATTCCAAATTACCCTGTCAGTTTATATAGCCACTTATACAAAATAATAGTCCTTTACGAACGGATATTAAGTAGCTTTAAAACCAGAAAAGATAAGCTGATTGTGTATTATTACAACTTTAAACGTGCTTTTGATTGACAGTACTGTTTCAGAGAACCAAATATAAAACGAAATATAAAAACTGTGATTGACTGAAATTAGACTATGGTTTTCAATGCCTGCAGACATTGTTTCGTAAAATTATATAGATAGGATATTTTGTGAGCAATCAGTTCTCTCAGTTCAAGCAATAAGTCTTCGAAAGATTGATTTGAAACTTGTTTTGATGAATTTTCGACATCTCATGCACTTTCATGTTTCCAAATGTGAATGTTTAAATAGTACCAACTTTTACAAATCTAAAAACAAATTAGTTATCTGGTTTAGGGAAACGAACTTAAATTATCCCCATTGAATTGATCTATTCCTTATATTGTTATTTCAGACTACAACTGGTATATCTGTTTTAGCATTCTTCCACTACTTGGGGATTTTTCGAATGATACCAATAGTTCACATTCTTTATAAGCGGAGATGGATGTTGGTTAGCCATGGAATCCAGAATGCGCGTTTTGTCCTGTTTGGGACGCATCAGCTGGATGCATCTGTATCCCAGAGTTGCCTACTTTGTGTCAGAGTGTCATTGCGAAAATGAGCTCTGGGAAACTGGTACATTCGACTGACGGATCCCAGATAAGATAAAACTCGCGTCTTGAACTTCACTACAAGCCATCATTTAACTTCGCTTATAAAACTAGAATTTATTTTTTTTCAAAGATAAAGTATTTACTCATGAATTCATAAGTTCACAACTCAATCTTTATGCTTTTCATCTAGTATCTTGTCTGTTTTCATAAATAAACACACTGAATTTCATCCGTTTCATAATTTCGCACCAATATAAATTACTTTACGCAAGAGTATAGCAAAACATAGTTTTGGGAGAAGTTATGAAGAAAGTTCATTTTAAATTTTTCTAACTTTTGATAAATAAACTGGCTGGTTCCTTGCAATATCTTCATAGTTGCACATAATTTTAATGAAAAAAATTTTTATGTTAAAAATCAGCTCATAATATCAGATATCAAATATTACTATCAATCATAAGTACAATAATATAACATGAAAATAATACAACTCGATTTACGGTTAATCCTGTTAAATATTTTAAATCATACTTTCTAATAGAGTCACTTTTTTTAAAAAAAAAAACTGGATTCCGCCATTTCATAACAACATTTTGAAAACAAACGAATAAAATGGCTACCGCTAATTTACAATCTCTTTCCCCATAGATTAAAAACTGTTATTTCAGACTATAATTTATCATAGAGAATAGAAAGTTGTAAGTATAAATATAACGTCTGTGTAAAAAATTATTGATGAAGAGTAGGAAATATTTATATGGATATACACTTTTGCTTAATAGTGTATAATAATTCAAATTCAATAAATATATCAAACTGAATGCATACTTAATGTTAGCGTTAATCAACTAAGTATGATTTTGTTAAATATAGTCTAGTTGAAATGACATAATAATCATTATTGTCTTTCAATACTGTAACAAAGCAGCACACTTCATGCCATTTCTTTTCCCCATGAATGTTAGCATTGAAAAAGAAATAAATATTATGATTTGAAATGCATTCACTTCTCAGTATATCCTCTATACCTTCCAAGGATGCATTTTAAAGTTCAATTTTGTGCGCAATACACATGAAGTCATTTAATTATAAGGGAGGATCATGATTATTTTCCTTAAGTATACAAGTATGATGTACAGAATAATGAAATGTGAGAAAGAGAAGCGTCAAGATGTAATGGGTTCCAGAAGATATGTGAAAAGAGTGAACAACTACAATGAAAAAAACGTGCTCTTGATAATCACTAGCAAGAGACTTTCAGTACTACAATTATCACATTGATTGCATTGTTGTGAAGAACAATAATGTGTAAAGATGGTATGAGGAATCAAAGTTATTACAATCAACGAATCGATTAGTAGTAGTACTATTTCTTAAATAATATTAGAAAAAATAGATTATAATTAAAAGTCTTATTAATAGGATTAAGTAAACGCTCATCCCAACCTACTACTAGTCACATTTCGAAGACATTATTGGACCGGAATCTTTTCAAATGTTTTGAAACTTAATTATATTATCGAATTAACAGATGTTAACAATGATGACGAATCATGCTTTGTTTTTCTATGAACAATAAATGCAATTTTATTTTATTTTATTGAACTATTCTAAAACATCCAAATTTAAATTAACTATTATTTAATGTGATTGCACATTTATTATGCAATGCACCAACAACTTTGGAAATTACTTTTGCCCCTGATTAGTTCCTGTTAAAATATGTTGATAGTTTATAAGCTTTCTTGTGAGTGACAACAAAACCATACCACGATACTATACTGATGAATATTATGTTCCAATGTCCACAAACTGCTTCAAGTTATCCCGGGGGCATAAACAGTATTACTCTGTTCGACTGTTACATAACTGAGCTGATGAAGTATTGGAAAACTTAACTTTTCCTTATATTTCGAGTCATCACAAATACATTACCAACTTAATAGTTATCATCATTTAGTTACTTTGTATGACAAAAAAACATTCTTATCTGATTAAGAAAACGAACATCCTATTTCAGTAAAGTTCTAAAAAACATTCAACCTTTTCAAACAAACCGGAACAGTTGTGTCAGATAAATAATCAATATTTAATTATTCTAAAAGTGGACAAAGGACAATTTCGTTAACATTATCAATTGTTCAACAAGGATGATAAAACAATAAACTAGTGTTATAATAGTTTTGTTTAAGCAGACTATATATATATATATATATAAATGATTTCTCTAGATTATGGATAAACTATTCCAGTTTTGTTTACTTGTAACTAATTCTATAGCAAAACACAAAAGCATCCACTTGTTTACAAACAATAATGAATAACTGAATGAATATTCACTATTGAGTAAGTAAACAGTTCAATGGGACTAAAACAAGAGTTCTAATATTACTTTTATTTTATTAAAAATATATTTTGAAACGAAATAACGCTTGAAAGAAGCTATACAATTCAGTAGAATGTATTCTATTTATATTTATAATTAATCTTGCAAAAAAAAAATTGATTGGCTTTTGAAAAAAAGTTAAAACTAATATTTTTAAGTTTATTGAAAATAAAATTTATGATAAAAATCATAATACAATAACTGAGAAAACAAACCAGTCAAGATTAAAAACGATCGAAGGGCAACGAGAATAAACCGTGAACATTTCATAGCTCTTGGAATTTATGTTACTTAAGTATGATTTGTCGATTCGATCAAAAACCTTCCAGTTGGTGTTTTCCTATGGAACATTATGGTAGGCAGATTTTGATGCTTACACTTGAAATCATTTACTATTTATTCAGGATTATCAAAGTAATGCTAGAAACCATTTTTGTTAGGGTTTGAAAGAGACATCGCAGTATTCAAAACTCAACCTTGCAATCTGATCAAAGATTGACAAGCCTATTTACATAACTTACTACAAGCCTAACGACTATGTTTCGAATAAAAATTATCGACTAACCGCAGAGGTATATCACTTCTACGCATAATGTAATTGAAAATCGAACACAATTCATTGTTTTTTATCTCTTGCTTTATTCACACTTAAGGCATTTGTTTTAGCGTGCATTTATCCAAATATGTTACCATTTGGTGGCAATACAAATACTATTTCAACAGGTACAAGTACATCAATAGATTCATATTTATATAATCGTGAACAACCATTGGAAGATGAAGAGAATCTTTCTAAAGAATTATGTACACCAAGTTTATGGTCAGTACATTTTCAACCAGATCAAGAGATTATGTATACAGATCAACAGATTAGTGAAATGCATGCTAGTGAAACAAATTTAAAAGTGAATAGTGAAACGAATGCAATGAAAATATCCAATACAAATTCGCAAAGTGAATTCTTTGCTAAATTTGCTAATGGTGCAGATTTTTTTACTATTACATTGATTATAGTCATTGCAAGTCTTAGTATAATAGCTACAATATGCACTGCCGTTGGATGTTTTATGAAGTGAGTAAAGTTTTCAACTTGTTTGTTTTTCGTCAGTTTTTTTGAATAAAAGTTCCAATAATAGAATAAGAAAAAAAGTATGAGGATACATTACAAAACGTTAGAAATAAATGCTCGCTACTTATTGATTATTTAGTCAGTCAGTCAGTCGGTCAGTTACAACGTTGAACTTCGTACGTAAGTACATAAGTGCATGTTGCCATACCACATTATTACAGAGACGCAATTGTTTATTCAAATCCCATAATGGTAGAGATAGCAGAAGAACTACTGGTAAAGGAGAAGATTAGGATTTGAAGATATTATTCAAGAAGTATAATTCAGTGAGATAGGTTTAGAAAGACAAAGGTAGAGGTGCTGACGAATCCAGAAGATTAGGATTTGAGAGAACACAAATAGTGGATACACTTGCGCCATTGCGAACGATTTTGAACCATCTCATTCAAGGTCTCTAACCACTGGTGACTTTTGTCTCACGGACCCCAACCAGGTAGTCTACATCTACCGACATGAACTTAGTGGTTACTATCAGTGCCTTAACAACTAATATTCAGTAATTGGAAACTACCTTTGAATTATCTACACTAGAGAGATTTTTTTTCAGTCGTACCATGTGTTTGCTTAGAAAACAAAAAATTCCGAACAAAACTTATCCAATCGACTATTTCACTATCTAGGAAATAAATTAATTCACACCTAAATAAAATGCTTTACTGATTGTTATTCCCTCATCATTAAGTCAATCAGAAAATGATGTTTGACTAAACCAAATTATAAAATCAATTACATTATAGTCAAGTTAACAGAACAGGTGAGCAGAATGAAGTGGGGTCCAGATGTTAAAAGAATAATGAACAACTTGTAAAACAATAACGAAATTGTAAAAACACATTTTAGACATAGAAAATAAATTACCATTCTGTGTAGTTGGAGATATACGAATAAAGATACCATGTCATATATCGTGAATGATAAGGAGAAATAATTACCTAAAATTGCGTTATGTGACCTCACAGGTTGAAGAGCTATTATATTTTTTCCTAAAATGATTTGACTATTGGTAATAAATCGATACGTTTTGTAAGTCAAAAAAAAATGTATCATTACCAGTCTACAGTGTATATATTGGACGCAAACACAAGAACAAGATAAAATAATGTAGCGTATAGAATTAAATTAAGTAACAATTTATTCATGATTATTATTATAATTAAAAAACTCATTATTTGATAATTACTAGTGGTAGAAACTTTTCAGCGAAATGAGAAAATTTTCATCCCCCGGAATGAGCATTTTTGTTTAGTCATGCTCAAACATGAGTCTAATAATTCATTTCAAACTAAACACCAATGCAGGAACTAACCTTAAATGTTTAAATACAACGTTAGTTTTCTAAGACAAAAAAACTTTCGATGATATATCTCTGTATGTATAAAAAGCAACTTCGTATTCATTTTTTACCCCTTAAAATTATTCAACAGTTAAACTAATCTGTATATATAGTCAACCGGGAGATTTTAGTCCACGTTAAAACAGATTAGAAAATAATTTTGTTCGCATTGTATGCAAAATCACTACAACATAACAATCCGCAACAATTGATGAGTTTACAGTCTGATAAGATTGAAAAGATGTATTAAGGAAACTTGATTGGTTGCCGAAGTGTTGTCATCCGAATTCTCCTTCCTGATCAAAAACTTGTGATTTAATTAAAATTATTATTATTAAGATAACTTTAATGTTCATTTCATTTAACTATAAACATCTACAACACAAGAGTGATTTTGTAGTTCTAATTACCAAAAAATATCTATTTACGTATGCATGTATAGAAAACGTCGAAAAAAACCTATGGATAATGATATTTCAATCACATTAACACCATCGGATGGAATGTTGAAGACTCCATTAATGCCTCAATCAGTTCAGAATTTCTCAGGTACCAACGGAGCAATTGAACATGAACCAATGGATCCGGAAACACCAGGTAAGAATTTTTTCAAAGTTCATTTTAAGGCATAATTTTCAAAAATGTACATAGACTCAGTTAATTATTCTACCTATGAAATATTCGTACGCATTAGATTGTTTTCGGCTTAAATAATAATGTATCAAAGAATAATCTTACAGTCCTTTGAAAATCAGTTTCACTCTACTTAAAGAGAATCCATTTTTCTACGTTTCAAATGAAAAGATCAAATAAATTCAAATGTTTTGTGGAAAATGCTATCTACTTGTGAATACAGGTTCTATAGAATTTATCATAAATATAAAAACCATCCATCTGTGTCTAGAATGTTTCAACAAGTTTAATACCTTAAGGATGCTGACGGTGGAGACCTACAATCAGTTTGATAGTAAGGATAAAGTTACACTGCATATAACTTATAAACTCATGGGTTTTATAGTTTCTACTACCCATATTTATTAAAAGCTATTGTGAAACATTATTTTATATTACTTTTCTATACACAGATCATTTATAACCTACTTTTTTCAAAGTAATTTGAGTTATTAAATAATCTAATTTCTTTGCGTTCAGTCATTTTCCAATAGATTTGTCTGGTTTATTCAAAATACCTTTGGTACATTTTTCATCACACTTGAAATTGAAATCGAAATATTATTTTTTTTTTCAGTATGAGCATAAACAAAAATACGATGATGCAATCATTAATAATAATTTATTGCGAAAAAAAGGAAAAAACTGAAAAATTCAATTATTTATTGCTCGCTCAATTGTCAATAATTGTATTATTAGGGAAAAATTAATTAAGATTTAGTTATTTATAAATATAAATATAAACACAACAATTTAATTCTTAAATAATGAGATTAGTAAGCTTTTGTTTTGGATTTTTTTGACGTCGACTTTCACTATATTCCTGTGTTTGGACGTAGTTTTCTACTGTTATCATTCATAAATCGCGCTGATTCATAATAAGTTATATAAACAAAAAACACAAAATAAATTTCATCGAATTGATTTATTTGAAACAGTTATTATCTTGCATATTTACTTTTTTCTTTAACTGAATAACCTGATATTTTATTCATTTTATGCACATGTAAAAATATTTGGAAGACTTAATTTATCAATCAATAATACTCCTAATTGTCTGACTTTATCAGAGTCGAGAATTTTTCAGTGATTTCTTTGATGCTATTACTAATTAAAAATATTTTACAATGAATAGCACTTGATAACAGCATTCTTCTCATAATTTGCCAAAAAGTCTGTTAGTTTCACGTTCTAATTATGATGTATACTGAATATCGAATTCCCTTGGTACAGTATAAGTACTTCAATTTGTAGAAAATTGATTACTGAATACGAGATAACTATGTGAACACAATGGGTGAGGTCGTGCAATACCGTAGATTGATTTAATTGGACAATAACACCGTTGGATGCTGGTTCAGTGGTCTGGAGTTTAAGCGTTCACACATAAAATCGGAGGTCTCGGTTTCCATTTCCGCTTAAGGAATCATTGATTTGCGCTGCTGAAGAGTCTCATACTAGGATGAAACGGCTATCCAGTGCTTTCAAGTTTCTAATGGTGCTCCAACATTGATGAAATTCAATAATTTCCACAACTCAATGAGGAAGTGGATTTAATTTATCTTCATTAAGTACTATGTGAATACATCCTTTTTAACCCATTATTATAATATTTAATGAAATAGTATCTTAAAATGTATGCTACCAAACGAATTCACAAATCGATACAATAATCTTGGCTTTCTAAGGCTGTGGAGGATTATTATGACAGAACTTCAAATTGGTCACAAAAAGTCATTTCGCAATATGCGTCAAATATTTTTTTATTTATTGAGCATAAAGAGATTTTTCCTTCCACAATTATCATTCATACTGATTTCTATTTTTCTAAACAATTCTTTTCTAATAAACTGATATGACAGTTTCAGCATTCTTTTTACAACAGATATATATGTGATGTTAAAATATCTTATCAGTTAATAAGCCCAGCTTAATACGACATATCAGAATCCTGTAGGAATTTTAAATATTAAAAAAACAGTTGAAATAAAAACATGAATTCAGTCCTAATTTCCATCATACTCAAAAACATGTCAATAAAATTTCAACACAAAAACACTGTATCGTTTATAGAAAATTCTGAAACTTTATGTTGCTTTATCAGAAATTACTGAGAGAATTAGACTGAAATGCTCACAAACACAAATTCATATATTTATGTTAAAACTCTTCAGCTTTTGACTGGAATCATTAATACTTCACAAATATATTTACGTACAATGCTCATAAAATGAGTATTCTTCGCTTTATCTCTAATGAACAGATCTATTATTTAAAATCATTTGTAACTTTTAATCTGTTAGAGGAAGTAAATTTTATCTTTCAAATAATGACACAATGTAAATGTAGTGAGTCGTATTTTAAAGGTTGGTTTGAATGTAGTTTTCAGTTCTATGACATGTCTGCATGGGCTTTTCTATCTCTGGATAGATTTATCCATATAATCTCAATTCATTAAAAAACAAATTTTGACCTTATCAACTATTCGCTTACTGACTTGAATTTTTATGTAAGTTCACGTTTGTGAAATGCTTACACTTACCATCACCAGTCCTTATTTTCTTTGTCTTACTCCAAATAACGAATCATCCTTGAAAAAACAGAGTCGTCACACTTGCTATATTTTCCTTTCCCACTTCTCATCTTAATGTCTTACTGAGCATACGAGTGCATAGAATAAATTCATCTTAACTAATCCGTGGTCGTCGGTTCAAACATAGCTAGCCAAGGTTTAATATACTGAATTAAGCGGAAGATTTATTTTCATGGCACATTTATCCGCACATTCAAATGAAAGTCAGAAATATCGTCTCAACTTCAACTTTACTGAGAATATTTTTGTTATGATATGAATTTCTCAAGGGTATAAATCATTTCTTCACCGAATTTCGCCTATGATATATTAAATTAAACAGTTTAATCTATTCGAAAGGTGAAAAATTTATTGGTTTGTTTAATCACTATTACAGGAAGGCCATGCTGATAGGCTTATGCACTTTAATAAGGATTTAAAATAACTGATTTCGCATAACTTAATTAAATGCCTGTATATTCACTTTAGGTTGAAAGATTTTCTAAACATTCAAGTGAAATAATATTACTCCGATCAAATGTAATGTATTCTGTTTACCGTAGTCTGTATTTTTAAGAAAACTAGATTCGTAAGCAATAATTAAATCCATTTTAACCTTTAAAATAAACATTATTATCAATATTCGAATCATCGTGTCCAATAAACATGTTAGAATTTATATTCACTCTGTTATCATAGTGTATCTAATCGAAATCATTGGAGTTTACTAACGCTGTCTTGAACGAAAATATATCTCAATACTGAAACAAAAAATGTTCAATCAAAATATACAGAAAGTTCTCGCCAGGGATCATGCTACCTTATTCTTACCTTTCAAATAAATATTAACATATTTTTATATTTATGTATGTAGATGTTAGGCTACACAGAATTTATATATTTACATAAATAATTAGCGTGGAGTAATTTCGTTTCTTCACATATTTTTCCACAAACAATCCACTCGAGAATTCTCCATACTTCATCGTAGTTTACTTAATTGACATAAAATGAAGTAACCAAGAAAGAATGACAACGCACAAAAATTAAATATGATACAATTAATCGTTGAGATTTAAAAGAAAGAGCTGGTTTAATGTGCACCACAAAATAAGTGTTTGATTACATTTATATTTGAAACTGATATTGTAAATTGACATTTTTTCTCTTTTTTTAATAAAAGATTTATTTTATCTTGGTTCTGTTTATATTTTAAACAAAATTTTAGTGGCATAGCATAAAAAAATTAATTTTTGTAATAATAATAAATATTTATGTAAAACTAATTCAAGATACTTTTATTTATCTTAGTGAATGTAATTTAATTTTTTCTATGTAATTTATTCAACCTTATCAAAGATAATCAAACTTATTAGTACTTCAACCATTTTTCTCTTTATTGCTAACCTAAAATTATTTCTTATGAACACAAACCATTTACGTGAAAATTACTAACTTCGTCATAATTTGAGATCGGTCAAGTTTATGCCTAAGCAAACAGAATTTAGAATTCATGTAATTTGACGAGAAGATGAAAAGTATTAAAACTATGTGATATATTGGTCAACTACATTTCGTATAAGAAAAAAATACAATATCAGCCAAATATTAGCATTAATATATTGCATGGCTTTGATAATCCAAATTTATTATAAAGACCAACTCTTTAGCGAATACAAACTCTTTGGCAGTGAGCTTAATTCAATAAAATACTCTGCTCTACTTTGAATTGTTCGACCTTCAATAAAAGGCTGTTTCGAAGCACCATACCTAAGCAGCTTCTGCAGTTTCCTATCAAATCTAGAAGTTTAGCTTATAAGCGTGCATTGTTTAATTTTTCGGTATGTTAATTGTTGTGTTTGAGACCCATCAGTTCTAAGTTTACTTTAGAAACTATTATCTAATTCTACTCTAGCTAGTTGACTTCTGATACGTTTCTACAAGTTCCATTAAAAACTCATATGCATCACATATCATGTTTTATAAAGATAGGTTGTTCATTCTTGAGATAACGAAATATATTCTTTTAAAGCCAAAAATAGGTTTCCATTGCCGAAGAAAAACTGATCATTTAAGGAAAAATAGTTTCTTTTATCAAAATTGCTCAACCGTATGTACAGCTATTTAACATACATTAGTCAAATGTGACTGCATCATAAATACTCGAAAACTTCAAGTATCGATAGAGGGTTAATTGACTTAATATTTTATTCGAAAGCTTTTACCCAAATTATCTTTGAAACTTTTGTTTGGGAAATCATCATCATGTATCTTTCATTTTACACTTTCCTCTATGTTAGGCCAATCTACCAACTTTACTCACTCAATTAACAATCTAATTGTTTTGTTTTAAAGAGATTCGTCAATATGGTGAAAAAATTTAATCTTAGTAAGATGCTGCACTGATATTCACTTGACATCTTATCATATATACACATAAATAGGTTGTGATAAACTTATGAGGCTGATTTAATTACAACTAAACACATTGAGTAAAATTAAACCCATAATCATCAGCACAAATCTTAGTGGGTATCGAATATCGTTTTGTCAGAAGATATAATTTTAAATACAGTAAAAATTACATTTGACAGTGTTTTCCATTACGGATCGTTGTGATTAGAAGAATCATAGAAGACACATGAGTCTTGAGGAGACATGTCTTCCATCTGAACGTTTTACTGATGATGTTCAGAAGACCAATGAAAGCTTCAGCTGACAGAACGAAACTCCACCACAAGATTTTAATAATAATCACATAATTATTTAATTTTTTATCTAAAATGAACTAGATAATTAAATAATCAAGTATGACAAATCAAACAACTGCTGGAGATCAATGAGTATTATCTATGACTCTTCAACAATAGAAATTTTTTGAACTTTTGCAGTTGCTTCTTTTTATTGTGTTTTAATTCACTCATCGCGGTTCGATTGATTAATAATTTGAAACTTATTGATTAAAATGTTCACTGATTACTTAGTGACTTCAAAACCCCGTAAATTTGTACCAGATATATTATCCAACTGTTTATAAATGAAAGTTGGGGCCTAATTTCAGACGAAACTTTTATGCTAAATATCTGTTTACAGTGTATTGAAGGTTTAAAACTTTAGCATATCGTAAGCCTTATCTTGTGTGTATCAATTTCTATTGATTGATAACAAATTAAATTGTTGAGTTTATTTTGCAATCCTCTTATTTCTAGACAATCCTACACCAGTACATACACCGATACGTTCAGCTATACCAATATTACGCCTACCAGAATATGTAACTACGCTTAAACGTGACAGTGGAATAGGTATAGCAGAAGAGTATGAAAGTATTGAAACTAGAAACGATCTAACATGGAAACATGCTAATATGGAAGAGAACAGACCGAAAAATCGTTATGCCAACATTATTGCCTATGATCAATCACGTGTAATCCTCAGTGAAATTAGTTGTATCCCTGGCTCTGATTATATCAATGCTAATTATATAGATGGATATCAAAAGAAAAATGCATATATTGCGACTCAGGTAAAAATAAGTTTGTATATTTTTTGATAATGTATCATGAAATGAATTTCTGTACCATTTCGATTTTTAAAAATAGATCATTTCATGTATAAATGAATAATATTCAGCATCACCGCATCAAGTGGTCCTTTCATTAGAAACTTCAATTACACCAAACTTTTCAGTTAGTTCTAAACAGATTACTTTACTCATATGCATATCTTGAAATTACTTAAATGTATTGTTACTTCAAATTACTATCGGAATTGAGTTTTATTTCGTACTGATCATGAGTGAACACGATTATGCTAGTTACTGGATAGTTCACCTAATATCATTATTACTAGAGGGTTATTCTGGTATCACATCTTATTTCACAAACTAATAAATATATTAGTGAAATAATACAGTAAAATAATTATTCGTAAACTAGAATAGCCACATATCAGATTTGCAGCGTCTGATCCAGATTTGAACACTGAAAATTGGTAAATTAATGATTAACAAATTTAAATTTCAAGCTCTTCAAACCTTGACTTACTTTTTCCAGTCTATATGGCACAATAACATCGCTACAGCCTGGCACGAAACCGATCAGTAGATTTTTCTACTTGGCAAATATGTGACGTGAAAAAATAAACATTTTTATTTCCCGTCAAACTATCATTGCGATGAAACTAATGCTTTGACTTTATTTACTTAAAAGACAATTACTTCGGTGTATAAATTTTACTGGAAACTTTAAAAGAAAATTAAATTCCTAGATTCAAATGAGTATAATGTTTACTTCGAACACAAATAAATATAACCAGTTTCATATGATAACAACTTAATAGATCTGTAAAAAAGTCCACTTAAAAAGAAATGAAAATTAACATTGGAGAGTTCAACTCTTCCTTGCATGACCAATGGTATCATTACTTATTCACTAATACATATAATGTTGTGTACTAAGATAACATTGGTTGAAAGATATTTATTGGAAATTGCAGATTCCCAAACACTTCTAATTCAATATTCAGGAAAGATGATAACAAACTGTCAATTAAGCATATTATTTTCACTTTATGATCTCTACTTTCAAATGATTGAATCTGTCAAAAAAATAAATACACTCATTATCCTTAAAACGAAACTGTTTCCTACTAATTCAAAGCTCTAAGTATCCCATATGTAATGTGTAATTTCTTCTCAGGTACATTTTATATCTAAGATTACTAGAATTTAAAACCACACCAAAACAATAAAACAATCGTAATAGCGAGTTTACGTAATAATGGCAACAGTAGATTACATAAACAAGAAAAAATTTGACAAACTTACGAAATAAACTAAATAAAATACACAAATCTTCGATCGTCATCAATTCAGTCTAATTGGCATTTTTAATAAACGAGTTTTAGTTGAAATCTCACGGATCATAAATTGTAGTAAATGTCTGTGAAAATCACATTACAAAGCATGAAAAATTAGATAACTAGTTATAAACTGCAAATTTGTTACGTACTGGCATTTCTTTCTTAAAGTGAATCCGTCAAAGAGTCTCTTTTCCCTACTTTTCTGAATAAAACTATCTTAACAACTGAAAGAAATACAATACTTTTTTGATATTTATTCAGGGTCCACTGCCAGGTACATTTTATGATTTTTGGCGAATGGTATGGGAACAGAACAGTCGTGTCATTGTGATGATGACACATTTAGAAGAGAGAGCACGTATTAAATGTGATCAATATTGGCCGAATAGAGGAAAAGAAGTATTTTCTTTTCAACAACAGATACAATGTCAACAACAAGAACATAATAGTAAAATTAATTATGATATTAATTATGCCTCTGTGCCTACATATACTGTGATTACTAAAAGTGTACAAGAATTTGCTTATTATACATTGCGTACATTTATTTTGCAACGTAATGATGAAACTAATATATTAGAAACAGATTCAGTTGGTTTCAATCAACGCCAACATCTAACTGATTCAAGTATGAATATTGAACAAAGAGAGATTAAACAATTTCAATTTACAGCTTGGCCTGATTATGGTACACCAGATTATCCGCAACCGTTACTATTATTTATTAGACGTGTTGGTCAAGTACGTTCACAGTTAATGCATCATTTACAACAAGAACGTTTAGTTAATGATGAGAAAACTAATTCAAGAGAATTAAAATCACAATCAACTGATATTCATAACTCTATGAATTTAAATTTTTCTGATGAAATTGGACCTTTAATTGTTCATTGTTCAGCTGGGGTTGGTCGTACAGGTAATGCCGTCGTTTAATTTTAGTACGGTTTTATGGCATTTTCCTGTTTTTCTTGATAAAAAGTTAACAACTATTTCATTGCCTTGATAAAATTATCGACTTATAGCGGTATGGCTGACTGTTCGTACTATATCTGAATGACTTATAACCTCATAGGTCCTATTGTTTACGAACCTAGAAAACAAAACTAAATATTTGTAATAATTTTTTATCACAATTAACAACCATGGACAGCCAGTCAAAAATGAAAATTTTCACTTAACATAGATAGCAATTCAAATAATGAATTATCAGTGAATGTTACTAACTTATTATCTGCTTCTAACAGATTAGGGTTTTGGCTAAATGCACATAAAACATTTTAATGTCTGGCTAAATGAAAAATGGTCAAGCCTCACTAGGAAAGCAGCAATAGGATTAATGCATCAGGGATTCAAAGTATTTCTTAAATTATCAGAATATTCTTTCTCACTAACTGACCAACAGAATCTAATCAACTAAGTTTTATTCATTTTAACCTACTGAACAGAGCGTTTTGACATCAAACTGCATCATGTTTAACAGCGAAAATTTTTCCCTGTAGGACATTCATCTTCATTGGTTATCTTTTCTATTATATATATATATGGTTCGCTGAGGGATTGATATCCTTTTCATCCCATAACTTATTATAAGCTTCTGATCGATTTTTCTGCAAACTTTGATCTAGGGATTATTGCTAGGGTTGCATACAGAACCGGAGTGATATCCTACTAGGGATCTTATAAGTATTCTCCCCACTTGAGTGACACAAATTAATGTTTTCAAGTAATACAACTGATTCTTGTATACTACTTAATTTTCCAACTATGAAGATGTTAAAACACATAGTTTAGTGGATTTATCATGATATACTTTAACGTGTATACACTATTCTAAAAGCGTTTCTAATCAAATCTTTTGAATTCACTAATGTTTATTATTAGGTGCATTTATTGTCATCGATTCTCAGCTTGAACGACTCAAACATGAAAATTCAGTAGACATATTTGGTGCAGTGTGTCGAATGCGTGCACAAAGAAATTTCATGGTACAAACAGAGGAACAGTATGCATTTTTATATGATGTATTTGTTGAAGCAGCTGAAGTACATGGTACTGAAGTTACAGCGCATGGATTATACAATCATGTTGTAAAATTACGTCAACCTGTACCAACATGTGTTTTAGCTGGTTATAATTTACTACCAAATGGCTTACAAGATAATAATCAGTTAACATCCTCTATAAAAATTTCAAGTTTGGAATTAGAATTTAAAGTAAGTAAATATTGACAGAGAAACTTCTGAATGATATCCATCTAAATAAATCGCATTTTGATTTTGATTTTGACCAATTTTTTTTATTTCGAATTTAAAATTATATTTAACTGACTTTTGTATAAACGGGAATTGATTCACTTATTATGTTTGATTGCTAAATTACTAGGAAATAGAATGAGTGTATAGAAACAGTTATATTACCATTTGATTTGAAAGGTTACATCGATCAACTATCTCTGGAGTATTAAATTTACCATGAAACTTAAAATATGAAGATGCCAAATTTGATACGTAAGTTGCTGTTACGGATATAAGGGTGGATGTCACTTCCCGGCTGCCCACACCGTAAAAGGGCTTTTCTTGAAGAACCTGGAAAGGAAGGTAGATTAGCGTTAGTCTTAGAAACCTGAGAGCATGACTGCAGAGCCCAAAGGACAACTGCTTGAGGCCGGTCACGCACGGCCTTTTTAAGAGACGTTTTTGAACTATTAGCTCCGCTCTTGTTTAAAACCCCTACCTCCGGTGACGGAGATCTGTGAGATAAGGTGAGGTGTGACATTATCAGGGTCGACATTTCTAACCCCTCCCTTCCTTTTGAGAAGGTAGCATCGCTGCAGATGCTGGTTGTCCGATGGAAACACATTACTGCTGTCACACCCGTCTACAGTCAGCAGTAAGACTTCACCCTCAGACCTTCAGTTGCTGTGTTTAGTCTCATCGTTCTCCAATCGACCTGCCTGGCATGGTAAAGCCTACAGGAACATGTGTTACAGCCAATATAGCTCGGTTAGGTTATAACGATAGACCAGCCTGACCACTACATCAAGGTAACAGCTACGGTCGGGCCGAATTCGAAACGAAATATCTAAAACAAAATACTCTCTGTGTAATTATTAACATACAATGGATGCTGAATAAAATCCCTAAGGATATATAATTGTGATAAGTACAAAGGCTATATTGTGGTGGTGTTTGGTTCTCTGAGTTGGATGTCTTGGATGTGAAGGTTTCATTGTTCTTCTGAACAACATCATCAGAACAAACTACAAATCGAAATGAAGTATTCGAATTTCTCCACTTATAACCCGTAGCTTGTTCTGTTAACCTCGATCTTGATTGGCTGTTATTGACCTCAAACCTGGAATTGTTTGCACCTTTATTTTGGTTGTATTCCCCTTTGATGTGTTTCTTGATCCTATGTCGCCTGTGATTTTTCTGATTGGTTAATAAATTAGGTCAATGTGTTTTTTGATTGTTGATTGACCTGAGTGCCAAGCTTCTCTCGTGTTCTTTGTCCTCCCCCTATCCAGCATTTCCACGTTGTTCCAATGGAATGTGTGCCCAAAATTGTCCGTATGTATTGATATAAGCGAAGGATTGTCATGGCGTTTGATTGCTAATTGGTGTTCACGTAAACGAAACAACCAATCAGCGTTGAGGTTAGCAGAACAAGCTTCAGGCCAAACGTGGAGAAATCCGAATACTTCACTTCCATCTAAAGTTTGTGTGGATGATGTTGTTCAGAAGAACAGTGAAAGCTCCACAGCCAAAATATCCAGCTCAGAGAACGGAACACCACCAAAATCATTCATCTGAGCTACAAATTTTCTCCACCATCTCACAAAGGCTATATTTTAGCTGTTTAGTGAAAATAGTCTAATCCATTTAATTACGTTCCTTAAAACATAATCATAAAACAGTCGTAACAAAGTTAGAATGCGAAGTAATTTACAGACTAAAGTTTACAGGAACCAAACTTTGAACAATTGGACTTTGTGGCAAACAACATAACTTTAGATTATTGAATATACTACGTATGGTATTATACACTGACTATGGGCATTTTGCTAAATACCACCACTGCCATCCCCTGCCGTCAAAGTCATTTATCTTGACTCTAACATATCTGGTTTTCGTCATTAATATCAAAGTATGAGGTCTCTTGTTTACTGATCATACTGAATACGATCATTCCCTTCACATTAGTAGTTCATGTAACTGATGATTAGTTTATAGATATTGCTGGAAAATGAAACATAACTATTTATTTATTTTTCTTTGCTTAGCTTAAATCTTTATGTAATTCAATATTTCAGAAATTAAATCGTAACTTACTAAATAAACGTCAAATAACTACAGCTCTGATAAGTGAGAACAGAACAAAAAACCGAGATTTAGACATACTCCCTTATGAATCTAACCGTGTCTGCTTGTCAATAATCCGCGGAGTAAAAGGATCAGATTATATTAATGCCAGTTATATAGATGGATATCGTAAGAGTCGGGCTTATATTGCAACTCAAACACCTTTACCTCATACTGTGGAGGATTTTTGGAGATTAATTTGGGAATGTAATTCACCTATAATAGTTGCATTTAGTGATGCTAGAGAGATGAATTTAATACCAACCGATGCTAATCAATATTGGCCAAGTGATAGATCGACAAGATATCAGAATTTAATGATCGAACCTATGGTTGAGTATAATATGCCACACTTTATACTACGAGAATTTCGGCTCACAGATACAACAGACGGTCAGTCACGTACTTTAAGACAATTTCAACTGCATGGATGGCCACATGACAGTATAGTACCTAAATCTGCCGAAGCTATTATTGATTTAATTGGACAAGTACATAAAACTCAAATTCAATTTGGACAAGATGGCCCTATAACTGTACACTGCAAGTAAGTAAACCTAATACATGTCCCACAACTATAAAAATACTTTGACTAACTTTTGTTTGTAAATTTACTTTCTCCTATACAATTAAAAAAATTAATTATCAGTTATTTTTTTAACTAGAAATTATTACTCATAAAAATGTCGTCTCGCAATCGAAATTATAAATACGACCAGGTATGAGTTATAAATGTGGCCAGCAGTAGTATTCAGAGCACACATCTCGTCCTGTTCGCGACTCGTCAGATGGATGTACTGATATCTCAGAGTTGGTGTTCACTCGAACCCGCTACTACTTATTTCGAACTCCATCATGTTATCCACCTAATCCAAACTATTTCGAAACGAAATGGTTATCCTTAGTTAATTATTTGTCTTGGAATCATAAAATAATCTTTTTAATCAAAATACCTGAGTCAAAGGGTTAGTGATTTTACATATCAAGAAACGTGCATTAAATATTTTATCAGCTGAATGATATGAATAATGACATAGTAATTACCCATGATTATTCCAGAATTTTCCTAGTATTTAATGCAGTATTAAGTACATTAAAATTAACACAACCTTACGGATAGTTTAATAATTGCTTTAAATTACGTATCATTAATTTGCTCTATTAATGTCTGATTGATTTTATTTCTCTTAATTTCATTTCAATAGCACGGGATCAGGAAGAACGGGTGTATTCATATGCTTAAGTATTTTATTAGATAGAATGAGAACTGAAGGTATGGTAGATATGTTTCTTATCACACGTATGTTACGTACACAACGAATTAACACTATACAAACGTCTGATCAATATGCATTTTGTTACGCAGCTACTCTAGAATATTTAGCCTCATTCGATCATTATATGAGTTGATTTCTCTTTATACTGGTTACAAACCACATACAGTGTTACTTCCATTCCTGTCATACTGATGAATTCTTTTTTGAATCCACTGTAAAAAAAACACTTATAAATTTTTTGTCAAAAAACCTCTCAACCATTATATAATAGAGGTTTACAAACAATAAAATTTGGTAAAGAATAGGACATCATGAATTAGAAAAATGCATTTACTAAGCGAAAAATATGTATTACTGAATAAAATGACAATTAAAAGAATTATTGTTTTAATGTTTTTTTTATAGCCCTTTTTTACCGCCAAATAAATTTTCATTTTTCATAACGAGAAAGAAACATTACCAAATAGCATTGCTATAAGTTTATTTATTGATATATATATATATATATATATATATATATATATATATATATCCATGTAAAATAATATTTTCTCTAGATAAAACAGTTTCTTACATTGTGAAATATTTTCACTTTTCGCTTTTGAGATATACTCCTGTCGGGGTTTTCATCTCTTCATTTATCCTTCGTTTCACTATTCTATCTACTCCTTTTTTTTGTTATATATCAGTTTTATTTTTATTCATATTGTCGTGTATTTTTCTTTCAAAAACAATCTACTTCTTGTTATTTGTTTTTCGTGTACGGTTTTACTTCCAGAGTTTTAGGGTTATAGAAATTATCGATTCACTCATTTATGTATCATTCTCAGAAATTATTATATATGTATACAGAATATTGTAAAAGTCTATAATTTACAACCTAACCAATGATAAAAGTTTTGTTTTTTGTTTGCAATAAGAAACGATTTCCATATCATAGTGTTGTTGAGTTCTAATGGATAGAGTAATGAAACGTTTGAACATGGTTTTCTAATCACATACTGTTTTATGCTGACTTATTTCGTCCACTAGATCTAACCTTGATAATTTCGTCGTATTTATAAATACGGTAACAGCCTTATATAAGTGGATTCGCATGAAATATTTTAAGAAAACTCTATTTTATTCAGGCAGATTGTTGGACGCGTCTGGAACGTGATTGAACAAATAAAATATCGAAGTTAGCTTGGAGCCATAGCAAAATATGACTCGTAAAATGTTCGTAGTGATAAATAAATGGTTTTTTTAAGTTTTCGATTTTCATACTCGCCTTATTAGTATTAGTGGGTACACTCGAAGTTGAACAGCAATGCTGTCAAGCTCTGTGTATACTTGACATCCTTTTATTCATACACAATTTAGAATTATTACTGTTTTTCAGTCTTCCTGATTTATTCATATTTCGAGATGACCAAGTGAACAAAGACTAGGTAGTTCACACAAGTAATGGGACCGTATGAGTATTTTACAGTGAAGAGTTTTATATAGTGACTGAAAGTTGAAGCTTGTTCCTTACCTGACTAACGTTAACGATGTCAGATATCTGTAAAGCTCTTGAACTTACATATGCCTTTTGCTTAATGACATTCATTTGATATAAAGTCAATAATATTTAGAAATATGGATGAAGCTACCATATCAGATAAAATTTTACCAAATCAGATATTTATAGACGCAGTTGATTGTCGATAAAGAGATATAAAAATCACAAAACTAGCTAACTGTTGACTAAAATGAGCGTTTGATACAAAAGAGGAATAAGTATTGACAGTAATCAAACAACAGTAATCCAGTGCGGTAGATGCTAAAAAACGAAGAATTTCTAAACACTCATACATAGCAAATACTTGATGTTTCCCTCGGACAACCAGCTTCCGCAGCGATGCTGCCTGCTCACAAGGAAGGAAGGGGTTAGAAAAGGTCGACTCTGAAAATGTCACACCCCACATAAGCTCATGGATTCCCGTCTCCAGCGGTTAGGCCACTAGAAGAACGGAGCTGACACGTCAACTTCGTATAAAAAGGCCGTGCGTGGTCTACCACAAGCAGTTGTTCTTTGGTTTCTGCGGTCACCTTCCAGGAAGCTCAGACCAACCCTAATTCAACTCTTTTTCAGGTTCCTCAAGAAACACCCTTCCAAGGTGTGGGCAGCCAGGAAGTGATATCCGCCCTCATACTCGTAACAGCACATGAGACTACACTAGTCAGACTCGAATCCCCCTATAATTTGAAATAACCATTTCAACTCCTGATGCAGTTGGGATATTCGCGCAATGTGTGTCCAATCCACCTCCAGCGCTTTTCTAACTTCTTCCTCAGCTGGAATCGCGTTCTCTCTCTGCCACAGTAGGTTGTAACTGACGGTATCTGCCCAATAGGTCTGCAGTATCTTGCATAGACAGCTGTTAATAAACACATATCTTGTGGATGACGATTTTTGTAGTTCCCCAAGTTCCCGCTTCATACAACAGAACGGTTTCGATTTTTGACTTTGGGGTTGGTAGACAATTGTTTAGGGTTTCAGATGGTCTTCAACTGTAGAAATGTTGCCCTTCATAGTGTCATTCTGTACACGTGGTCGAGTGCTTTCTGTAGTCAAGGAAGCCGATGTACAGTGGTGAGTTTCAATCAGTTGGTTGTTCCACTATAATTCGTAGCATCGCTGCCTGGTCTGTACACGATCGATCCTTACCGAATCCTGCCTATTGATCTCAAAGTTGGGTGTCTAGGTCAGTCAGTCAGTCAGTCAGTCAGATGCAACGTAGAACTTTGTACGTAAGTACATCAGTTCATGTTGCCATACCTTATCAGCACAGAGATATAATTGTCAATTCAAATCCAATAGTAGAAGAGTTAGTAAAGGTATTAGAAGTAATCGGAGAGGTTACGATTAGAAGATATTCAAGAAATATGATTCAGTGAGAAAAGTTAAGAAAGTCGAAACTAGAGGGGTTAAAGAATCCAGAAGATTAGGATTTGATAGAACACAAAGAATAAATGCACCGGCGCCATTGCAAACGCTTTCGAACCATGTCATTCAGTCAATCCTGTCTATTGATCTCAAAGTTAGGTGTCTAGGTAATAATTCATTGCACTACTCTGTTGATGACTTCTCCAGGTACTGATAGTACCGTGACTCATTTTTAGTTCTCATACTTGCTGAGATCGCGTTTCTTCGGTATCTGAATGAGGTTTCCTTCTGTTGGTACTTGTTCTTCCTCCCAAATCTTGCTGAATAGAGCGTAGGACATCTTTGCGGTTACTGCTATGTCTGCTTTCAATGCCACAGCTAGAATGTTTTCTGGTCCTTCTGGTTTCCCACCATTGATTTGTCCGATGGCCCTGTCGATTTCTTTAATTGTTGGTGAGTTGACATCGATTGCGAGGTCCGTAGGTGCTGTCTCGATGTTGCGTGTATTCCATGGGACTGGTCCACTCGAGTTATTTTAAGTGCTCTACCCATCTGCTTCACTGTCCTTTAATGTCAGTGATTGCTTTGACTTTCTTGTTCTTGACTTGTTCTTCTGGTTCACCGTAATCTCCAGCGACCTTTTTCGTTGTATTGTCAATTTGTCTCACTTTGCAACTTTAACTGCTGTCAAAGCTAGACCTTCCTTATATTTCTTTTTTTTCCGTTCTGATGCTAGTCTTCACTTGCTGATTCACTTTGTTTTATTCAGCTTATGGCTTTTCTTTCTCTGCTACTGTTCAGCTGTTAATAAGGATACCTACACTTCCTCTTTTGTTCAATCTTATCTACTGTATTTACTGAGATTCATTCCATATAACTGCGCTTCTGGTGACCTTAAAAATCATTACTTTTTGAAGTTATTGCTTCTCTGGTCTCTTTCCAGTTGTTCTCCATCATCCTCATTATTATCGTTGGGAGGCGCATAGCACTGGATGATATTCATTGAAATCCCCTCTTTCTCCGTTTCAAAAGATGCTGTTACGATTCTGTATACATGCAAATTCTCATCATACAATTTCGTTTTGTGCTTGTTTGGACAGGATCAGTGTGACTCCTTGTGTGTGAGTCATTTTCTGCTTCATAACCGGAGTATAAAGGCATCCTCTCTGAAGCTAGTGTTTTCTGTCAAACCTGCACTCATTATATTTCACAGATTGAAAATACCACAAGGTTGTATCCTTTCACTATTGCAGTAGCGTGAACAACTCTCTTGGTCTCTCACAATGTACGGACATTCCATGTATCCATGTTTGTAGTTACTCCGGTTGTCAGGAGCGCCTTTGGCCTTCTGACTTTCACCATGAGGTGTCATAACTCTTGTAATTTAAGATCTTCCTAATCTCGTAGCCGAACTTAAATGATCTGAATTATCTGTTCTGGTTAACAATTTTTTAGCCAATTAGTTTTCCACAGGACGGGGTCACCAACCCCACAACCAACCCTCCTCCATTGTCCGAGCTGGGACCGGCATGAACGACAGAGGGCCTCCAAGCCAAGATACCTATCTGCCTAAGCGACTGTTTATTATCCGTAAACTCCTTTTCTCTCAGCACTGTAACTCCAGGAAGAGATACGCCCTGTATAGCAAACCTGCGGGGTGCGATGGACAGAGAGACAATAATCTTAGATTGTATAGGGAGGGTTATCGATCAGTATCTTGACTTACTTCTGACTTTTCTAAGTGTAAAAAAGACCATCCTGGACATACCGCAGACTATACATACAACTTTGTTCACTCACCTCTCGAGGTATAATAGGTTGAAAGGAGTATTTGGTCTCATCTGTAGTCTTATGCTAAATTTAACAAAAATAACTTTCGAGCAAACATTGCACCGGCGACGTCCAAGCAGAGTTTCGGTCAGTCTGACAGTATTAAGTTTCAGCTACTGCTATGCAGTTTTACTGGGCACGATTAGAGCATGAAAATATGATGTTTTCCCCGTCACTGCTAAAGGACAAAGATGAACTGGAACGCTCATATGATTTTGAGACGGTGGAGAAAATGTGCAGCTCAGGTGGATGATTGTGGTGATGTTCCATTCTCTGAGTTTGATGTTTCTACTGTGGAACTTTCCTTGTTCTTCTGAACAACATCGTCAGAACAAACTTCAGATAGAAGTGTAGTATTCTAATTTCTCCACTTATAACCCGTGGCTTGTTCCGCTAACATCGGTCTTGATTGGCTGTTATTGACCTCAAACCTGGAATTGCATGCACCTTTATTTTGATTGTATCCCCTTTGATGTGTTTCTTGATCCTATGTCGTCTGTGGTTTTTATGATTGGTTAATAAACTGGGTCAATGACCTTGTTTTTGTTGAATGTTGATTGACCTTAGAGCTAAGCTGCCAAAAATTTCCTAATGTTCTTTGCGCTATCCAGTATTTCTACATTGTTCCAATCAGATGTATGTCCACAATCGTCCGTATGTATTGATATAAGTGAACAACTGTCGTGGCGGTTGACTGCTAATTGATATTTACGTAAACGAAGCTGAAGAGGCCGTCCTCTTTGTCGTATGTAGTGTTTTTCACAATTTGAGCAATTTATTTTGTGGATGATATCTGGTTTTCATTCTCTTGTCATTCTGTCACTTCGATCCTAAGTTCGTGCTGATTATGTCATTCAGAAGAATAATGAAAGCTCCACAACCAAAACATCCAGTCCAGAGAACGAATCACTACCACAATGAACTGGAATGTGTAGAACAGAGAGCCACAAAACTCATTCAAGGACATAGGTTCTAAGTGATGTTGAAATCACAAGAGTAAATTGTTTGAGAACTGACTTTGTAATGGCTTGTAGCGTCCTAAACTTTCTGGCTCATTCCCTAAAATGCATACCTTAGCTCAATCCCAACACAAACTCTAGAGGCAGTACTTGGAAACTAGGGGTACAGCATTGCAGAATGGCCAGAAGAAGTAGTTTCTAATCATTACAAGTAGTCTGATTCTGTAGCTCGCTCCAGACTCAGGATGTTCAAACGACTTAATGAGGAAACTTGACTTAAGAACTTAGTACAGTATTTCATCGAAATTCACTAACATTTTTCTCTTACTTGTCACATATACCCATTTTTCCATGTGTATGTACCGTCAATCCATTGCTAATAGATACGGAAGCTCATTTAGCTAAAACTTCCACTATTCCCTCCGAAACCATTTGTACAATATGATGCCACTATTTGGAGGGGTTTTTAGATGGGGCGTTACGTTGATGTACTCAAGCCATATAAATCTTGAGTTTGTAGGTTCAGTAAACAAAGAATGGGCATGGAAAGGTGGGTACCAATTCAGTTACAATTAACGGATAGATAATTTGTACTACTTTCATTCTCTGAAAGTCAAGACAGAGTTATGCCATCACAATGGTTGTGTATGTCTTCTGCATTCACTAACCACATATTTTAGGTCAATACTATCTGCTGGGATGATCGCGGAGAATATATTTTGTCGGGTTCAGATGACAGATGCATCGCTATCGCGAATGCTTTCTCACTGGTTTGTTAAATAATTGCTTCAGTTTGGTAATAACGATCCCTCCTCAATCAGGATTCTGAAAGCCATAATGTCTATATTTTGAAGCTCCCTGCGTACAGTAATATTTTTACTGCCAAGTTTCTGCCATTTTCTTGTGGAAGTGAAGTAACATTCAGATCATTTTTTTAATTACCTTAGATAGTTGTCGGCTTTAAGTGTGGCTGTGTCACACACGTTAACCCTAATTCTACTATTAAAGATAGTCTTAGGAATATTTTCTGTCACAGCTTTGCTGTTTATGATGTGAGTTCAAGCTCATGTTTTTGCGCACTGCATTTTACATTTGGTTTTCCTCTATCTATTATTTATTCCGATATCTATTCAATAATTAAAATGTTATTATTTCATTTATATCCCTGTATATTTGTGTTGATACTTCATCAAAGTTATGTTTCCGAAACATTGTTGCACTTAGTAGAAGAGGTACTAGCTTTCATAGTTACCAGTATGTGTAAGACAGGATAAATATATTACCTGAATGAACTTGTTCTTTTTTGAAAACGACTGTCTTATATGTCAATTGTAAAGCAATATAATGTTCACTCAAAATTGCCCCCAGTGGTTTTATTTCAGTCACTTGCTATTCATATCCGTATATCGTTAATTTCGGCTGTTTTGTTTATCGAACTCCTACTCAGCTGGTAGTTGATGTTACTAGTAAACATTAGTGAAATATGGTTAAAAAATTCCCATTGTTGTATAAAATTTAAGTACTTGGAGGTCCAACCTATTAAGTTCTCTGAGCACATGTATTAAAAGTATTCCCAATGATTGTCGTAATTTAGTGTTTTATTGACATAATTGTCCAATTTAGTTATTTAGTATGTTCTCGTGTTTACCTCTATAAACGCTGCTAGCCCACAATAATAGTGTTCACTCAAAAAATGGTCAACTACCTCTGTCGGAACTATTGGTGAAGTCGATCAGGTTGTCAATGTGAATGAAAAATCAGTTATCACTAGAAAATCCTAGAGATTAGCTTGCTGCATTATAACTACACCAAACGGTTGACTAAATTAGTTATCTAGTCGTTTCTCAAATGTTCCATACTTGTGTTTGATTCTCTACCTTTATACTACACTCCATATCATAATCGTTCCCTTAATGTTTCGATTTTTTCAGATTCTTACTATGCAAGAAATGCCTAGTTGCTTTATAACACTATCTCATGACCATTCGGCGACGCTTCTGGATACTAGAGTCACCTCCATCGTACGTGAGAACCAGAGTTGTAGTCGGGGATGCTTCAGAAATACACACTCACCATGGTTTTCAAATTTTTCTGTGGTCAATCAGTTGAAGTTCCAGTTTCCAGTAACTGCTGGGGATATCCATCCTGTCGATGGATGCCGTTCAATCGCTTTAGCAACAGCTGATGGTTTTGTACGGCTCTTCGATATTCGGAAGCTTTTCTCTACCGGTGAGTCAACTATTCAGTTGGTATCCAATAATAAACTCACATTTAGTACTGGGATCTATTGTCCTCAGTCTGCTTGTTCATGTTCAGTTAATTACTACTTGGTGTTTAATTTAGGTGAAGCGGTCACCTAACGGTCAAACCGTTCGGCTACTAGGTCTTAGGTTCGAACCCTGCTTGACTTTCGTTCTAGGTAACCGGATAGTATCATTAGCCCTCACATGGTGTGGCTCCTACCCAGACACCTGGTGATTGTGCTAACGGAATTTTTTAATGTTTCGATTGTAGTAATAAACAGTTATGATATATTAAAAGTGTACTAATAAAGTTTATTTGCCAATGAAAACCTCGGAGACACTTGATGCTACCTATGTTCCAAAACATCGCTTCATAATCGCAGCCGTGGTTACCAGAATTGTCTACATGAAATACACTATATATTCATCCAATCGTAATTGTTTTATTAATTTAACCTCTTGTGAATTTCACAGTGTCCTCCTCCGCTGCTGTGGGCGACCCACCTCAACCAATACCATTCCGTGTAGCCAGACCTCTTGGTCTACCTGCGAAGATCAATTCTAATAAAACTTTCAGATTAGATTACGGACCAGGTCATATAACGTCAGTCAAGTTCGAACCTATCTATGACAAGGATCATACTCGTTTTTTATCACCCACTGGCTGTAAACAGTCACTTTCATCCGATCTTGGTGGGAAGCATTTACTTGTCAGTCATATGTATGCCCCTGTTTTCTTATATGATCTCAATTCAGAAGAAACTGGTAATGATTCTGAAGTACAGGTATGTTTTTACTGTGTTCTTAATCAATGGTTGTTCGAAAATCAAAATGAATTAGCATGTCTGCGTCATTTTCCTTAATTCATCATAGAATTAGTTGCTTAACCAAACTTACAGACAATCTAGTTTCTCCTGCTTCTATTCCTCATTTACTAAGTAACTTTTTCAACTATAAACCATTTTGTTCTGTGGCTTTTGTGTTTGCTTTTAAGTAGTCTGTTGTTTTCGTTCATTATCGAAGCCACTTTCTTTCAAATAACATTTTAAACTCAAAACCGTTAGTCGACACGTTAATGTTATAATGATACCTTTTATAATGATGTATTAGTCATGAAATATTAACTGAAAAGTTGATTTGATATACAGACGCTCTCCACTTACTATCTCGCATCACATAACCTTGAAGCAAAATATCTTTCTGCTCATCATTTAGCATATTTGATCGTATTTTGTCGGTTCGTATGTTTGTTGTTCTGTTCAGCATGGTCATCAGATAAATCAATGATGTCAAACCAGGAGAACAAGTCAAGAACAAGAAAGTCAAAGCAATCACTGACATTAAAGGACAGTGAAGCAGATGGGTAGAGCACTTAAAATAACTCGAGTGGACCAGTCCCATGGAATACACGCAACATCGAAACAGCACCTACGGACCTCGCAATTGATGTCAACTCACCAACAATTAAAGAAATCGACAGGGCCATCGGACAAATCAATGGTGGGAAACCAGAAGGACCTGAAAAAATTCTAGCTGTGGCATTGAAAGCAGACATAGCAGTAACCGCAAAGATGTCCCACGCTCTATTCAGCAAGATTTGGGAGGAAGAACAAGTACCAACAGAAGGAAACCTCATTCAGATACCGAAGAAGCGCGATCTCAGCAAGTATGAGAACTAAAAATGAGTCACGGTACTATCAGTACCCGGATCCTAGTAAAATTAATAATCTGATTTCACCTTGTCAAAATAAAGAAGCAGCTCGATTTACTGTTCGTGTATCTGAAAGCCCTGATGCTGCTTCCCAGGGTCTTGCCGGCGTAAGCATAACATTGAGTCGTAGAGCTGAACAATCTCTCCTTGACTGGATCCCAGTAGATAGTCGTTTGTGCGCTGTCCGACTAAACGGGACAGTAAGGACTCGTAAGTATAGGGACACTCGCCGTTGCCTCTTCATCATATCTGCCTATGCCCCCACTGACTGCAGTGCAGACGAGGTTAAAGATGAGTTCTACAGAAAGCTTTCGGACCTCCTTCAAAAAGCTAGGCGCTCTGATATAGTAATAATGGCTGGTGACTTTAATGCTCAAGTAGGTAGACTAGGTGAAAAGGAAAGACATCTAGGTGGATGTTATGGTGTAGCGACTGAGAGAACAGACAATGGCGACCGTCTGTTGCAAGTATGCTCAGATAACCGCTTATTCTTAGCAAACACTTACTTTAGGCATAAGGAAAAGCATCTGATGACATGGCGACCTCCAAAGTCGTCTCAACGTTGGACTCAACTAGATCACATCGCCATCAGCCACCGATGGAGGGGTTCGATAGAAGACTGTCGCTCGTTCTGGGGCACATGTTTAGATTCAGATCATGCCCTAGTGCGGGCTCGTATCTGTTTGAGGCTTACTGGACGTAGGAAAGACACCGTAAGGAAGCCTCTTAGTGTTTTACTTAATGATAATAAGGCGAAAAATATATTTCAGGAGCAACTAGAAAATGAGTTAAGCAACCATGTAAGCGATTCCCATCCAGATTCAGGTTGGTGTGATGTCAAAAAGGCTGTGGAAACAGCAGTGATATCTCATATTAAGGTAAACCATAAGGCTAGGATGAAGCCGTGGATCTCAATAGCATCTACTGAACTCATGGATGCCCGCCCTGCTCTGAGGGCGATGAGGAGCGGAGTCAGCTTAGATGTAGGCTGACAAAAAGCCTACGCAATGATCAAAAACAGTGGTGGGTGGAGAAAGCGAGAGAGATAGAAAAGGCAGCGTCGATAGACAACAGTGGGCAACTATTTAGACTCATCAAGGAAACTGGTATTAGGAACCCAAGTGTGAGTGAAACTATTTCGCAAAAGGATGGTCTTATTATCCATCCTCAATCCAGGAGACTGGACCGATGGGCAGAACACTCTGGGGATCAGTTCAACTGGCCTCGAGCCACTCTTCGGTTACCCACGATCTGCAGTCATCCTGAATGGCAAATCGACGTAAGTCCTCCTAGTATTAATGAAGTTGAGAAAGCGTTAGGAAATCTTAAGCGAGGGCGAGCTGCAGGTTTTGATAGACTGACCCCTGAGATATTTAAGGATAGTGGTCCACTTCTAGCAACTAGGTTGACTGAGATCTTAGGTAGAATCTGGGAACTGGACGCAATCCCATCCGGCTGGTCTCAATCAGTGATTGTCCTAATCTATAAGAAAGGACAAAAGTCTTGTTGTGACAATCACAGGGGAATCAGTCTAACTAATACAGTATCTAAAATATTAGCCTCAGTAATACTTCGACGCTTAACGAAAGCTCGTGAAGAGCAGACTGTAGAAAACCAGGCTGGTGGTTCCAGACCCGAACGTGGCTGTATAGACCACATCTTCACACTACGACAGGTCCTGGAACACAGACACACATTTAGGCGTCCTACAATAGTTGTTTTCCTGGACCTAAAAGCGGCATTTGACTCTGTATATCGTGAAATTCTGTGGCAGTGTCTGTCATTGAAAGTTGTGCCAAAGAAGTACATTAACCTCACCCTCCAAATGCAAAATGTTGCTTCAAGATTGGGTTTCATCGGCACCTGAACTAGTGATAGGGAGTGAAGTAGTCGAGCGTGTAGACAGCTTCACTTATCTTGGGAGTCTCATCAATGCCGATGGCCTGGTGACTGACGAAATCTCAGCTCGGATACAGAAGTCTCGATTGGGTTTTGCCAACCTGCGTCACTTATGGCGTAGGCGAGATATCCGTTCGCTAACCAAAGGACGGGTGTACTGCGCAGCAGTTCGTAGCTTACTAGTATTCAATCATAGATGTTTAAGAAGCATTGCTCGTATATCGTGGGACAACTGAGTAAACAATGCTGTTGTTAGGAAACGAGTACTAGGTAAGGATAGCAGATTAATAGACGCAGAAATGAAACTTCATCAGTTGAGGTGGTTGGGACATGTGTTACGAATGCCTAACCACCGACTGCCTCGACGAGCTAGGGACGGCCAAACCAAAACATGGCAGAAATCCATGAAGTCACTGACGAGTGGACTGAGCCATGTCGGTAATTGTCGACTACCTGGTTGGGGTGGTTGGGGTCCGCGAGATGATAATAATCGATAAATAGAGACCCTGAATGACATGGCTGGAAAGCGTTTGCAATGGCGCCGGTGCATTTATTCTTTGTGTTCTATCAAATCCTAATCTTCTGGATTCTTCAACCCCTCTTGTTTTGGCTTTCTTAACTTTTCTCACTGAATCATATTCCTTGAATATCTTCTAATCCTAACCTCTCCGATTACTTCTAATACCTTTACTACCTCTTCTACTTTTGGATTTGAATTGACAATTATATCTCTGTGCTGATGTGGTATGGCAACATGAACTGATGTACTTACGTACAAAGTTCTACGTTGCATCTGACTGACTGACCTAGACACCCAACTTTGAGATCAATAGGCAGGATTCGGTAAGGATCGATCGTGTACAGACCAGGCAGCGATACTACGAATTATAGTGGAACAACCATCTGATTGAAACTCACCACTGTACATCGGTTCCCTTGACTACAGAAAGCACTCGACCACGTGTACAGAATGACACTATGAAGGGCAACATTTCTACAGTTGAAGACCATCTGAAACCCTAAACAATTGTCTACCAACCCCAAAGTCAAAAATCGAAACCGTTCTGTTGTATGAAGCGGGAACTTGGGGAACTACAAAAATCGTCATCCACAAGATAAATGTGTTTATTAACAGCTGTCTATGCAAGATACTGCAGACCTATTGGGCAGATACCGTCAGTTACAACCTACTGTGGCAGAGAGAGAACGCGATTCCAGCTGAGGAAGAAGTTAGAAAAGCGCCGGAGGTGGATTGGACACAAATTGCGTGAATCTCCCAACTGCATCAGGAGGCAAGCCCCAACTTAGAACTCTCAAGGCCCAAGGTGATTGGAAAGACCAAGGAATACATTGGGCTGAGAATTAGAGACAGATATGAAAAGAATGAACAGTAATAAGGTAGGACTGGAAAGGAAGGCCTAGGATAGAATAGGTTGGAGAATACTTGTAGGAGGTCTATCCTTCATTAGAGGCAATAGGCGTAAATAACTAGGTCAGTATTAAGTTACTTTAGATTCAGAATGTTATTGCTATACTTGAAAGTCAGTCACAACGTAGAACTTTGTACGTACGTGCGTACGTCAGTTCAAGTTGCCATACCACATGAGCGCAGAGACGCAATTGTCAATTCAAATCTCAGCAAATCGTAAACGACTACGCGCTCGCGCTAGAGCATAACGTGAATCTAGAAATGTGCCCCAGAACGAGTGGCAGTCTCCTATCGATCCTTCCATCAGTTGCTGATAACGATGTGATCTAGTTGATTCCGTCGTTGGGACGAATTTGCGCGTCGCCAGGTAAAAATATGTTTTTTCCTTATGCTTAAAGTTAGTACTTGAAAGAAATAGGCGGTTATCTGAGCTTAGTTGTGGCAGATGGTCAGTATAATCTATTCTGTGAGTCGCAACACTATAAGGCCCACCCAGGTGTCTTTCAGTTTCGCTTAGTCTACCTACTTGAACATTAAAGTTACCAGCCACTATTACTACATCACATCTATTATTTTTTACCTCATCCGAGCTGCAGTCAGCGAGAGCTTACTAAAAGGCAAAGAAGAGGTGATGGCGAGTTTCCCTATCTTAATGAGTCCTTGCGACTGTCTACTGGGATCAGGTCTAAGAGAGCCAATCCTGCCCTAGGACATTACACGAAACCCACACCAGCTAGGTCACGGGAAGCATCAACAGGGCTTACAGAAACACAGAGCGTAAATCGAGACGGTTCTGTAGTTGGACAAGTTGAAGTCGAATCAATGATTATACTATGATCTTGTATGCGCTTTTCGAAGACGAAACATGCATCGATATATATTCTATATTCTAAAGTCCTCGCTGATGTAGTCTGCTGTCCTATTTGTTGTAAGGTTCGAATATTTGAAGCGCTAACATTTCGTTTACAGCCGAGTTTCAAGAGGCTGGGAACAACGTTTCGGCTTCAATTTACAGTTCTGTCCAATGTTTGTTCATTCCTCTCATATCTTTCTCTATTTCTCGGCGTAGTGTGTTCCTTGGCCTTCCTCTTTTCCTTTTGCCTTGAGGGTTCCATGTGAGGGCTTGTCTCGTGACGCAGTTAGGTGCTTTCCGCAATGTGTGTGCTATCCACTTCCACCGCTTCTTCCTGATTTCCTCCTCCACTGGAATCTGGTTTGTTTTCTCCCACAGTTCGTTGTTGCTGATAGTGTCTGGCCAACGAATACGAAGTATTTTGCGTAGACAACTGTTCATAAACACTTGTATCTTTTAGATGATGGCTTTCGTAGTTCTCCAAGTTCCCGCTCCATACAGTATGACTGTCTTGACATTTGTATTGAAAATCCTGATTTTGGTTGAAAGTTTTTTGGAGTAGTTCCAGCTATTTTTCAACTGTAGAAATGCAGCCCTCGCTTTGCCAATCCGCGCCCTCACATCTGCATCGGATCCACCTTTCTCGTCGATGATGCTGCCCAGATATGTAAAGTTGTTAACGTCCTCGAATGCATCTCCATCAAGAGTGATTTGGTTGGTGCATGCTGTGTTGCATCGGAGAATTTTGATTTTTCCTTTATGCATGTTGAGACCTACTGTTGCAGAGGCTGCTGCTACACTGGTCGTCTTCTCTTGCATTTATTGTTGAGTGTGCGATAGAAGAGCCAGGTCATCTGGGAAGTCCAGATCGTCCAGCCGCGTCCTAACTGTCCAGTTGATACCGTGCTTCCCTCCAGAGGTCGACGTCCTCATAATCCAATCGATCACCAGGAGAAAGAGAAAGGGTGAGAGTAGGCCACCTTGCCTGACACCGGTCTTCACCTCGAAAGAGTCTGTCAGCTGACCTCCGTGCACGATTTTGCAGTTGAATCCATCATAAGAATTCCGTATGATGTTAACTATTTTCTCAGGCACACCGTAGTGTCGAAGAAGCCTCCACAGTGTTTTCCTATCCACGCTATCAAATGCTTTCTCGTAGTCGATGAAGTTGATGTAGAGTGGTGAGTTCCATTCAATTGATTGTTCCACAATGATCCGTAATGTAGCAATTTGGTCAGTACACCATCGATCCTTCCGAAATCCGGCCTGTTGATCTCGAAGTTGGGCGTCTACGAAGTCCTTCATTCTGTTTAACAATACTCTGTTGAAGACTTTGCCTGGTATTGAAAGAAGAGTGATGCCTCTGTAGTTCTCACATTTGCTGAGATCGCCTTTCTTTGGTATTTTGATGAGGTATCCTTCTTTCCAATCTGATGGTACTTGTTCCTCATCCCAAATCTTCTTGAAGAGGATGTAAAATATTTTCGCAGTTGCTTCTACATCTGGTTTCATTGCCTCTGCTTTAATGTTGTTTGGTCCTGCTGCTTTGCCGCTCTTGATTTGTCTGATGGCCATACTGATCTCCTCAATCGTAGGTGCGCCAATATTAATTGGGAGGTCCTTGGATGCTGCTTCGATGTTGGGTGTGTTCAGTGGAGCTGGAGTTCCTGAAAGTGCTCTACCCATCTATTTCGCTGTTCTTCAGTGTTGCTGATTATTTTCCCTTCCTTGCTTTTCACTGGTCGTTCTGGTTTACGATAGTTTCCGGCGAGCTTCTTTGTTGTTTCGTACAATTGTCTCATGTGTCCTTCTCTTGCAGCCTTTTCCGCTGTCATTGCTAGATCTTCCACATATTTTCGTTTGTCAGCTCTGATGCTCTTCTTCACTTCCCTGTTTGCTTCCGTGTATTAAGCTTGTGCCTTAAATTTCTCTGCTCTTGTTCGGCTGATATTCACTGCTGCCTTCTTGTTCCTCCTTTCTTCAATTTTTTCAAGAGTACCAACAGAGATCCATTCCTTGTGATGGTGCTTCTTGCGACCAATGACCTCCCGACATGTTGAAGTGATTGTCTCCTTAATCCCTTTCCAATTGTTCTCTAATGTTGCGTTCTCTCCATTGAGTAGATCCTGAAAGGCCTGGAACCTATTGGAGAGGGCTATCTTGAATTCGTTGAGTTTTACGGTATCCCGAAGAAAGGCCGTATCAGACTTTTGTGATGTTGTCTGCTCCGTTGTCCAGTGCTTCTTGAGTTTCATTTCCATTTAGGCGACCAGCAAGTAATAATCTGAGGCTATGTCAGCTCCTCTCTTGGTTCTCACATCCTCCATGGTCCTTCTGAACGTTTTGTTGATACAGATATGGTCAATTTGGTTTTGAGTAGTGTGGTCCGGTGAAATCCATGTGGCTTTGTGGATGCATTTGTGCGGGAATATTGTGCCACCGATGACCAGTTTGTTGAAGGCACATAGGTTTGCAAATCTCTCACCGTTTTCGTTCCTCTCTCCCAGTCCATGTCGTTCCATGATGTCTTCATATCCAGTGTTGTCCGTTCCAACCTTGGCATTCAGGTCTCCCATAAGAATCGTCAAATCCTTTGGTGAACATTTCTCGACGATTGACTGCAGCCTTTCGTAGAATTGATCTTTAACGTCGTCATTGTAGTCATTGGTAGGTGCATAACATTGGATGACGTTCATGGTACTGCCCTCTTTCTTTGTTTTGAAGGATGCCCTAATGATCCTGGGTCCATGAGATTCCCATCCTATCAGTGCCTTTTGTGCATGTTTGGAGAGCATCAGTGCAACTCCTTGTGTATGTGAAATGTTTTCCTCTACATGACCAGAGTATAACAGCAGTTCCCCTGAAGCAAGTCTCAGTTGTCCTACCTGTGTCCAATGCGTTTCACTGATGCCGAGCACCTCGAGGTTGTATCTTTTCATTTCTGCCGCAACTTGGAATAGTCTTCCAGTCTCCCACAATGTACGAACGTTCCATGTACCTAAAAAAAATGGTTGCTCTGGTTGTCAGAAGAGCCATCGGCCCCGTGACTTTTTTTTGGCAAGTGAGATTTCGACGGAATGTTGTCGCCAACCCCATGTTCAACCCTCCTCCTTTATCCGGGCTTGTGACCGGCAGTAGCCCCCAAGGTTCTACTGGAGGAGTTTTTATTTGTTATAAGGTTCGAATATTTGAAGCTCTAACATGCCGTTACCAGCCATTATTATTGTTTGAAGAAGGTTGTAAAGCTTTCGGTAAAAGTCGTCTTTTACCTCATCCGAGCTGCAGTCATTTGGAGCTTAGTCAGAGACAGCGAAGAGGCAATGGCTGCATTTAGTCTCATCGTTCTCCGATCGACCTGCCCGGCATGGTCGAACCTACAGGAACATATGTTTCAGCCAATTCAGCTCGGTCGGGTCATCACGATAGGCAAGCCCGACCACCACGTGAAGGTAGCAGCTACGATCAGGACTATAAGTAAACGATCCAATTGATTGCTCGGCTACGCCACTTAGCTGAAGTCATCATTATTTCTGTATACATGTTTGTAATTTATATATATATATATATATATATATATATATATATATATATATATATTATACGAATTTGAATACTCTTAGTTTGCATACGCCTGTCTGTTAACCCTTCATTTTATCGTTATCGACAATAACATCAACAAAGTAATTATTATTATCTTGCAACATTAACTAAATGACTGTTTCTGCTTTTCGGTTATTCTATATTAAAGCGACCAGATTGGCTGCCGAATACCAATCCACAGAGTCTATCCTCGGAAACAGAATCTTCTCGCTCTCCTGAAGGTAAGATTTGATAGGAGATTGATAAATTTGGTTTCACTATTGATAAAGAAGGCGTTAGTCATATCGAAAAAGTGGAAAAATTTTCTTCCATAATAGTCTGCTCATGTGTTATTGAAGTTTGTCGTAGAAATAATTAGTACAGTTTCCTGTTACCCTTGTTCTTTTATTATGATAACACTTCTACTGCCTCTACTACTATAGGGTTAAAACTGATAGTTTTTTCTCTCTGTGTTAATTTGGTGTGTTGAATTGAACTGATGTTTGCTCGTACCAAGTTCTACGCCGTAACTGACTGACTGAATAAAATAATTTGTCATGCATATAATTCATTTGTCGTGTAACTGTAATGGATTGAATGCGAATGCTGTGTAGTAGTACAGTGGATCAGTTAGCATGAAAATTAATATGGAACTCAGTGATTATCAATAAAAAATAATCGAAAGTTGCAAATCACTCAAACCGTTTTTCTACATCACATTTTTTATGTATTCGTGTTCAGAATTAATTTTGCAATACAACTTTATTACATATGCTTCAGCCGACCTGTATGTTAGTTTTCTGATCAAATTAAAAGACCATTTATACTAATGACATATATATAAGCTTCATTCTTCCTTTTTGTTTAAGGTTTTAGAATGACACATTTATTTGCATCTTAATACTCAGCAGCAATAATTACCTGTTGTTTGAATTCAAAATTATGTGATAGGACGGTTATCACGCTGGTCAGAGTAATACCCAAAGGTTGGAGATAATAGTAGTAATTAAAATCACGCTACAGTTTTTATGGACAGGAGCAAGTTATCGGCATTAGGAATTTCCCAATGTTCTTACTTATCTGTGTATACTACACAATCATCCATCTTATGTATTAAGATTTTATTATAAAACTTTCTTATTGATGGTTCATGGTTGCTCAATAAATATATCCATTTGATGCTTGTATGTATTTTATTCACTTCTAAATTTCATTCTTCGTTAAATATGAATTGTTACGTAACTTTTGATCTAATAGCTCACCGATGAGTTTCTATTTTTGTTTCAGATAGCCTGATTTCAGATCCAAATATACGTTTAACTGTTGCTCTTTATCGGTAAGCTTTATGTTACGTTATTAGATAAAATCCGGTCTTGATCTTTTACTACTCCCATGAACTCTGTTTTCATAAACTGTTATGAAATCTCTTTACTATTTGATTCTGTTGAATTTTATTGTTGTTATCTACAGACATTAGGATTGCTTATAATATTCAGACATTTTAAAAATGCATTATGGAATATGCTGTAAAAAACTTAGAAGATCTCAATAGTTTTGCTGAATGTTTAGTTTGTGTACCTCAGTACATATCTTTCAAAAATTCTGATAGCTCAGTATGTAAATATCTGTGTCGTTTCTGTTGTAAGTTGTCAGTATTCAGATTAGTGAACTACTCTCACAAACTCTGGACCCCTTTTGCTCTCAGTGAGTGAACTATTTTATTCAACGAAGAAATTCACTACTATTAACCCTACAATATAATCAAAAACAATAAACACTGAATTTCATATTTTTTTGCGGCATAACATTAATTCATTATATTCCAAAGCTTCTCATCAACTTCAAACAGCTCAAATTTACGCTGTTAATATTGTGGCACATTTTTGTCACATACCATAGTCAATTCTAGTTTCGCTTAAAATGACGTTAACAAGAGCATACAATATATTGAAGTGAATGGTTACGATTGATCAGTATTGATGTGTTGAAGATGAATTGTAAGTTCTAGCATTATACAGCATTGCTCATTAATGATGGAATCAACTGGCTTTTTCTTTACACGCACTTTAAGAATCTTGTACATTCAAGTCATGCTTCAATAGCACAGAAGTGATGTAGTAGGGTTACTACAAATGAATTATGCACAGAACGTCAATTTTATTTCCAATAAATATGGATTTTCCTAGTGTTATAAAATACATATGTTTCTACACCTTCCTATAGATAATTCATATCATGTTATGTCTTTCAGGTGGCTTACTCAGCATCGATCTAGAACAGATATAAGTGCTGCGGATGAAACATCGACTGTGCCTCAAACAGTATCTTCAAGTCCTGCTGAGTCAACAATTAGTGAAACTTCTAGCACGGATATAACACAGAGTAATTTACAATTTGTTATTGTTTTAATGAATTTTTTATTAGGTTTCAAAATCGTAGTTATATTTTTCACTATTCTTAGAATTCGTTTCTGTGAAAACTCAAACACTTCGTGAATGATCTGATTATCTAGTTACTTTTATTATAGTGTATAGTATAGTGTTCATACTGGTCTTTGGATTTGACATTTCAGTTGTTAGGTAGATTAACATTTGTATCCTTTTATTACACTGGAATATTGCTTTTTATCATGTCCATATTCATTTTCATTAACTGCTGTTCCTCATCTTAGATTCTCAGCGTGAACCAAAACTTCCCATCGACTACTTAACTGATGCATATATTTCTGACATCATAAAATCTTCTCCAAGATGCCGCGAAGTTATGAAATATTGTGGTCGTGAATGCTGTAGTACTGTGGTATGTTATTGTCTAAGTATATTTATTAGTTCTATTAGTACCATTGATTTCTAGTGTTATACTTATCCACTCCCTCAAATCAGATCTCGTTATATTTAAATTATTCCTAACACTGAATAATACTATGCCATAGAATATTCGTGTTGAATAATATTCAAATTGTTCAAAAATTTCGTTTTACCTAAAATCTGTAGCAGACAAGTATTTTGGTTAAAAAAATCACATAGATTAGCCAGCTTAGATTAGGCGCTTTACTTCGTATAAACAAAAAGTGTAAATTCATATGCGTCATTTTGGTAAGCTGCAGTTTTGTTTATTTCTTACTATAATACTGAATTTTGAAATCTCATTACATTTTCTAATATCCTACAGCTGTATTTCTGTCAAGTTGTTTTGCATATTGTTATTAGGGCATTGAATAAAGCTCATTCCATGGGAAATCACATTGTGGTACGTCCATTTTTAGTCAGTTAGCGCTAGTTTATAATTGTACAGGACGTCGAAACTCTGATTTATCAACAAACCATTTAGCCTTTGAATTTTGGCGCGAAGTTTATTCATCGGCATTGTCAAGTGACATGACATTGCTATGGCTTATGTCAGTTCATGATAATAATTTTGATTCCAAAACAATATCAAACTCCTATTTCCTTACACTGGTTTATAACACTTTTGATCGTAGGAAACAGTTAAATTTTCTGAAGGTCACTTTAGCATCGGTCAAGGGTCGTCCATTAATTATAGTCTCACTAAAAGGACTGGAATCTTTCAGTTTGACAGTAATTAATAGACTAACCTTTTTCCTACTGTATGAAATTAGCTTGCCGTTTAGACTTGGGTAGTTGCTACCCAAGTCGTATTTTGGCTTAGGGTCCAGTCGAGTAAAGTAATGTCTGAGAAATACTAGTTTATTGGTAGTAATTGTCAAATAAACGTCACAATAATATTTTTTTGTTTTAAGAATCGTTATTAGCGACTGACTGAACAATCTCCACTTATACATACCAACTTCAGTTTTCCAACAATAAATTTATCAGCCTGTCTCAATAATTTCATTGTGAATTTCTGATATTTCCGAAGTTAATACATTTTTTATTGAAAAGTAAAACTACTTTCTCTTTTGAAAGGCGTTTAGTTATACTTTAAAAGCATACCGAAAACACTTTAAAAACCTAGGAATAGCAATCGGATGATTGTTACTAACATTTAAGAAATTCCGATTTTCCTATTTAACTCTTTGTTATAGAGTATAGAGTTTTGAATAACAAACAAGCAATTATCTGTCGTAAAACAAATGAATTGGAAATTTTTCAGTCTACTAGTATGTACCACGATATACTTCATTTGTCTACTGATTGAGTAAAGGTTTGTACGTTTTACCTTGTTACAGTATGTATTAAGTGATTAGATTAGATAATATTGTTTTAATTGATTTGCAGGTCAAAGTGTCAACATTTTGGGGCCGTAATTTTATTTTATCTGGATCTGAATGTGGTCATTTAATTGCATGGAATCGTAATACAGGAAAGCCTGAACTTGCTATTAAAGCAGATACATCTGTAGTAAATCGAATTATTCCTCATCCTCGTTTTCCAAGTTAGTCAATATTACCAATAATTTACTAAATTATTATTACATGTCATTTCGTATGTCCTTAAACTATTTCAAACGTTTAGCTTCAGTGCTTTTCCTCATTATAAATGTTTGTTACATTTCTGTTACAAATATGGGTTCAAACTAATTTCTCTTTATTACCTTTCATTCTTCTGTGTAATGTTTATCATTCTTCTACAATAAATTGAACTGAAAACAGAATAACTACTTGTATTTGTTTATTAAGCTGCTCTATTAATAGTATTTTAATTTTCCAATTCTTTAATTCATTTAGTGATTGCTGTTAGCGGAATTGATCGATCTATAAAAATAATTGAACCTGATCCAAATGTATACGAAGAAAATGATGTTGACAATGATGATGATGACTATAGTGAATCAACTTTTATGAAAGTAGTAAAACAGCATGAAGAGGAAGCATATCAGGTCTGTTAACATTCTTGCCTAAATTTATCAGCATATTTTATACAGATCGATAAGAACATAAAGCACTATTATTGTGTGATGTTTATTATTAGTTGTTATATGTTTAGTTGCACTTTCTAACCACTCGTATTGAAATTTAAATAGCCAACTAAATTTCATTAACTCAATATTATTAGTTTTAAGTTACTAAAATATTCAAATTCAGTGGCGTTAATCCAGTTGGCATCACCATCTTGAAACATTGACTTTGATGGTTTGTATATATGTTACAGATGTTAAATGTGTGTTACCCTTGCGACTTCCACAATGTGTATTCTGTGACATTGAAACATGCTTCAAAAGGTGGTGGTGATATGGTCAGTTTAAAATATAGCGGTGTAGCAAGAAAGATACAAGATCATTTCACAATTCCGTAACTAAAAAAGACATAAACTTCAAATAACTAAACTACTTAGCAAAATTAGAGCTTCCTCGCTTTCTATCAAAATGGCATACATTTATACCGAATACACAACACTAAAATAAACTTTGTTAAAATCCATTTAAACTGTAGACAGCTAATGGAATATTACATTTTTTAAATCATTATTCATCGGCCAATGGAATTGAATTTACTTGACATGCTGATTTATTACTTTCACAAATGTTTATCCTCATCATATTAAATATTTTCTTTTGCATGGAGAAAAAACTTCTCGTTTTTTTTGTGTAGTCGTTATATGATGGTGTATTTTTTTTCCTTCATTCACACTAAATGAGCTTAATATACACAATTTTTTAAAGCAATATATTGTTAAACCTTTTATGCATGAACAGTATAGTTTAATGATATTTTTTCGTCTAAACTAAAGGTTTATTAACTAACGTTACACACGCTTTCGAAATAATTTCAAATCTTTTATGGACTCGAAATAAGATAACTATTTAACTCATTATATCATTTATTTTTTTGTTCACTATTCAATGCTTCTTGTTAACAGTTATGTCAAACAAATGAAATAAGAACAAAACAAATATTAAGTTCTGGAAATAATCACTTAGATAGTATTGCACGTCTACGAGCTGGTCGGAGTGAGTCTATTTTTTAATTACTTTGCGTTTATGATAATTGAAGACACGCATTGTTTTATCATGTACTATATTTTTCTTTCATGGTTAGTATCATCTACTGATCTTAGGACACAATCGGAAATCAAGAGCACTGGAAAGTTGTTTCATCCTAGTGTGGGGCTCATTGTCAGTGGATTTCCATGACCTTGTCAGAGGTCGAACCTAGGACTTTCAGACTTAGTGGCATATATCCGAGCTTCAAACTCCTGAACCAAAACTCACTAGTTTATATGTCTGACTTCAGTTGATAAACTGAATAGCAGTATACCAGTAGTAATTTAATTATTACGGTAAATACTTTTACCATTTTATGTACAACTTCATCTTTTGTAATTTTTAACATAATCAGCTTTTATCTCAACGTCGTAAAATCTATTAATATTATCGAAAGTCGGACTTGTATTGTTTAGTCGATAAATATTTGAATCCGTTTTGTATATGATACAGTAAATTCACAATGAATGATGAAACTACGTTTAATGAAAATGAATACAGTGCACTGTATGAGTGATCACCTGTTTAGCAATAAATATGCATTTAATTTATTAGAATAATATCTGAAGCTTGACAAAATTAATAATTTATCCAAATATCCCCAGTAGTGAACGATTGTTATCTAATATGAAACCTGCTCCTCAAAATGAATATTTAACAGCTTCGTAAATCACAGTTTCACTCTACCCAGTATCAGTTATATTTAGTGATTCGAATTAAGTTTAATATCCTTGGTTCTTACTACTTTACGATGATCCTTAATTATTCGTCGGTTTTTGCGTTTTTGAGTAGTTTTTTCTTCTCAGATATAAGGTATCACTTTTATTAAATTTACATAACTTCGGAATAAGTAAACTCATGTATACTTGCATTCAAAAATGTTATATTAGTACGACAATGACGATATTATTTCTTTATATTTTCAAAGTTGCACGAATGATCTTACTACGGCTCGTTGAAGGAACAAATGACTCCACGGATTCAGGAGATATGAATTCAAACACATGAAGCTAGTCTGGCTGTGACTTTTATAAATCTTGATCTCTGTGCTTTCATCTAATTTTTTTCTTGTCATTTATTCAAACCATAATTCTTCATTTATTCTATGACATGCTTTTATCCTCTCTCGAAATTTCCACTTATCACAAAACTTGTTACGTAGTATTTTTTTTCAAGTTGTCATTTATACCTGTAAAGAAGTTTTTAAAGTTCAGCAAGATTATCGTCGGTTTTCTAAGTATGGAGCTAATTAGCTGCCTAGTTTCGAAATAATTTTTATGACTAATGGGGTTCCGCAGAATAGTATAAACGATTATTTACTAAAGATGTGCCAGTCAAAATAACTGAATTGTATCGGTGCGAAGGTCCTATTTCCGATTTGTGTGATTTTGAATACAATAGAGCAATTCGAATAATGATTTCATAAAGCCTAATAGTCAGTCAGTCAGTCAGATGCAACGTAGAACTTCGTACGTAAGTACATCAGTTCATGTCGCCATACCACATCAGCACAGAGATTTAATTGTCAATTAAAATCCAATAGTAGAAGAGGTAGTAAAGGTATTAGGAGTAATCGGAGAGGTTAGGATTAGAAGATATTATTCAAGAAGTATGATTCAGTGAGAAAAGTTAAGAAAGTCAAAACTAGAGTTGTTGAAGAACCCAGAAGGTTAGGATTTGAGAGAACACAAAGAATAAATGCACCGGCACCATTGCGAACGATTTTGAGCCATGTCACTCAGGGTCTCTAACCATCGATTATTATCATCTCGCGGACCCCAACCAGGTAGTCGACAATTACCGACATGGCTAAATCCACTCGCCAATAACTTCATGGATTTCTGCCATGTTTTGATTTGGCCGCCCCTAACTTTCTTTCAACCTACTCCTACACTACAAAACAAAGCTCGTCGAGGCAGTCGGTGGTTAGGCAGTCGTAACACATGTCCCAACCACCTCAACTGATGAAGTTTCATTACTGTGTCTATTGATCTGCTATCCTTACCTAGCACCCGTTTCCTAATAACAGCGTTGCTTACTCGGGTGTCCCATGATATACGAGCAATGCTTCGAAGACACCTATGATCGAAAACCAGTAACCTACGAATATCTTCTACTCTCACTGGCCATGTTTCACAGCCATAAAGTAAGACGGAGCGAACCAAGACTTGTGTCCTTTCTTGTAGATTGGGACAATCAGTGATTGAGACCACTCGGATGGGATTACGTCCAGTTCCCAGATTCTACCTAAGATCTCAGTCAACCTAGCTGATAAAACTGGACCACCATCCTTAAATATCTCAGGGGTCAGTCTGTCAGAACCTGCAGCTCGTCCTCGCTTCAGATTTCCTAACGCTTCCTCAACGTCTTTAAGACTAGGCGTACTTAGGTGGACTTGCCATTCAGGATGACTGGAGATCGTGGGAAACCGAAGAGTGGCTCGAGGCCAGTTGAACTGATCCCTAAAGTGTTCTGCCCATCGGTCCAGTCTCCTATATTGAGAATAAATAATAGTCCCGTCACCATTGTCTGTTCTCTGAGCCGCGACACCATAACATCCACCTAGGTGTCTTTCATTTTCACTCAGTCTACCTAATTTAGCATTAACGTCACCAGCCATTATTGCTGTATCAGATCGCCTAGCATTTTGGAGGAGGTCCGAAAGCTTTCTGTAAAACTCATCTTTAACCTCGTCTGAACTGCAGTCAGTGGGGGCATAGGTAGATACGATGAAGAGGCAACGGCGAGTGTTCCTATCTTTCTGAGTCCTTACTGTCCCGTTTAGTCGGACAGCGCACAAGCGACTATCTACTGGGATCCAGTCAAGGAGAGATTGTTCAGCTCTACGACTCAATGCTATGCCTACGCCAGCAAGACCCCTGGAAGCAGCATCAGGGCTACCGGATACACGAAGAGTAAATCGAGCTGCTTCTTTATTTTGACAAGGTGAAATCAGATTAATAACTTTACTAGGATCCTGTATGCGCGTTTCCGAGACGCAGCGTACATCGATGGCACGAGATTCTAAAGTCCTAGCTAATGAAGCCTGTTGCCCTATTTGACACAATGTCCGTACATTAAATGCTCCAACATGTAGAATAGAACGAGATTTCAAGAGACCAGGAGTGGCGTTTCGTGAACTCGCATCGTTTGCATTAGCGGTGCAGTCAGATAAGGGAATGTGAGTACAGTTAGTTGCGGAGATACGAGAAAGGTGTGTGGGTGTAGGAAGGATTTGATTTCGACCAATTAGTTCTCTCGTGCTGTTATGGGTATGAGGGCGGTTGTCACTTCCCGGCTGCCCACACCGTTGTAGGTTGTTCCTTGAGGGACCTGAAAAGGAAGATAGATTAGTGTTGGTCTTGGAGACCTGGGTGCGTGACCGCAGAGCCCAAGGGACAACTGCTTGAGGCCGGTCTCGCACGGCTTTTTTATGAAAGGTATTTTGAGGATTAGCTCCGTTCTTAAATGCCCTTAGTGGGCACCCTTGCCGCCGGAGACGGAAATCCGTGAGGTAGGGGAGGTGTGATATTTTTAGGGCCGACCTTTTCTAACCCTTCCTTCCTTGTGAGAAGGCTGCAGATGCTGGTTGTTCGTGGGAAACACCTTACTGCTGTCACACGCCTCTGCAGTCAGCAGTAAGACTTCGCCCTCAGACCTTGGGTAGCTGCTTTTAGTCTCATCGTTCTTCAGTCGACCAGCCTGGCATGGTATGACCTGCAGGAACATATGTTCCAGCCAATATAGCTTGGTTAGGTCATCACGACAGGCAAGCCTGACCACCACGTCAAGGTAGCAGCTACCGTCGGGATAAAGCCTAATATCTTCACCAAAATTCTGTCATAGCTTTGTTCTATACCAAACGTGAAATTGTTATCAAGGTGATAGTACTTGGTCTAATAGTTACCACTGGGAAGTGGTTCAAAATAAATATTAGTGTTACGCGATTTCTGCGTTACATATTGGAATTAGTACTATAACATATCAAGTAGGTCGGGAATGTGTCCTGTGATGGTGGAAATTTTCGGTACTTTCTCATGAAGCATGCCAATGCACAGGCAAGACGAATGTTGCTGTGTATTCAACGAACATTTTCTTGACGAAGCAGGATAAGATTATTGTTGAGATCTATACAAGTAGGCAGATCGTTTGGGTGCCTTCACAAAGATAAACTGTTGGAAGTATGTGAAGTAATTGTATTGTCGTGGTAGTGTTAAGAAGGACAAAGTTTAGTATATATCCTAGTGTTTCTTGAAAATGATTCGCAGTTGACTGTAAAATACAGGCTCGTTAGAAATAATAAAATTCCTAACGTATGTACGAAGTACGGTACACATCCTGGACACCTATTCCTAAAACACTTGGGGCATGTTTTCTTTTAGTGTGTAGCGTCATGAGAAGACCACATAATTTAACGTCAAAGTTGCCGAACGTACATTACGTAACATCGTCTTCAAGATGCCTTTCTCTTATTTTTAATGACTTACCACCACGATACACCTAAACAGTCTGCAACTGTTGTACTTTGACCATACTCTTCTCGCCCCATTCATATAAGTATGACAACTGGTTATGATAGTTGAGGCTTTATTAACCCTGACCCCAGCGTTGACAGTGGAAAATTTATTCATTCATTGATTACAGGTGAACTGATAACGATTGGAAATTGTAACCTGAGTATTAACGTTAAAATAAACTTTAGCAAAGGTATACTGTAATCCCTCGGGAACAGTCTACAGTGCCCAATTATGTTCATCGTTTCCGAATCTTAACTGTAACAGCTACTAGAGGTCTCCAGTTATGAAGTCGGCGTGCAGCGTGTCATCACTATTTGTTTATATACGGAGAAACAGAAATCGTAGGTGAATTATTCATTTTTGGGTCTGATTAGATGTGCTTTAACTTCGGTGGAAATTTCAGCTGTAAAAGTTAACACTAAGAAGTCATTTCATCGTCACAGTGAAATAAAGCTCAACCCTTACTACGAACCATTCATTAGGCTTGACCGTTTCAACACTGAATTGCAGAACACTTGACTTTGAATATTTGGCGAAGGTCGACACGGAATATAATCGGGACTGTGTGACTCACTTCTGTGGTCTTTGGTACAGTTTCTGCTTTACGATTACATTAAATATATTACACTATCACTATGCTTGAATGTATCTAAAAGGCTCGTACGAAACTATACCACTTACTATATGGAGACTGTATAAACTATGGTTAAAGTCCGATGTAAAATCCTATGGATTAGATGGGTCTGTCATAGCGAATCTGCCGCAGCATGCTAAGCTCCTTATTCTATTAGTGCAGATAAGCTAGATGATAACGAGCACATTAATTAGACCCAAGCGACTCATTTATTCATATAATGTTTCCATGAAGCACTCTACTGTATTGAATCACAACAGTCGGATCTTCGAATTACTTCAAGAGAATGCTGAAATTACTTCACAGTCGCAGACGGTTTAGAGGAGTTATACAGACAATTTTTGGAAAAACTTATTGTACTACCTCACTTCTAAAGTCTTTGTTAATGTAATGTAAGTGGACTAAGGAGCGAGCTGTTAGAAATCAGATATTTACGCTCTCTAATGGATCTAAAGATCACAATCCTAACCGAAAATGGCTTTCCCCCGACTTAGCAGACGTTTAAGTGAGCTTGCAAGACATGGGGCTCTTCCGAAGTGATAGGCGGAGCAGCTAAATATATTAACGACCATTTAAAAGCTAAAGGACTAGCCGAGATGACAGAATCATGTTGACGTTATTCCAACACAAATGACACGACCTACTTGATTGGAGGGACTTACTGGCCCCTCTTAGGTACTAACGCCCAGGAAGGGGTTTGATAAGGTACCCCCCGTCAGGGTTTCAATACTCCATTTTTTAACCCCGGCTCACAGGGTACATTTTCCCTTGGTTGGTTCCAAAGACGACTTGGCTCAGCAATTAGAAGCTTCAGGATGATTAGGCATGGACTAATAATGGAAGGTCCTCAAACTTGAAGTGTTTGTTAACAGGCGATCAGCTCCTGTTCGAGGAAGTTCACGTCCATGAACCAATAGGAAGTCGTGATCATGGCATGGTCATAAACGATACACTCATGCGAGATGAATTCGAGCCCTATCTTTTCTTCATTAGGGCTAAATACTGGCGCATGAAACAGACTCTTCGACTCGCCTCATGACCAATGGAATGGTGGAAGCTAATAGTTGCTGGTCACTTGCAAATAGTGAGACACATCATCAGGAATGCTGTCCTACACAATGTACCTCAGGCGCACCACGCATTTCGAATCAGAACGTGGGTTATGTGTGGCGCCGAACGCTACACTGCCAAAGTTCGAAGGGACAGAGGATGCTTTTAGAATAAGCTAGCAGCCAGAATACAAGACAACCGTAGGCAGTTGTTTAGGTTCATGACGAAAAAAACATACGAAACGGGGTATTTTTTCCCAGAAAGCTCCAAATGACGAGCATCTTACCAGACTAGGGATGGCTGAAAACTGCAACACCAACTTCACCGGTCAGTTAAGTGGGGTATCTAGAGTGCTACTCAAACCTAATGCCAACTGACGGCCTAGAAAATCTCCTGCTTACTTCCGACTTGGCAATGAGAAAAGTAAAATCATTGCGTCCCAGAAAGTTAACAGGATATCATAACATCTGCCTCATAGTCTTGAAACAGTTTGCACAAGGCCTCAGGTCACCGATATATGACCTGTTAAGGTATTCACTGGAGTTACACCAACTCTCAGCTGGATGGGTAAAGCTACTCTCCCTTCAACCTTCAAAGGAGGAGATAGGCAGGACCCAACCTGTAACAGACCAGTCTCATTACTACCAATACTATCAAAGGTAATGCAAGTGCTAGTGAAGGAAAAGATGAGGGAGTACATGGATAAAAAAATACTCCATGAAGCCCAACACTGGTTTCAGAGAGGTTGGTTTCCACAGCAAAGGAAGTTGGACATCCTGCTGGGACAGAAAAATATCGGTGCACTTAACATTTCTTCACTTTGCAGAAGCCTTTGCCGCAGTACCTCACGCACTCCTAATTGTGAAGGTCGTAGAAATAGGTCTCACTCACATCGGGGCTTTCACAGAGGCATATCTCAGGTTCACTCCTCTTCCTGATATTAATTAACGATCTATTAGACAAAGTTAGATCAACGAAGATCTGAAGGTCTATTAGAAGCGAAGAGGATCCGAGTGAGCTTCATAAGGACCGTACATCAATTGACGAATAGACAGAAGATTACGATTTAAAACTAAACTAGTCTGAATATGACGTTATGTATATGCTGCATTACATGACCTAAACAACTTACACTCCTAATGGAAGTTAGCTGACTTATGTCATCTCAGAGTATGATTTCGGTCTAATAACCACAGAAAGCCTCCACACGAGCCTGAACTACATAGGGGACGCAGCCAAGGCAAATGCAACTTTTCACTTTATGCGAAGACGACTTTGTACCATCACCCCACAATTATTCTTAACGTTGCTTTGACATAGGCACTACCACCTTCTATTATTCACAACGTCGACGCACCCCCTCTCCTAAAAAGAGAAATAAATTTCTTGGATCGAGTGCAGAGAGGAGCCACGAAATGTGTGATAGGGTTAACGAATAAAACTTACGAAGATAGACTCCAGCATCTGATATTACCCTGCCTGAGTACCATGAGAAACCGAAGTGATGTGATTATAGCGTGCAACATACTAAGCACGTCGAACCATCAAAACGTGGGCACCTTACCGATGCATCGCCACCACTCACGTGAAGGTAATTTTCGAAAAATTGCTCAGGTACATTAACATGTTTTCTCATTAAGATTCGCTGCACTGTGGAATGTTCTCCCGGGCAAGATGACCACAGCTCTCTCAGTAGACAACTTTAAGAAGAGACCTGATAAACATGTATTCACATTCGGATTGTCGTCTCCTTCGTGGATCACATCTGCCTGATGCATATCTTGAGACCTGCCAGTTGTTATAAATACTATCTACTCAGACCATGAGTTTATTCCACCTTGCTTATTATCTCTGTTTCTCCTCCCCTGCTTAAACTTAAGTGCTCTCTCAAAAGCTTCACCACCAATTAATAAACTAAATTATCTACATATTACTTAGTTCTGAAATCTTGTTCCTATTAGCATTAGAATTTTATCCTTAATATTCTCCATATTGCAACTAACTGATCTTCGGTTTCATAATGTGATAGGTGCTGGTATCCAGAAACCTTACTGCCCTGAAACAAACGTATTCATTCAAATCTTTGGATACACAAACCCACAAAATACTGCAAACTGACTAGAGTTAGACAGTCGAGTGACTAGACCCCCATCCATTAGACAAAACCAAGCATCTAGAACCGTACAGAGAGACCATGAAGTGAGCTTCCAAAAATCGGTTGGTTTATACTAGCTCTTAATAAAGATATTGAATATTGGATAGTGGATAAATCGAACTGCATTTTACGTTATCGCGGGGATCAATGTTTTGAACACGTCTCGTTGTTACTTAAGTTTGTAGTTGATTGTGAATCGAATAGTAGCTGATGGTCGTATAAGAACTACAGGTGAGTTCACTTTCCCTTCGTTCTATAGTTATTTTTAATAACAGTTAAAATGTCATTTTTTTAATGTGTACCTTAAATCTGTTGGTTTCAGAAATTTTGATTTTTCACTTATCTGCATTTTTTAATCTTCTATCGGTGCTGTGGTTCTTTTACTGACCATACTGTGGACAGATTGTGAGGCAAATTCCAGAAATTCATACCTAATGAAATCGATAATATTATCCTTTCATTTGAGTGACTTTCAGTAACTATTCATTGTAACATGCTTTCAATAGAGTTCTTCTTCTGGCTGTTATGTTAATGTTTCCACAAAGAGTTGAACTCGTAAGTTTCACACAATTATATCATACATACATACATACATACTTTATTAGCAATATTTATTGTTGAGTATCTACCACTTTTAGCTCTTAACAAGAAATTCGATCACCGTTACATATCTGTATGTAGAATTTCTACGGCTATGGTCTTTTTTTCATGACTAATGACTTGGATTCAGTATTATGTATTGAGCGCAGTAGGCCGACTGTTTGTGTTAACACATTTCTAGTAAGTTTATCTAATTGCTAAATTTGTCTTAAATGAGTCAAGTATAGTTGTGAATTCAGAGTTTCATGGATAAGAAGGGAGTCATTGTTAGCTCCCGTAATTTGTCCTCTTCTGAGCTCTACAGAACTAATTGCTAGTTGTCTCGCAAGTCATAATTGAAGCCTATTCGTTCTTGCTGACTTTTTTCCGTCTAAGGAACCATGTGCATCTTTTTGAGTCAACTAACCAGTAGGTAGTCGATTTGGTAACACTGCCTATGTAACTAGTCTTCAAAAAACCGGAGGCCTGTAAATGAAGACCATGGATAAATAATTAGCAATTGCTTCTGCTTAGTTCCACTCTGCCCCCATTATCTGAGGTTGATTTTAATTTCTAATTAGATTTTCAGTCCATTTGTTGCTTCGTTTTCTGAAATCGGCACACTAAAACAGTTGCTTTAGCAGCTTAGTTTTAATTTTTTATGGTTCTTTTTCGTACTTTTCTGAGTGACAGTGATCGTGTTGATAGATTTATTCCCCACCGATTCAGACGTTTTCCTTCCTATCACAGTAAGAGGCCGCGTTATTTCTTATTTCGAACTTTTTAAACAGATAGAGCTGATTGTCATTATATTTGCCCTCTTTATTTTTGGGACATGAAAACTCATCTTCATGGTGAAGCATTACGGTAATGAGTTTGACTATAACAGAGCGTAATTACTTTTACCTATAAGTGAAAGATACTTCACTTCAAAAACATGATTACTACGATGGAGATCAACTATGGAACCGAAAGCCGTCATAATCGGAACCTGGTGAGGTTTATACTGTACCAGACTGAAGCTTCATAACTGTTCACAAATCTATTCGAAATGTCTCTAAGGTTTTCGAAATGGGAAAATATTGATTTCCAAGTACCTTACAACCACCGTCACAGGAAAAAAAACTGAGAAAGACGAAAGCGACTGGAAGGAACAATTTATTTGAAGTTAATTAAAGGTAAAGTAGTGTGAGATCTTTTAGTAAGTCGTTCAAGAAAATATAGTCATCTGACGTAATGTTGTCCCGTGATATGATTGCAATGCTTGACTTTGGGTCTTGAGCCGGTAGCTTCCATTAAAACTACCAAGATTGCCACTTCATAATGTTTAGATTAATAACTAAATTGTGAATATACTTACCATAATCCATTATGATCGGTATTTACAACTACATTACTCTGGATATATTTCACTTAATACTTTAATTAGAGAATGTGCGCAAGTATGGGATTCCTAGTTTGCATACATATTCTGTCTAAGATAAATCTATGATGACGCATGCGTTCCAATCGTTCTGAATAAATCGACTGACTAAAAACGTTTTGACATTCATTTTTCAGGCGGTATCAAAACAAATAACATGTCTCAAGAAAATGAAAAAATTAATCCATGTGACATAGGTAAATCATTAAAATCTTTCCAAAGACGATAATATATTTTTAGATGAAATAGAAATCAGTTCAGATACTTCCGAAAAGGAATCCAAAGAGCCCAAAACACATGAACCACTGAAGAACTTTGTTTCACAAATATATCGTGCAAAATTCTTCGGGAATACTTCCGTGTCTGAACCACGTGGTGATTTTATTTGTGAAAAATCACTTGGTTTACTTAAAACTCAGTTGCTCACATCAAAATCACACAAAAAAAGAATTCGAATCCATGTAGACACTAGTGGAATCACTGTTATTGGCTCTCGTAATTCTGTAAGTCAGATTAATTTTTATAATACATGCAGTTACAGTTTCATGTCACGTTGTTTTAATATTATAAATGTGCGAAACAGTTTGAATCTTGAAACGATTGATTCTAATATTGTCAGAAATGTTTGTTACCTTACGATTAATATTTTTAGAATATTAACTAAGCAAAAGTATTAAAGTCTGATAAAAATCCAGCCAAAAGCTACACGAAGTAATTCAAAAACTTAGTCATATCCTCTACAAGAGTCAGTTAGTCAGCTACAACGTAGAATTTTGTACGTACGCTCGTACATCAGTTCAAGTTATCATACCACATTAGCACAGAGATGCAAATGTCAATTCAAATCCCATGGTAGTAACAGTAATAGGAGAGATTAGAGGTTGAAGAAATTACTCAAGAAGCATAATTTAGTGAGATAAAGAGAAACAGAAGTGATGGGGACCTCAGAAGATAAGAATTTCAGAGGATACAAACAGTGGATGCACCTGGTCCATTGCAAACGATTTTTAGCCACATCGCTCTAGGTCTCTAACCATCGATTATTATAGTCTCGCGGACCTCATCCAGGCAGCCTACACTTACCTGTATGACTCAGTCCAGTTTTAAATGACTTCGTGAATTTGTGCCATATTTTGATTTAGCCGCCCATAACTTTCTACCAACCACTTTTACACCACAAAACATTGCTCGTCAAGGCAGTCGGTAGTTGGGTATTCGTAACACATGTCCCAACCAATTCAACTGACGAAGTTTCAATACTTCATATGCTGATTTGCTATCCTTACCTACTGCTCGTTTCCTGACTAAAGTATTGCTTACTCGATTGCCCCCGGATACACGAGCAATGATTCTAAGACCCCGACGATAGAAAACCAGTAACCTACGCAAATCTTCTGATCTGACGGGCCATATTTCTCAGCCATATAGGAGAACAAAGCGAACTGATGCGCAGTAAATAAGTCCTTTGGTTAGAAAACGGATATTTCGTCTAAACCATCAGTGAGGCGAATCAGCAAAAGCCAATCGAGTCTTCTGTATCCGTGCTGAGACTTTGTCAGTAACCAGGCCATCAGCGCTGACGAGACTCCCGAAATATGTGAAGCGGCCGACATCCCCAAATACTTCATTCCCTATCACTAGTTCAGGTGCCGATGCAAGCCAATCTTGAAGCGTCATTTTGAATTTAGAGAGGAAGATTCGCATGCTGAACATGTTTGCATTATTAATTAGGGTGATAAGTAGACTCTGCATTTTGTCAGCATCTTTGCCAAATAGAAATATGTCATCTGCACATTCTAAGTCAGCAACCGAGTCTTCTGGTAGATCCACCACCGTAAAGTCCAACGAAGATAATTTTATCTCAAAAAGCATGTCTGTGTCTGACAGACACCGTTTGAAGCAATCAGTTCCGATGATAGTTCGCCATGAGCGCTTACTCGACCTATAGAGTTCGAGTAGAGAGCCTGTATAATGTTAATGTACTTCTTTGGTACGACTTTCAATAACAGACACTGCCATAGAACCTGAAGACCGACAGAGTCGAATGCCACCTTAAGGTCAAAGAAGACTTATACTGTCGGACGCCTAAACGTGTGTCTGTGTTCCAGGACCTGTCGTAGTGAGAAAATGTGGCCTATACAGCCACGTTTAGGTTGAAAACCAACCTGGTTTTCTCTAGTCTGTTCTTCAAGAGCACGAGTAAGGCGTCTAAGTATAATCGAGGCTCACAATTTAGAAACTGGACCACCATCCGTAAACATCTCAGGGGTCAGTCTATCAGAACCTGCAGCTCACCCTCGCTTCAGATTTCCTAACGCTTTCTCAACTTCATAAAGCCTAGGGGGACTTAAATCGATATGCCATTCAGGATGACTGGAGATCGTGGGTAACCAAAGAATGGCTCGAGGCCAGTTGAAATGATCCGTGAAGTGTTCTGCCCATCGATCGAATCTCCTGGATTGAGAATGAATAATAAGACCATCGTCTTCCGAGATAGTCTCACTCACGATCGGATTCTTAATACTGGTTTCCTTGATCAGTCTGAACACTTATCTACTGTTGCTTGTCGCTGCTGCCTTTTCCATCTCTCTTGCTTTTTCTACGCACCACTGTTCGTGATCATTGCCTGGACTTCTCATCGTCCCTCGCTTTAGCTGACTCTGCTCATCATCATGTTCAGAGCCAGACGGGTTGAGTTCCCGAGCATCCATCAGTTCGGTGGGTGCTACTGAAATGCACTGTTTCTCGCTAACCTTATGGTTTACCTTACTAGCAGATATCACTGCTGTTCCCACTGCATTTCAGATATCGTACCAAGCTGCTTCAGGATGGAAATCACTTACATCGCTGCCTAAATGTTTTTCTAGTTGATTCCGAAACGTATTCTTAGTTTTGCTATCATTAAGTAGAGCCTCTAAGGGTTTCCATGCAGCGTCTTTCCTACATCCAGTAAATCACTAAAAAATACGCGAATGCACTAAATCATGACGGGAATCTTGACATGTGCCCCAGAACGAGCGACAGTCTTCTACCAATCCTCTCCATCGGTGGCTGAAAGCGAAGTGATTTAGTTGGTTCCGTCGTTAGAACGAATTTTCAGGTAGCCAGGTCAAGATATGTTTTTTCTCTATGCTTAAAGTTCGTACCTGCAAGAAAAAAGCGGTTATGTGAGGATAGTTGTGGCAGATGGTCAGTATAATCTGTTCTGTGAGTCGCAACACCATAAGGCCCACCCAGGCATCTTTCAGTTTCACTCCTACCTACTTGAGCATTGAACTCACCAGCCATTATTACTACATCATAGCGCCTAACTATTTGAAGAAATTTATAAAGCTTTCGCTAAAATTCATCTTTTGCCTCATCCGAGCTGCAGTCAATGGGAGCGTAGTCAGAGACAGTGAAGAGGCAATGGCGAGTTTCCCTATCTTTACGAGTCCCTACTATAAGCGACTGCCTACTGGGAACCAGTCTTAGAGAGCTAGTTCTGCCCTAGGACGTTATGCTATACCCACACTAGTGAGGCCACGAGGAGCAGCAGCAGGGATCCCAGATACACGGAGCGTAAATCGAGAAGGTTCCGTATTTGGACAAGTTGAAGTCAAATTAGTGATTATACTGTGATCCTTTACTCGCGTTACGGAGACGAAGCATGCATCGATATATATATATTATAAAGCTAAGGCAGCCTGTTGTCCTATTTGTCATAAGGTTCGGACGTTTAAAGCTCCAACATGTAGTTTACAGCCGGGTTTCAGGAGACTGGGAATAACGTTTCGCATACTCGAATCGTTTGCATTGGCAGAGCAAGGTGATAAAGTAACGTAATTATGCTTTTGTTCTTGGAGTTAAAATGGTTGTTTCAAATTATGGGGGTATTCGAGTCTGACTAGTTTGGTCTCATATGCTGTTACGAGTATGAGTGCGGATATCACTTCCTGGCTGCCCACACCGTGGAAGGGTGTTTCTTGATGAACCTGAAAAAGGGATTGAATTAGTGTTGGTCTGAGCTACCTGGGAGCGTGACCGCAGAGTCCAAGGGAAAACTGCTTGAGGCCGATCAAGCACCGCTTTTTTATAAGAATTTGACGTGTTGGCTCTGGTTGATCCATCAAGATAGGCAAGGCGGACCACCACGTCAAGGTAGAAACTATGGTCGGGCTCTATATAAGTCACTTCATGAGAAAAGAATTCGCTGTCAATTATTAACCGAAATATTACGAGGTGGCACATATTCTTAAGTCTTAATTGTGATTGGCTCTAATCCCCAAGGATCGCAAGGTTTTCTAGGCGTGGTAATTTACTGTCATACGGCTCTTTCATTGGAAAACTTGATTTGTGTAAATATATACCAGGATTCAGGCAGGTAATAAAATATTTCGTAATTTATAGTTGATAATAGTGAACGCCAGAGTATAAACTATGTAATTTAATCACAGTTTGAGAGTGAAGAAACTCATTTCTTTATTTGTTTGTACCTTGCCTACATAATCACCTTGAAAGTTCCTTGAAATTCCTATACAACTTGTGAGAATTGTTCGAAAAATTTCCACATAAGTAATACCTTATTGCGTTCATTAGCATAAAGGTGTTATCGCCAGCAGTTGTTATTCAGACAGAGATATGAAGTTTGAGAAATGAAATATTTCATACTTTATCATTCAAGATTCAGTAACACATATTTTTACCAGCTGTGATCTTTGTCACAGGATAACTACAATAAGGTCCTATAAACCAGTGATAGTAAATCAGAGCAAAAAATAAATGGCTGACGCTCATATATATATTCCGGGAGGTATCTTTCCTATCAGTAACAAACTGACGTTTTTTGATAGTGTTCATCATCAGCATCCTTTGAGTTTCAATAAAATTAAGGATATACACCGGCGAATTTGATATAGTTTAGCTCAGTAAACGAAAATACTCACATTAATGTATCAACTTTTAAACCCTGCCAGTTTTGTGTTTTAATTATATAGAAGCAGTATGTGAATGTCTTCTGTCAGGGTGATGTAAATTACAGATGATATGCTAGATTTTAAGCAATTATAGTGTAGGTGATTTTCACTGTCAATGCAAGAAAATTGTAGGAATTGAACAACTTTAAATAATTTAAGCACTTGTTATGATTGCTTGCAGATTATTTGACAGAAGACCTATATAACATGCGTTTTATCGACAAGCTTTTGCACATGCGATGATAAGAGTATGATAACTCTTATAATGATCTTACAATTAGCAGATAATTTAATAATGATCAAGAAGTAACTAAATGGTTTCTTTACTATGACTTTTATAATGTTAAACATATATAAATTCATCAAATAATATTGACTATGAAAATGTAAAATCACTGAGCATGGAGTTTTAATAAACCAGTTAAACCTATAGCATTTTACTTTAATCCAAGAATCTATGATGAATGCTATACAACCGGTGGAGATTTATTTACTACATAATTTACAATTTAAAAAATCGTTTAAGCTTGTGATTGTTTTTGATTTATGCAGCCTATTAATTGATGTTTGAAGCTAGATACATGGTCGACTAAATCTATGATCAATAATAATTATAAACATTCACAAGTAAACTGGTTTTTATTATAAAATATACTGAAATATCGATGATTATTTATTCACATTAACATATCATAATAATAGTAACAACTAAAATATGTTAAATTTATTTCGTATGAATACGTCGAATTGAATTCTAATCAAATAAAACATTTATTCTCGTCTATATTTTGTCTGCCATTCAAATCTATTTCAGACTGTGCATCACATGCACAAATTTGAAAATATAACATTTATTTGGACTGACCCCTGTGATCGAGAGTCATGTGGGATTATAGTCAAACAAACATTAATTGGGGATAATGCATATCAATTTTATGGTTACAAACTTTACCAAAATGTAAGTTTGAATGATTCATTTATCGATTTTTCCAAGAAGTACCTTTAAAGAATACATAGAAACGAAAATTGTTACTATCGAATTAACGCTGTCTAAGCACATTGGTCAAGATTACTTTTATTCAGTTTTATAATATAGGTTATCAAGTACCTTGTCAGCTAAATATGTTTTAATCTGTTGCATAAAATAGTGAAAAAAGGTTTCCAGATATAACTCAATGTAGAACATCTAACTGCGGAATAGTCAAATGAAAATAATAAAATTTTAATTTATTGTTGAAAAATAGGACAAATCTGACAAAGCTATTAGTTTGAACTTATATAATTTGAGAGACATATGACTTGATCAAGTTTTTATTGAGTTTTTCTTGTTGTTGTTTTCATATGATACATTAAAACTGCCCTACAAAGAATCAAGATCGATTCATAAATCAAAGCCTTGACGTTAGTTCTAATCTGTTAAGTGTGTATGAGAAACAATTCGCTTCAAAACAAAAATAGTGAAAAATATCTCCTCATTGTGATTGTGCTAACGGTTTGTAACGCTATCACAGACATAAGTTCGGAGTCATACACTCTCGTTGGTCGTAACTTATGTTATCAACATGCAGCGAATGTTCATTTGTCGTATTTGTGCGCATCAATCAATGTTCTAAATTTTTAAAACATTATATTTCTACAACCACTTGCCTGATCGATGAGCCTTGTTTTAATGTCTATGCATTCAATAAGATTCACGCCTATGTAACTGAATGCTTAATTCATTACTGTCGAACATTCCAAGATTACTGCAACTTTCACAATACTACTAATCGGAATGTAGAGTTTAGAGCTAGTCTCTCAAGGAAAAACGTATGTTCATCGCATACAGATTCATTTGTCCAGCATACACAAATTTATGTATGAATACTTTTTTACACATGAACTCAAACTTACACGTACTCGTAAGTATATACAAGACAGTTCTATCTTACATATTAATTTCGTAAATTTTGATTTTTACTGATTTTTTTTTCGCAAACAAAGATATTTATCCTTGTTTGCTGGAAGGGAGCTACTGTAGCATCTAACCATTCATTCATTGTACTTTCGTTTAAATTATTCGATAATTGTATCGACCATCATTTTGTATCGGTAATAATTCGATTACAGTATCGATTATTGTATATTTGATTGTGTGTGGATGCTTACTCGCTTATCACATGTATAGCCTATTATTGCTTGATTATACATACTCAGTCATTCTTCAGCTCATAGAGAGTTGGCTCACTCGCCTTCTCCAATTCTCCTCGTTTTGCTTGTACGCTTGCCTTCTCATGTTCGTCTGCATAAATGAATGCATGAAATAAATTCATCTGCAACACCGTATTTGGCTTTTTACTACCACCGTCGCACAAACGGAGTTAGCTTAAGTATAATTTACGAAAGTGGAAAGGAAGATTTATTTCATCACATACTCGATCATTCGTCCACATTAGAGTTCAATCGTGAGCCGTTAAAATGGTGAGCTCGATGTGATCTTTTTTTGCATCACCATAGTTTGTTTCTAAAAGTTTCACAACAGTTTTATGAGTAAAGTAGCAAAGCACTTTCATTACTGAGGGCATATCCGTAAATTTGCGACGATAATATTATTAAAAAGTAGTTTCTGTAAAACTTGATATTTAAAATTTCCATTTAAAAAAATGCATTTATTATCTTTCTTTGTCTTCTATTTATCTCCTACTTCTAGACTCCTAAACTAATTGGTGTGTTAAAACATATTTACTCAAATCTTGAGTTATTACCACCTGATGAAGTAAGCAAAAGTATTTAATATTAAAAGATTTTGATTTCCTTCAATTTTCAATAGTAAATTCATGGTCATTTACCTTAATCACTTAGTAATTTACTTAGTTTATTAAACTCAAAATTGAACATTTCGTTAATCAGACATAATTTACATAATACAGTAAACAAGATTAGAACCATCCGTTTATATTTTCAGTAATCAGACAGTGATGGTTGTTCAACATTTAGTTAAATTATCAATATTTACATGCCTTCAATAAATTATTTATTTAAGGCACCAATCTTCATTGTAATAAATTTATTTTGAATGTATTAACTAGAATCTTTCATTCATCTAACACTAGTTTTAAGTGTTTTTAGTGTATCGTTATCTGCATTCTACTGACTAAACTACACCAAATTATCTAATTTGATTTAGTAAAACTAACGTTTTTTAGCACAAATGTTTTATGTGAATTATTTAATCTAAATTAATTATCATATTTCAGCAATTAACTTAAGACGTAGGAATGACGTAATGATGAAATATTCATAATAAAATTCAGAAAACAACCCTTTGTACGCAGATACATAATAAACAGTAACCTTATCAGTTAACAGGAAACTTAAGCCGAGCTTACTTATAGTTCATTATTAGCTGTAAAATTCAATACAGTCCATTTTTTCCCAATAATTCATTGATTTTTTCAGTTGTAATTATACGGTCATACATTTATTCCTTGTCACACTTTAACTGAATGACTAGTTTTCACAGTAACCTGTTTAAACTTTGAAATGATAATTAGCTCAATAGGTAAAACAGTTACTGCCTGATTTCAACTGAACTTTTATCCCAGCTTATAGTTTGCTTGCGATGTATCATACTATTTATTGATATTATGGTATTAACTATTTAGAAACAAACTTTTAATCCAGAAGTTTGATTGGGCTTATAATATCAAAGCATATCATTAGTCAACAATTCTGTTTGTTTAAAAAACCACAGATATAAAAAGTCATAAGTTAGTCACATCTCCCTCTGTTTCACAGGTTTTTTGAATTCACGACCTTGAAAAAAGTTAACTTTTGTAGTCACTGATCACTGATAGCTAGTATAAGGACTATTACTGGTTTGTGATGCGAATTATTTGTGTACTTACACTGGTTTTGCCCTCTGATCAAAGTACTTCACATCATCGAGTTTAAGTTCTGTCTGCCGATTAATACAACAGAAACATCTACTTATAAAATATTTTAGTTAATTCATCAATATAAGTTCTTGATTAAATTCTCAGTGGCAGGCAGTTATCAAAAATCTCAATCGACTTTGTTAATAAGTGGTGACGAAGCACAGCATCTAATTCCCTTTTCCCACAAATCAACCTCGTGTGTCCAACACTGTAACACGAATCATTGTTATATCACATCATCCAACTGAGTAGCCAGACTTGGTTTCATTATCTCAAACGCTAACTTCATGATAATAACACTTACTGCGATTGTTATCCTATCGTTCGATGTACATAATCAAGCTTGAAATGGGTAGTTATTAGCATCTAATGAGTATTGTTTATTAACTGACATGTTGTTTGTCTTGTGATATATGGGTCAAATTTTCAACACAAGCTAAAGTATTGCATTGGACGCATTCCTCTTTTACATTTAAAACTTTATTTTTTACTCATTTTCTTTTTATTCATATTTTGCATATTGTTCTAAATTATGTCATACACAATTCCTTAGGAAGTACTGAGTAAATCTGAAAATTCTGCCGATATCAATATTATCGACACTACCGAGAAAAACAATTCTGATTTGATTCAGTTAATAGATATAAGTGACAATGTTGTTTCAGATGACCAAAAAAACACTGACAATGGAAATGCTCAAAAAGTATACGCAAGTAATGGTCACAGTGTTTCCTGCAATAAAGTAAGTCCAGAAAAAACATTGGAATAAAATTAAGATAATTTGGTAATTCTAAATCATTCTGACGCTGATTGTAGTTATTAACACGTTTAGGATATTAAAGTGTTTACATCATAAACCTTTCCACACGTTTTTAAATGAAAATTTATTTACTAAATATTCAAGGTGATGGATGATCAGGTTAATCAATTGACTGATAATCTCGGCATTGTCAGTATGCTTTTGCATAAATCCATGAAGTCATTGACAAGTGGACCGAGTCATGTTGGTAGATGTAGGCTACCTGGATGGGGTCCGCGAGACGAAAGTCACCAATGGTTAGAGACCTTGAACGAGATGGCTCAAAATCGTTTACAATGGGGTAGATACATCTACTCTTTATGTTTAACTCAAATTCTAATCTTCTGAATTCCTCATCATCTCTGTCTTTCTCTTTTTAACTTTATCTCACTGAATTACACCCTAATCTTCTCCGTTACTGCTAATACTTCTACTATCGCTACCACTATTGGATTTGAACTAACAGTTTCGTCTCTGTACGACTGCGGTGTGGCAACCTGAACTGGTTGTGCATATGTACGAAGTTCTGTGTTGTATCTATTCTGTCCATGTCAACATACTATGTTTGCAAAGGAAATAATAGATAAGTAAGATGAATACTACTGATAAATCAATCTATAAATTTTGTAACATTTCGGAAACGCTGGTAATTGAAAGCGATTTTCCATTTTATAACTACAAAATACAGCACAAGTCTTCGATTTGTTTGGAATCGATTGAATCTAATGTCTTTCAGAAATTTGGTGTATATATGACAGAAAAGATGTTAGACAGAGGTCACAATGTTTTCAGGGAGGTAGGTTGAACTAGTGAATACACTTCAGGGTTAGGTTTTTAGGCGGTTTCTATATTCGGTTGATAAGGTCAACCTAGTAGTCATTAACTTGTACCATAGATTTTCTACTTCTGTATTTGATAACTATTGAAGAAATAATGAATTTTGTATCACTCACTGTCGTTGCTTGCATCGGTTGACATATTATGATGTTATTGCATCTCCGTGGTCACTGGATATAATATTTGACGATAGTTCCTATTCATTCGGTACCAGAGTTGTTGGACTAAGACTTGTCTATGTATTAATTTTGGAATGTCCTGTTTAGAATAATATTTTCCTCCAGCTTAAGGATAATCCCGAACAACCCACACTGACTGTCAACTTCGGAGGAGTTGTTAAAGTTTACTTCACGAAACTATCTAATATGTGTGTACCACGAGGTATGTGGCTTGCTGAAGGTTTAGACCTAAGCGTTAAGGTTCCTTCAGGCATAAAAATGCCAAAACTAATAATTTGTTCTACCGATAAAAAAAGGCAGTTTGATCAGTTAGAAAATATAAACTAAGCTTTTGTTGATAAAGGCTGGAATTTTCATTGCTGGGCACTTGTTCTTAGAAAATCTATTTAAACAGTCAACGAAAGGATTATTTAGAAATAAGGCTCACTTATAGATATTAGCAAAGGTGGATAGTAGCTGGCAGCCGGATTAGGTCCTATTCGGGATTCTTCAGCTAGATAAACCTGCATCCCAGAGTTTATATTCACTCGGGAACTAGAACTCAGTACCTTACAGTTGAAGTGCTATTGAGTTATCCAATTGGCTACTAAGTCCTAATAACCGCTCACTTGCACCAGAAGTCAAAGATTAATTCATTTGTATTGGCTGTTTGAACCTTCTCGTTGATGTTAAGGACCGTAACTGATCAGTCCACCTCTGCTAATAATGCTTCTAATCTGAAAGTAATGTTGAGGCAATGTACACAGGATGGACATACACCAAAGAGACTGATCTGTTGCAGTCCTTAACATCAATGGAAAGATCCTAATAATTAAAACGAACGAATTTACTTATGGATAGTTTTTCCTAATATTTTTTACCCTTGTTCTTCAGAACTGTTTTACTGAGTCGTAAGATGTGGTTGTTCGAATTACGTACTGTTTTTTAAGTCTAGTAAATTTACATAGTAAAATTTTTGGCTTATTATACAATTTTTAGTATACTGTCCTTATATTACCATAATTTGATAATCGAAAACTTTATAATGTGTATTTTGTTTATTGTATGACATATATATATGTATAAATAATTTCTCCTCTCACACTGGTGGCTTATTGTGTTGCACCAAGAGTCATAACTAACTGTGCTGATCAAGTTGGTAGTATAAATGAATGTTTAGCACTGATACTTTAGAAATGGTAGATGTGTGTTGTAAAATACGTGAGGATGTTAAGTGCTGAAATTAAATTATGACTTAATGAATCAGTAATTATACAAACTATGAAAATAATTAATTATCTTAAGTTTCATCTTTATCACAGTAACGAAATTCTTTCGATTTCTTATTGTTGTTGTGTTGTAAAAAATTTTCCTCAAGATTTATACATTTTTTACGTAGTTTAAAGAGATATAAGTTCTAGATATTTAGCATAAATGCTAGCTTAAACTGCATGCTATATTTGTGAGTGAATTTTCATAGAAGTAAATAAGTGGGATCAACTAGATAAAACGAAGTAATTAAATTTTCTAACACAGCTTACAGAATATCATTAAGTTAAAGTAAGCAGAAAATTTGAAACGATGTTTTTTGCTACTTGGTATTATTCGGTCAAGAGAATGTGAATTTTTGACGGGAGTAAATATTCTAGGATATCTTATTTGGTCAAACAGTTAGAGATCTTATTACTAAAATATTCAAAACGCTTAATAACGGTTCAACATATAAAATGTTTGGCTCTCAACCATTGAGGCCTAGGTTAGAACCCAACTCTACTTAATCCGGTTAAAAAACTCAGGTAGTATCGATAACCCTTACACTTTGGGTATTGCTCACATCCAAGTACTCGTTGAATAATTCAATTATTATGTCACTACATTACAGAGTTGAACTATTAAACTCAATCAGTACATAGTTAAGCAAGAGGAAACTGTTTATTACACTGTGACAAATTCATAACTTAACGTTTCACTCAGTATAATTCACTGATTGTTCAACTTTAACGAAACAATACATTCTATCAATAATGCTAAAATTGTTGTAAATGGTTACATTTTTAATGTCATCAGTTTTTCATAACTAAGTAATTTGATGTGTTTCAACTAGATTTCAGTTATTTTTACTTATCTTTTTAAATTAACACTCAAAGAACGGTGAAAACAACTGGATAACTTTTGATGATGAATATGAAAATCATGGGATTAACTTGCCAAACTGTACATCTACAAATCTAGTATCTCATAATCTTCATAATCAGTTGTTTAGTGACAAGGATCCACGTTTCTGTAAGTTAATTTTATTAAGCTTAATTTTTAAATTCTACATAACACTAATTTAATGAGTCTTCATCAAATTCTTCTGAACAACATCATCAGAATAAATTTTAGATGGAAGTGAAGTAATCGAATTTCTCCACTGATAACCCGTAGCTTATTCTGTTAACCTCGATCTTGATTGGCTGTTACTGACCTGAACTTGTCATTGTTTGCACCTTTATTTTGGTTGTATTCCCCTTTGACGTGTTTCTTGATTCTATGTCGCCTGCGATTTTTCTGATTGGTTGATAAATTGGGTCAATCTCGATGTGTTTGTTGATTGCTGATTGACTAGAGAGCCAAGCTACTAAATATTTCCCAATGTTCTTTACCCTCCCCCATATAGTATTTCCACATAATTGTTCGTATGTATTGATATAAGCGAAGAATTGTCGTGGCGGTAGACTGCTATATAGTGTTCATGTAAACGAAGCTGAAGAGGACGTCCACTTTTTCCTATGTAGTGTTTTTCTCAATCTGAGCAATTAATTTTGTAGATGATATTTGGTTTTTCTTCATTTGTCATTTTGTCCTTCGTTCTACATAGGATTGATTGAAGTGATTCTGTTGGTTTGTGTGACACACCTATTTCAAATGGTTTTAGTAGTCATGCTGTATGCTCCGATATGTCTTTTGTGTATGATAGGATGATCTGTTTATTGGTTCCTGTGCTTGATTTCGCTTCTGATGATGGTTTCGGTTGATGTTTTTTGATGAAGTTACGTGGATAGCCGTCCTTTTGGAAGATAGTCACAAGGTGTTTTTCTTATTCTTTTAGTGTTTCGTATGTGTTGCAGTGTGTCTTCGCTCTCTTGAACAAAGTTTGTGTGCAGTTGATTTTGTGGGTTCTTGGGTTATGGCTACCGTAGTTGAGAATTACGTCTGTGTGGGTTGGCTTCCGAAATACTCGGGTCTCCGATTTTCCCGTGCCAGTTCTGGTGATTAGGCGTAGGGAAACATAGAATCAGGAAACAGATCAAAAGGGGCATACAATCAAAATAATGGTGCAAACAATGACAGGTTTGAGGTCAATAACAACCATTCAAGATCGAGGTTAACAGAACAAGCTACGGGTAATAAGTGGAGTAATTCAAATACTTCACTTCTATCTGAAGTTTATTCTGATGGTGTTGTTCAGAAGGTCGTTGAAAAGTGCACAACTGAAATATCCAGCTCAGTAACGTGTTAATTACTGTCATTTGATGCAACCCATAAAAAAGTTAGATTTATCAATATAAACTTATTCTTATTAGTTAGATTTTTTTAAATATATGTTAATACTCCTTCAAACAATTATGATTTCCTACATCATCAGTTTTCTATTATTAACCAATTTGATACATTTAAGTAATATGTCATACCGCATTTTGACAATAAACAAATCATTCAGATTCTTGTACAAATATGTTAAATGTACTAATAAAAACAAGTATATATTTTCAAAATATGACAATAAACTTGTGAAACTGCTTATACTACTAATCAGTTTTATTCACAAACAAGATTTGTATCATTTAGTAGTAACATCTAAAAATAATTTGATGATTATACCATAAACCAATAGCGCATATGATTAATCACATATTATTTGAGTAATTTATAAACTGACTTATGATTGTATCAATTTCGAGAATTGTACAAGGATATGTATATGTCATTTTTGATTAGACGATAATGTTGAATAGTTTCTCGTTTCTCGATAGAAAAACACTGCATCAATTTCAGACTTGTAATATTAATTAACACGAGGAAATATTCTCACTTTAAATTTACTACTACTAGTTAACTGTCTGTACAATATACAATTAGTATTTGTTTGAATAAACAATCATATGAAATCGATTGAAATCTATTTAATCTAAGAGTTACAGGACATTATTCACGAATTAAAAACTTTATCAAATTTCAATATGAATAATTTTGATCAATCAATTCTAAGTTATAATGTTTCCAATATATAAATATTGTAAAATAATTAGGTTATTATATATATATATATTTCACAATGAATTTATGATAATTCATTCCATTCCGGCTTTTTATTGAATACACTTGTTTATTTGTCCAAAATATTCAGTTTCACAAATCAATATGAATAGTCAAATGTTCAAAAATAATTCTAGCCCATTTATGGAAATGACTAAATGTACATTACAAAACACTACTGCTTATTTAAAGTCATATTCAACAACAGCTAATATTTGGTCAAACATACCTCCTGCTATTCAAACTGTAAGTTAATGTGTTGTTATTTTAATGGATAACCAATATGGATGTATAAACCTTAATTGAATTTAGCATAGAATGTAGAATTTTTTGAAAAACATTTTCACAGTCATTAATGATATATTCGAAAAGGTTGTCATTGTTGTTGTTGTTGACTTGTTGCATTTTCTACAACCTTACCTATTGATAATTATTGCATAAAAGATTTAAATAAAATGAGTTATGTAATGATACTTTAGAAAAAAATCTTCGCACTCTTCATTTAAATAATATTTTCTATGAATATTTGTCTAAAATAAAAATATCAGCTACATGATATATTCACCTTTTCTAGTGAAATTTCAATGAGTTCAAATTCAGAATGTTACATATAATTTGAACATTTATTGATGATCGATAATAATTGATTTTTAATCAGTTTGTCAATGTAATTATAATTAACTACTAAATACTGTCTAACAAATAACTATTGGCTTTATTGTTTTTCAATAATTATTCACTATCTAAACCTCTGATGATAATAATAATATATTCAAAAAATGTAACCATTTAGAATATAATAATCCTTTATTGAATAATGGTTTTATTTATTTAGAGAATTCAATAGTCTTTAACTTTCCATTTAGGTGATCATCATAAAAAAAAACAATTTCGTTTGGAACTAGAAGATTAGAAGATTGGTTGTTCTCCTCGAAAGTTCTACCTTTCGCAATTGGTTTAAAACAATAATATACATGTATTATATACATTTAGAAAAATATTCACAACTTATAAATAATAGTATAGAAACTTAAAATATTTCGCTAACATAAACAAAAATTAGACGTCAGTCATTTGGACATTTTAGTTTAAACTTATCAAATTTCCATCAATAGTTAAGACAATATATATTTTTTTTAGAGTTGATTAGATATAAATACGTATGTATGTAGATATAATTGGTTTATTATTATCTTGTTAGATTTTCTAACCGAATGAACTTCTGTTATCTTAAGAAAAAAAATAATATATTTCTCATTGTGCAAACAAATTACAACAACTCAAGTATATTGCTGCATAATATGTAAATTATTCATTCGATATTATTGTTGTCTTGTTTTAGACATCTGATTATGAATACGTGATGTATATTTATGCACATGTATACATTCAACAAATTAGCCATTGTAAGAACGTGATTCTAAGCATCTATTATCACCTAGATTGAAAGTAAATTTGCATAAACACGAGAATCAACGTATATATATATATATATATATATATATATATATATATATATATATATATATATATATATATATATATATATATATAAAGTCAATAAAAATGAGAATTGTTTGAATAAATATGAACACCTTAATGCTGATTGTCATTTCGTTACGTAGCTTGTAAAAACTAGCATAATACGGTTTCAAATTAACAGTGAATCGTTAGAGAGGAATCAGTCGTAATTTTATGTATTTATCATTCGTGATACAAGAATATACATTCACAAAGTACATCTTTATAGGTATTTGAAATAGATTATATATTGGGAGAAATCATGTTTATAGGAAAATAATTATTGGAGAATGTGGTCTCAAATTCAGATTATACTGCTTTCCAAGCTTTGTCACAATACCTAAAGATTTGTTTCTGTAATAACTCACCTTTAACTGCGTTTAGACAAACTATTCCTTGAAAAACACTAAATATTTTTGAGAAAGAAATCCAACAGCCGTATAGGAAAAGTTTTACAAATATTTTATATGGTTATCATGCGATAACTCCGAAAAACATATCAATACAATGAGTATCTCAGATTTCCTACTCTGCTATTGGTATCATATCTTAAACAGCGAATAATTTCTCTCTTAAACTTTAAATGTTTGATATTGTCAATAGTATAAGAAATCTGAGACATTTACCCGTCAATAATACAGGATTCAATCACTTGACTTCGGGTGCGGATGTGTGACAGTAAATGCTTCACTATCGTTCTTCAGGGGGGAGGGCGAGGGTAGTACATGTCAAATTTTCTTAATATAATACACAAGCATTTTTCTTTAAAGTTGGTGCTTATGCTTTCGTTTGCCAAACACTTTGAATAGCTAAACTACTTCATTTTCTGTCGTGAGTGGATATTAAACAGGAATGAACTAAGTAATGAATGAGGAGAGATTTTCAAGTGTCTACCTAATATTCGATGATACACCATTCACCGAGTTTTTGCATAAACTTATATTTATCGAAATGAAAATTGACTATTATCATTTTTCTGTCTAAATTATTCATTATTTGCTATGTACCTTGTTTCTGGTTATAGTAAAATATGCCATGATTTTCATTGTTGTTCATATTTTTATTTAAATTTTAGTATAATCATAGACATTACTTTTTCTCATAGTTTCAGACTAAAACATTCCCATTGGATGATTCTTTTTGTAATGGAACATCCACACAACAACTTCAAACTGTTCTAAATAATCAAATGTCTACCATTAATAAAAATGTAACGAATAATCCATTTTACAATATACCGGTTAACAATACTCGGTTAATTACAAAACCAACCTCTCCACTTGATACAATATTTGATATAAAATTATTTAACTGAAAAATGAAAATCATTCATGATTTATCATCATAAATGTTTTTTTTTCTACTCATTAAACTCGTTAACTTCGAAATTTATTTCTTTTTTTAAGTTGATAACAATGAACAGTGATATTTTAATATGATTCATTTTGATTTATTCTTTTGATATGATGCGTTGTGTTCAATGATTTTTTAATTAGTTTTTATTTTTTGAAAAACTGTTCACCATTGCCTATGTGTTGTACTCCTTTATATGTTTCTTGTAAAATTCAAAAGTATGATTTGTACTGAGTATCTAATTGGTAACCTTGTTGTCATATTGAAAAGATAAATGTTTCTTATTAATCTGATCAGCTCGTTCGGTTTTAGATTGTTATATGAAGACTGGAAGATTATTTAGATGCAACTATGGTTTGTTTGATTATCCGACTGTTACTAAATTTACTGCTTTTTTCATAAATTACCTACCGATATAGTGAGCCAGTCCTTAAGTGGCCAAACAGGAAGACCATCTGATGACTATCAGAATTGTCCTCAAAGACGAATGCATATCATTGGTCAAGGAACGGACTCATTTTCTAGGGTGGGGGAAGAATGCATTTATACAAATGAGTAATTAGGTATCTTATTGGGAAGGCGAATAAACTTTCTAATGCATTCTTGCGCTTTCTCTCAAGTAGCCAGCTTAGTAGTTAGCACGTATCACGTTCAAATCTGGGACACAGCAAATTATAACACTTATTTCACAGTTTCATTTCCAAAATAACTTGATCTAATTATATTGGGTAAAAATAATTATTCATGTCTTAATCTATCATTGGTAACGAAAGATTTTTTGAGAAAAAAGATAGTTTAGCTTAACCATGTAAACAATATTTCGCTCAATGTTAAAACGGCGACTTCATATTTATCAAAATATTAGTCTTCCCAGATATTGCAACATCCTCATTGCAGAAATTTTACATACATCAAAAAAACGTATTTGAAGTGACAAAAACATCAAAAATTTTTATCAAGAAGATTAGGTTAAGTTAAAATCAAACAAATCTACAGTAATATTTAGACACTGGAAATATAAATCAGCTTAGGCCATCTATCAATTAATGATAACAATGAATTTGATTATATAGCTAATCGTAATTTGTAATTAACGTCAACTGCACCAGTAATAGTGAGAATAACACCAACTGAAATAAATACTTCAACACTATAAGTAAGTTAAAATTCAGAGAAATAAACTTTTCAAAATAACTAGAAGCACGCTCGATGATGTGTTAGAGGTGTGCCCTATTCGGGAAGAAACTTCAATTCGTGAAACTACAGTTCAGTGAACATATTACTAGCTATGTCCTATACAATGGGATATTAAAAGTGGTTATAACAGCATTTCATCTTGGTTCACCGATGGTATTTTACTCAGACAGAGTATTAGTTATCTGCTTCTGTCACTTCAGTATATCTTTATCAGTCCAGCTATTCCTGTGAAGAAAGCTAAATCAGAAGTTCCACCGATCATCTTAACAAACGAGTGAGTGTAGATCTCGCCGTGTGATTTGGAAACGCATTACTTATTATTTATAGTCAGACAAAATTAAGCTAGATATGCGATAAACGAAGCAAACAACACATGAACGTACTCATGTAAAAACAACCAAGGTTATAAGATAATAATGGACAAGGTCAAAAGGCATGTGACAAATGATTTAAAAAAATGAATTAATGAGTTTGTTCAAAGTCTGAGAAAAGCCATGTGGGCTCGATATATTATTACACACCACTAGAATCCAGGCTGCTCGTTTCGTCCTGTTTGCGACTTCTCCAATGAATCAACCTTCGTCCAAGTTCATGTTTACTTTAGGCCTCGAATCCAGTACTGTTAGCTTCAAATTTCAAACCGTCATCTACTTAGCTACTGAGTCCTGACAGCTATATACGTGTGCTACCTAACGTACGTCATAAATAGTAATCTCGAGGCAATCTGCAGAGGATCCACTTATGACAACCAAGATTGATCAAATTTCAGTCGAAATTTCAACAAAGAGACAATTCAAAAACCAGTTCAAATTGAATTAACTGTTTATTAGTTGTCCAAGTCAGTGTGAATATGTTAGCTTTTAGTCAACTGTCTGTTTTCGTAATTTTATTGTGATATGAAATTTGTTACCTTTGATCAATTCCATCTTCCTTGTTCGATTCCTAATTTTCACATTAACAAGATAGTGCCTAAAGCCATTCATTCGTTAAATACCAAGCGTCACAATGACATCTCGGTAATGTGACTTCGATCATTATCACAGTATTTATAAATTAACAAACAAGATATATATTGAAACGTTCAAAAGAACAAGTAACGGTAGTGGTTAATCTGGTTATGTTATGTTGCGAAACAAATTTTTCTTGAGTATACCATCATCCATTCACCTAGATATTGTCAGCTACTCTAATGCAAATTGGAGTTCCTCAAAAGCGCTATTTTGTGTATCAATCGATGATTTAACATAGTTTATTCGTGTCCATTTCAAAGACTTGTTTACAAAGCCTTTCTCTATCCAATATATTTTTTAAAATTTATTGTAATTGAAAAATTCTTATCATATTCTTATCTAATTTTACCGATTAATAAAATTTTAGAACGAAGTCTTCAAAATATTTCTCACCGTACTCACTCGTTAGAAGAAGCCCTTAACATCACAAAACGAAGTATCGTTTAGAGCTGCATAAATCTATTTACCGATCTCTGTTTATATGTTAGCCTCTTAATTATTAGAATCAGTATTTAAGACTTTTTTCTCAGTAGGATAAGATACCAAGAACTTTAAAAAAATAATACTAATACATCAGCATATAGGCCAGGATTGACGAATAGCTTAAAACTTAAACAGGCCAGTTTACGAACTTAAATTAATCTTCACACTTCGGAAAAGTACTAAGGATTGTAGTCTATGAGATGAGGTGTGAAATTTTAAGTTAGTTAGTGCGAAAATAAAATTTCACCAAAAACTTTACCGTAACTCAAGTAGAATGATCTATGAAATTTTAGATAACACTGCAATCAATAAAACGTAAGTGATTGATAAGATCAACCTAGAAGTATGTTGATTTCTTTAGAAATGAGGATTTATTCATGATACTGCGGTGATGAAGAGGAGAGATTAAAGAGAAGAATGAAGAGAACGCGATTGATGAAAAGAAAACATTTATTACAGTAACCAATTATACCAATGGTTGTTTTATTCTACTCCTTTGTTTAACTGTACTAAAAACTATGATTTCCCGCCTCACGTTTCGCTGAAATTGCTCAGTTGCCTTCGGTGGTTTCACCTTTAATGGTGACCGAGTCGAAATTGACTATGATCACCACTAAATACTAATTACTAGCCCGTCACAGTTAATAAAAAGTAAATCCAGGGTAAAGAATATATTGGAAGGAGAAAGTGAGCGACATTGGGAGCAGTATATAACTAATTGTAACTTGCAATTCAAAACAGAAAGTTGTGCGTAAGTCCTTTTAGTACAGTTAAACAAAATAGAACAATGATAAATGTTTCCTTCTCACCGGCTGCGTTTTCTTCGTAGAAGTATTCCACTACACGTCTTTGGCTTTTGTTACGATCTTGATATTTTTTCGATATCACTAAATCATCAATAAATATACCTCGACTTCCAATCACAGCTGGTCTTCTAATTTTTGGCCGTCACGGGATTTAAGTTGGTTATCTCGCGATAAGTAGTTTCAATACGCTACAATACTTTTACTAAATGGACTAATTTTCACTTTTAATAGTTATTCTCAATTATAATATGTAACATGAACTACTTTTAATATCCCTCTTTTAACATAAGTCTACTTTCAAACTGATAACCAAGAAACCTAAATTTTATTCAACCTGATATTTTCACAACTTAAAATCAACCAAATGTAAAGTAATCATTGAGCATCAGTTTATATCGAAGTTTTGTATTATCTTATTTTCTTGTTTGTATAGCCTAATAATTGATTTGTAATTACTGACTTTCCCTAATGGTCTTTAAAATTTAATAAATTCTCATGTGTTAATGGTATTTTCCAGTTTTCACGTATTAGTCCGTTGCTACACATCCAGAAATTTAAGATCCAGGAATTTCTCCATACTTAAATGCACCAAGCACTATTATTTACTCCCTTTATTGGTATTATTATATCATTTTCTGCTAAAGGACTGTATTTATCAGCTAGTTTACTAAACTTCTTACTCTAATGTTATGTTCTGACCATACTATGAATGGAGAGACTTCAGAAGAGAGAAGAATGAAAGAGAAATGGGTTTATCTGCTCGATGAGCACACAAATGCTAGCATGTTTAACTATGAAACCAACAAATAACAATTAACAATAATGGAAACTTGTAATTGTAGCTCTCTTTTCATTTTAACCAAACATTAGCAGAGTAAAAGCACAATGGTAGAAAATAAATCACAGAAGGCTTTTGGCATTTCTAAATAATGCAATAATTTTTGTATATGGAGAATTGATATACTCAGTAAATTTCTGGTTCATTTTGAGATACACCAGTATCTCCCACATTTCTCCGACTATCTAAACGCAAGACATCTGCTGAAGGTCAATATCAGTTCGATCTTTTTCTGCTGCAAGGAATATTGACTATATGTTCTCCCAAAACACTATGCTAACACTTTGCAAAGACGTACTACTGAAGCTATTTACAGTAAATCTGAAATTTTACTCAAGAAACAACGTATCATCCAATGATGGATTTAATCTTTTATAAACTCTATTGTAAGTTTGTACAATATATAACACCAGTCAGATTAAACCTCGTTTAAGTTAACATGACTAATTCTACTTAATTACTTGCTAACCTACCTACATCAGTTACCACTAATGGAGCAAATGCTGCTAACCAACATTCTGAAACCAGCTCTATCCTAGAACATCGCTACAGTTACTGCGATATCTGCTCTCAATACCTCAGCTGGAAATTTGTCTGGTCCTTCTAGTTTGCGACCACAATTGTTAGTGAGTCAAGATCGATTATGAGGTGAGTAGATGCTGCTTGGATGTTGGGTGGTTTCAGTGGGGCTGGTTTTTTCAAGAGTTTTTCAAAGTGCTCTGCTCACCTGTTCCACCAAAGTTTATTGTCGGTGATTGCTTTGCCTTGTATGTTCTCGACTAATTGTCCTGTTTCGCCATATTTTCCACTGATCCTCTTCACCACATCATATACTTGTCTCAACCTGAAGGGGTATGAGCTCCTCGCTTTGCTCATAAAGATCTTATAGTAAATCGGCACAAAATCTCGTATTCAAAACAGAAGACTCCTTGAAAGTCGTATCAAAACATTTGGCGAACCTCAATTTGTTATTAATGTAAGTTGGTCGCGTGAGTCAATGTGAGATCTAAGATCTAAGGTTACAGTATCTCGTTTAAGTAATAGTTCACCAAATAGTTCAGACATTGTGTCTGTTAAGTAAACTCTCATTTTAAACAGTGGTTGTTCAGTCAAATGTTTTTAGTGTTTATTATTTTATCTAGAGTACATGATTCATTGTAACTTTTTCGGAAACCATTATTCTATTTTCGAATCATTATAAGCACATCCTTCGGCCTTGTTAAATATTCTCTTGCAACTCTGGCTATTTTTCCATAAATATACATTGCTTACTTCGCTTATCGCATGTTAAGCTTATCTTTGGCCGTGCTTAATAAATAAAGTTGGTACACCAGCCTTCTCGACTTTGCTATACATTTGCGCTTCTCGAAACTGCCAATCTGTCTACGCGAATGTATGAAATAAATCCTTCCACTTAAAACATTTTCAGGCTTTTCAGTACCTCTGTCTCACAAGTAAGATTTACTTGAGAGTAATAGATTAAAATTAGATGAAAGATATATTTCATATGTATATAAAATATACTTCGGCAACACTGGAATCCGTTCCCGAGCCATTTAGTAACGACAAAGAGGAAGAATCCGAGCATGGTTTGTACGAATTCATCGAGCAAGCATCACTTCCGAAGAATAAGAGTCGTAAAACCACACCAAGCATAGTAATCGGTGGTACGCTCTCAACCGCAATACAAAACTGGGAATAGAGCCAACACTGACAATAATAGGATCATTATTGTCACTCCATTTAAGTCTGAAGTCAGTGAGAAGGTTGGAGATACTGATATATCTGCTTTTTCAAACATGAAATCCTGTCTCTTGATTACAACATGGTTTATAAACATTTGAGTCGAATATAATTTGCCTCTATGTGTTGTGAATCGTTTAAATATCTAAGGCATTGAATAAGAATCCCACAATATATAGTATGATAAGCTAGATTCTACCGTAGTCTGCACGCCTTTACTCAGTTAGCCTAGAATATCCACAAATGATGGGTACAAAATTATCAAGGTTAACACAATACGTAGGCGTCTCAGAGGGTAGCTCGTGAGGCGGTATGCAAAAAAGGTTTGCCTGGTCTTCGTTATTCGTAATATGCATCAGCATAATTTGTAACTGCTTTGACTTTAGGAAGGTTAGTTTACAACCTTATGACCTTGAGTGTTTCTGCTGACGCAACAGAGATGAATTTCGCAATATCACCAGTTCTATTCAGCAGATATCAGACAAAGTTGCAGTATATTGTAGGAATTACCAACTTCGGTCTATTATTAACAAATACGCCTAGGTCATCATGGCAGTCAGAACTGCACAACTTGTACGTTTGTGCTTGTACTGTATTCTGACAAATGCGGTTTGATTTACTAACCAATATTGGAGGATATAGGTCAAACCTAAACTTGGGCTGAAATAGTGTAATCAGCTGACTACGGGCTTGAAGCAAATTTAAGGTAGGGCCTACCCTATCTCTTTTCAAGGTTGTTATGGTCCTAATGTACCACCTCGTAGGACGTAACTCTGGTTATATTCAAGTCCTAAAACTATTTATGTGAAATGTATTTCCACGCTTCTCTTATTTTTATCTTGTTTTAGCAAAGGCTACGAAGCTGACAATCAAACAATCAAAACGTGACATTTAACCTGATTTAATTGGCTGCCAAGAATGACTCATAACGTTACGGTGAGGAGTTGATCGGCCTCTCACATAAATGTCAAGAAAGGGTGACCTATCCAGCTGAAGGCGCTCGCCCACGCATCTACATTAGATCACAGTTGAAAAACAGTTCCTACATACCCCAGCGCAACACCAAAATCATACGCTTTTTGACATTCTTATCATTGCTCAAATACATCTTCGATCTTCATAATTCCTGACTTCTCGTCTAACTGCATCTAAGATAGTTTATTAGTAAGTGAATACGGACAGTGTCATTGGTAAACGATAAATAAACGTAACATATTTGTTTTGTACCCATGCACAGAAAAAATGTGAAAGTAATTTAAATAGCATTTAGATAACTATTACAGACTGCTTTTATTGAGCTATAAAAATAATCAAGAATGAGAAGTTGATTGTAAATCACAGTCTTCTTACGTTCATATATTCATTCCCGAGCTAACTTCAACTACTTATGATGGACCTTTAGATAATATACCCGACGTCCACATAAGGTTTTTTTTAGCTTAATCTTAGAACCTACTAACCTGACAGCAGCTGCATCTAGTAAATCGATCATTCAGGACAATCTCACAACGTTGGAAATCACGACCGTATGTATGAAAAGTCTCGGTATTAGATATTATAGTGATAGAAACAAAGGTATGAAATAAGATTTACCCGATTATTGTTGGAAGTAGCAGTTCACTTTGATGTACATTTAATTTATATGACGTTTCTAGACTGACAGTCCAGTAAGGTGAAATCCTCCTATGCGAAATTTTTCATTTTCTCACAAAAATGCCCCAATTAGCCTCTTCAGTCGACATAGAAAATCAAAACAAACAAGACCAGCTTAAGAGACCAAAAGATTATAAGCTCATTACCTTCAGGACATTGCATATTCGTAAGACTATAGTCAATTTTCGGAGGCACAATGAAATCGAAAAACAACAATCATTCGAAACAGCAGTTAAGAACATGCTCTACTAATAATTTGTTTGCATGTGATTTTGTTTAACTACACCAATTTGATGGTCTCTCTGAATAGTTGTTTTTAAATTCAGTCTAATTTCATGCGATATTTCTATGCGTTCTGAGTTATTGTGCAGCGTTTTGAGGAAACTGTTGTCGGAAAACATTCAATACCGCATTTTTATCAGTAGAAATGGCGCTTCAGAATATTCACGAGCTTTATAATAACAAACGGCATTCAAATCGATCAGCTGGTGATTCTAGTAGAAATTCAACTACTCTCGTGTGTTACGTTACACTTGCAAGCAATCAGGTTTATCAGGTGGAAGTTGACCATAAAGCTGAATGTCAGGAAGTCATAGATAAGGTATGAGATGATCCTTCCGATGAGTCATTTTTCAGATGTGTAAACTCCTTGGGATTACAGAAGAAGCTGGGTATTTCGGTATTCAGTTAGCAGGATCAAAAAACGAAATGTTCTGGCTTAATAGCAGAAACAGGTTATCAAGACAAATCCCGGGCCAGGCTCCATATCATCTATATTTTAGAGTAAAGTATTTTGTTCCACCATGTACACTTCAACTCGAGGAGACGAGGTAATTTCAAATACTTAACTAAAATCGTGCTTTTAAAGGCATCAGTTTTATACAAACGTTGTACATCATCTGAAAAATGGATCCTGGGATGCTGACACCACCCTTGAAACGCAAGCCCAACTGATTGCTCTCATGGCCTACATACAATTCGGCACTTACAACCCAAATACAACTCCGTGCAAATATGCATGTTTTTGGCCCGAATGTCGCCACGAAATTCCACCAGAAGCCATTCGTATGGCTGCTAGTTTTCATAAGGACTTAAAAGATATTACTACATCTCATGCGAAATATGAACTTTTATCGATCGTTTCACGGGAATTTCCTTCGTATGGAACATACTTTTATGATATAAAGGACATATTTGATCGAAAGTTATTACTTGGTGTTGGTCCTAACGACATTGTTTTGCTCAACTCAACTGGAGGTGTTATTGAGCGGTAAATACTCTCTGGTTTTCTATATTTCTGTGTATTCATTGTTTAACCTTTACTCAAAATTTATTGCAATATAGGGAGAATGAGATCCCGTTCTTGAAACTATCATGTACATTCTCCACAGAATGATGGCTCTTACAGCCTTTTACGTAAGCTTAAAACATATCTGACTATAGACAATCACAAACCTGTTATTTAGCATTAATTGACATTACTGCTAGAATACCATCAAGAACTTATCTGCTGTAGGATGTTCATTTTGTTGACGATTGTCATAAATATTTGTACACTTTTGATCCTCAGCCACTACATATCACATTATGTTACCTCGATTTCATTTGCTTATCAGCTATGTTTATCCATCATTTCTTTAATGTACATATACAATGATTCAAGCACAGTTACAGACAACTAACATGATTGAGTTGTTTTTACTGGCAAGTCTACTTCTTAGGCAGATACGTGTAATTATATATCCTGTTCAATTGTCCTAAGTCTACACTGAGTAGTTATTCTTTTCATGAAAATCTCATTACGTTTACTCTATAAGGAATAGTTTAAAAATGGCTTGGAATAAACCATAACCCTCCACTTCACTGGTTCATAATGCTAAGGATTTTCAGTTCACTTCCTAGCTGCTGGATAATACTGTTAAATTGAGCAAAAAAATAAAATAATTTTTTTTATTAGCACTTTACAATCTGGATCTATACTGAAACCTTTAGTTTATGTGTTCACTTAAAGTTGCAATTAATAGCTGTCAACTCGCACTATTGAGTTAGGTCTATTGATATACATAAATTCCTTTCAATGTAAGTAGCTGAAACAGTCTGTTTCTGATAATTTACTATTTCTGGAATGGGTCTTTAAGACTGGGTGAAATGTGTAGATTGCAGTCATTCATTTGCAGCTCCTTAAATATATATTGCTTAGGTATTTATAGTGCTTTAACAACTTTTAAACCAAACGCATGCTCCTAGCTGGAGAGCATAATTTGGTAAGGCTATTGAACTGTACTAGTTGGGATTATCAAATTTTATTAGATTCGGAGTTTTATTTCATCTTGACGTTGCTTGTTTTGGAATTTAATTAAAGGAAATTTAGAAGTTGTCTAACAAAGGTATAACACCACTCCATGAAGTTTTCAGGGTTTCGCTTAATCCTTGTGCAAAAATTTTAGATATACTAGTTTTGCGACATGTAGTAGTCCCTCGAGATCTTAATTGATGCTAATGTTATCCGTAAAAATACACTTACCCATCGTTTTCGAGAAGCTCATTTATTTTCCCTTATGTTCCTGAATAATTTAATATCCTTCTAAATGTTCCAAGTTCATATGCGTTAACGTAACGGTATTATCAAGTTCTGATTTTTAGACAGAATTTAAAGAAAATATCTTGTCAGTTATATTTTTTCTCCCAAATTTTTTCAACTAGTTTTAGTTACTCAATTTTAACTGATCAAATAATATATATTTAATCAATATAACTGTGCAGTGTAATCAGGACTGATGGTGGTAGTCATGATTTCAAAGGTTATCATGTCCTAGTTAACTGGGTTTAACTTGATGTCGTATCCTGCCTAATGCAGTAGCAGTCTGGAAAAAGCTACTCTATTGTTGTATTATACTCTCATTAGGTTAACTCACTGTTACCGCCATCTTTGGGGAAGAAAAAACTGGTTACTGAAACTTATGAGAGAGCCAAGTAATTTTGAAACACTAAGCCACATGATTTTAGGTCAGTTCAAGTAACTGTGTTTCGCATGGATGTTGACTTTAGCAATGACCAACACTGTTACTTTATGTAAATTTGTAACTTGTGTTACCTCATTAGGTTTTGATAAATGTTTTAATTACTAAAAAGCTTGTCGCATCATTCCGTTTCCGTACATTTCTTGCGACTCAGAATTATTTTGAAAACTATATGCTATGTGTTACATACGTCTGATTATAATTAAATCAAGTCCTCAATTGCAATATTCCTTTCGAGTTTATTTTTGAATATTGTTACGTTTAGAATCATACACCGCTGTAAAAGAACTTTATGATTTTGAATAAAACTACCAAAATTTAATGATTCAAACCATTAGGTTTTTTGTAAACTACAATTATATTATTAATTTATGATTAAATTGAGCAATATTTTATTCTTCCCTTTTCATAACCGACTTAGTTTTCACCCATTTTATAGTGAATTGATTCCATATACTTCATTGTAAAAATGAAATCAGATATCATTATGAAATATCGAATCACACATATCAAACTCTAGTCTACCTAACTATTTTTCAGGAAAGATTTTAGTGTGAATTCATTCGGTCATTTCGGTATATGTATTAAAACTTTGTGCTAAAAATTTTTGTTTCAGTTCATTCTGACCTTGAACTATTTGCGTTCACAGAAGTGTCTACTACTGATACTACTACTACTACTACAACTACTAAAAATATTACAATCATATATGATATAGATATAATGGATTGGTATTATTCATGTTAAAGAATATACATATAGACATGTAAACGTGCATTAAATTTACCAACTAAAACCCTCTCTATACATTTATTTAGTTGTTTCAACCTTTTGTATTTGGATATTTTCGTGTTCAGTGTGTAAACTGGTTTTATGCAATGTTAGCTAACCTTCTAGATCATTAAATTATCTACCAGATAATAGTACCTTATTGAATGATATCCAGCAAAAACATAAAGCTATCTTTATACTATCATTTTTCGATCTGTTCAGCTCAAGTCGGAAAGAAAAACGCAAAATATGTGTGAAAAGTATGATTTTATTTTATAGATTGCTTTTAATCGACAGCTAAGAAGGATTCTGTGCTAACAGGTTTTAAGTATTTGGATACCTTTCTTACTTGTATTTCGTTTGCTAAATGCGTGTGATTGAGTTTTTTCCTTCATATATTTATCACTTCCTTAGTTGGTACGACGATATTTAAAAGTTTTTACGATACGGTCTAAATGCAATGGCTTCTTTAGATCTTGTAAATAATTTACGAGATTAAAAGGTAATATTTTGCATGATTTGTTGTCCTGTAATCCAAATATAAGTGATGCTGGATGTAAGTATTTGTTAAAAGCCATCCTGTTGAGTCTACGAGGATGAATTCATCCATAGTGACACATCGTGAACTAAATAAATATACTTATGAACCATTAAAGTGATCTATCAATAACGTCAAATTTCAGCAGCTCAGCCAAAAAAATTTAAACTACAAACAGTAGTTTGATACCTTCAGCAAGTAATTCAACGTCCTGGTCAGTTTGAAAAACGCATCATGGTATAATCTCTAAAGGATATATTTTTGTAACCTTCGCACCAACTATCGGGGTATTATTCTACTTCTGACTGGATTGAAGTTATTTGCTTGATAGATTGTTCAAAACCCCAGAAAGATTGGTTTGCTAGAAGCAAACTGATTCTTGTTCTGTTCAAAAATTTATTGATCAAATCCTCACCCTCCGCCAAATGTTAGGAGACTGCATACCTAAATCAGGTCAACAATCTTTTTGTTTCTTGACGTTAAGGCTTCCTTCGATTCTTTGGACTGGACTCTTCATTGGGATTATCTGATAAGGACAGATTTTTTCAGAAGTTTACTGTCATCTTGAAAGCCTAGTATACAAACCTCTCAGGCGGAATGAGGACATACAACTGCCTCTGACTAATTTCCCATTAAAGAATCGAGGTTGGACAGTGTTTCCCACTCTCAACATTGTCCTTCAACTTTATCCTCTATTACGTTCTAGCAACAAGTCGGATGGATGCAGGTAACAGTGATGTGATCTGTTACCTGGATAAACGCTTTGCGAACTTGAGTATGTAGACGATACTGTATTATTGCACGTTGGTACCCGAGCCATACAATCCTCACATAACAAGTTGGAAATCAGTGCCTGTAGGTATTCCATATACTGTGCACCTCCTAGATAAAAGTTATGTTACGAAACTTGGGGAAGTCTGTACCTCAACTCACTCTTGGCAAGGAGCAGACAGAAGTCGAAAAGTTTGTTTGTTTAGGTAACCTTATAAGTGTTGATGGTGGCATACATGTTCTGTGAAATTCATGTATAATGGGAGCCAAAGCGGTTTATGCCGATGTGGGCACATTCTAGCGCCTTGATGATGTTATTCAGGCTGTAAAAGGTCCCATCAACAAAGCGTTAATTAGAGCAGCTTCGCTCAACGCTTGATAAACTAGACTTCCCAATTTGAACGACTGGGTGTTTCCAAAGGTTTACTGGCATTCACTGACGACATCACGTTATTATTGCGTAAGTTTGAAAATATGTGTTCTAGCAAGGCGACGATAATTCGAATGGTGTCACCCTCTTGAAACACTGACTTTGGTAGCCTCGACTTATACAATGAATTTCGTCCCGGAGAATAACACGTCATGCATTACTTGCTGACATTTGGTCTGGTTGGAGAAAGCGCAGAGGCAGCCAGTTTATGATATTGTACCTTGATATTAAAGGAAGCTATGCCGAATTAGTATTCGTCGACACTTCGCTACTCCGTGATTAAGGATCCTGGATGTGGTGAAATACAGTCACTTGAGATGTTAGACAGGGATTGGAATAATAGCTAGTGATGGTCCTTCTATAATTTTTATTTACCTTCTTCATGTAAGCGAGAAAAATTTGTTTAATTGAAAGCGTCTATCCTAGTTATATTTTCCTTTTTATATCTCTTCCTCATCTCATATTTTTCTGTTTAAATATATGAGTAAGTAACCCTAATTTAAACGAAAGTTGTTTTTTCAGGTGCCAAACCGTTGCATATACTATTGATTTATACCGTCACGAACTGTATATTTTTACACCACAATATGATTGTACTGTTTTTTTTTTTTAGGTTTCCATTTTGTCGAGTTCATACAATCACAAACAGCGCACGAGTTGTTACTTTAAATTTACTTGAAGACGATGGCAGTGTTAAAGGACAAAATTATCAACTATCATCAACTCGTCTAGCCTATTCCCTTTATCGTACGATAACCGAAGTTCATGCGTTTTTTCAAAGTGATTCAATTAAGCAATCTTTGATTGAACAAACTGTACGAGAATCATTTACTTCAATGTTTGATCATAATGGTTAGTTACATTTACATTCTTAGAATATAGTGTAAACACTTTCTTTCCATTTTCATCGTTTCGAGTCAATCATTCAGTCAGTTACAACGTACAGCTTCGTAAGTATGTACATAAATCCAGGTTGTCATACCACGTTAGCACAGAGGCGCAATTATTAGTTTATATCCCGATATAGTAGAGGTTTTAGAAGTATGAGCGGTAATGGAGAATAATAAGGTTTGAAGATATTATTCAAGAAGTATAATTCAGTGAGATAAATTTGGAAAGAGAAAAATAAAGGTGATGAGGAATTCAGATTAGAATTTCAGCGAACATAAATAATGGATGCACCTGCACCATTGCAAACGACTTTCAGCCATGTTGTTCAAGGTTTCTAACCATCGGTTAGTATCATCTCGCGGACCCTAACCAGGTTGTCTACAATGACCGACTGTATGTGTACATGACTAAAGTGTAGACTACCTGGTTGTGGCCCGCGAGACGATACTAACCGATGGTTAGAGATCTTGAACGACATATCTTAATATCGTTTCGAGAGACGTACTATTCTTAAGTTCATACCTTTCAATTGTATTTCTTCATTTCGATTTACACCTCTGATGTTTGGATTTATATGTCGTATATTTTCATTCTCAACGTATTGGTTCCCTTTCTTGCTATGGTATTATGAGACGTGATAACTTGAACTAGTCGATATTTGTACCAGGTCCTATATCAGTGTTGATTGATTGGAATAAAATAAAATAAACTTGTTGGCATCATATAGATGAGAATTTGTGATTTATACACTTCAATGAAACCAATAAAATATCTTGTTTTTTTGTTACCATTTTCGTGATACTAGAAACGTTGTTTACTAGTTCATAGTTTTTAATAAAAATGTCGAAAATCGCATTTCTCTAGCAAAGAAAATTTTGGATAAGATGAATTCCTTATCGCTAGTCTCAATTTATTTGACTTTTATTTCTACAACATTTCATTTGGAATAAACCACAAGTGGTCACTTGATAAACAAAAGCTAGATCAGTCATCTTATCAGCGTTGATAGTTATTAGCTCAACTTCTCGTGTATTATATCTGATGTTGGAAATATTCGATGACAATCAACTACCTTCTGGATTTATTTATATTTCTTTGATTATTTTTCTGGCACTTATTTATGCAGGTCAAGCTTATTTCTCTCTTATCATGTGGTTTCTAAGTTTGTTTAAAATCCGATATAGATTTATTCACTTTTCAATAAATGTGACTTAAATTTCAATTCACTCTAATCAAACATCACTGGCTAAAGTATAAATGATTCTTATCACAACATTCACTAGGATTTATAGGTGAATAGGTTTTCTTCGGAATTATCGTTACAACAGCTTCATAAATACGAGATTTCATGATCCTAAGCAGTATATCGTTAAACTATCAATTTTGATTGTATTGACTGTTGTTTTATTTTACTCATAGGTATATATCACTTTCAGTATTCAATATCTTTTGTAATTAAATTTAAGTTAGTTAACAGATGACATTGAAAATTTATGTCATTTCAATTGATTAATTAGCATTAACCGGTTTAAAAGTGTTTATAAAGGTATTCTATGTTAATTGAAGAGGTCTGTTTTATAATTTTAACCGTGCAATACTAACGGATTTTCGCATACATCCGAAAACGTTTCATTATTAGTCGAATGATTGTGAGCATAAGTTAAATGACGATCAAGTTTAATGCTATGAATATTTAAAATCTGCATTTTTCTTCATGAAGTATGCTTAACATAAATGTGAGATTTGTATTCTTCTAATTTAATAGTTTTCGATTTAAACTGATACATTTTTAAAAGTTTTATTCAACTGATAGAATATTGACCACTGATCAATACTTTTTATGTTGAGTTAACAACCCATTGTTGCTCTCTATTATATAATTTCTATTAGGTAAAGAATATGCGTTTGATCTTCGATATACATTTTCGGAAGTGTATGATCGAGCCAGAAGACGTATGTACCGCTGCACAAACAATACTAATAATCCTATTCCTACATCCAGACCACATGATTTAACCCACCATACAAGAAGTTTGAGTGGCTCTGTGAATTCTGTCATACATGATGATAACATTTCAACCAGTAGTTTAGAAGCTGTTCACAAAACTGACGATTCTCAAGGAAAACATGACTCTTCAAGCCTGGGTGAATCAGTTGTTAGTGTTGAGGTGAGTTTATTTTAAAATTTAAATTATACCTGTGTTTAACTCTTACTCAAATGTCATATTTGGGATAACCTCTGTTAAGTATCTCAATAAGTTCCACATAACAAGAAACTGTGCTTGATATTTTAAATAAGGCAGATTATTACTGCAATAAATGAAGGAAAATCTTATTTCATAATTTATCGTATTTATGTGTATGAATACTATACTTCCTGTGTATAGCTTGTATAAATTAAGCAAGCAACGTGGTGAATTTGCTTTTCAACATTAACTTAAGTGAATTAAAGTGGTCCTTTTATTTTTACATTCCATGAATAGAATAACTATCTTATTTATGTTGATTGAAAGGATACGTTTTATATTGTTTCATGTTATGCTAAATATGTTTTGTAAAAGTAATTTAAAAATTTCTCCATCACATAAACTCCGTTTAACATCTTATTTGAGTGACCAGATTCATTTACTTTATTTCTCCATCTTGAATTTCAGTATCCTGTCATAGATACCTTTCCAATCGGTCTCTTCAAATCATATTCTTAATATTTAGTCTTTCCATTTATCATCACAACAACATTATTCCAATCAGTTTTGTTACTTTGATTTGGTCATATTGACCGGGTATGGCAACTTGGGCCAACACACATCTGTTTGAGGCTTTTTATTAATGATATCTGTCTGTCTCATGGATTTATTGTATCAGTTTTTATTTTATATACATCATTTGCTTAACACATGTTGATACGTGATCACAATCATGACATTCACAACGATTGTTTTGACTGCTCATTGAAGAGTTCTGTTTATGTTATTCACTATTAAACCAATTCATTATAGGTAATGAACTCAACAAATGAAATCATACAATTGCGTGATAATTAAGTGCTGATAAACTATTTCACTCGATGACTCAATGATAACGTATGATGTACAAACACAGTTTTCAAAACATTCAATTTATTATTGGTGTCATTAAAATCACACTTCAAACTGGTAGTTAATTGTTGATCATTCTTATAAAGTCAAATTCACGGAAACTAAAATCATCTACTAATTTCACACATGCATTGTAGTGATTTTATTTATACGTATAAAACTCCTTATAACCTTGAAATGTTTCTTTCTGTGAAAAGCAAGCATACCTTGGTGTTTCACTAGAAATATATATTCGGTTTAGTTTTACAATCAATAAAATCTCTACCGTTGGATCACACTTCTAAATTATAGCTTATCCACTTCAATTCAGCTAGTTAATTCACATCACTGGGTTTCACAATAAATTTAACATTTAAATCTGACTACCATTCGGACATTTACCGATTTTTTAAAATCTTAGTTATTTTTAGCTTAAAGTAAAAAGGGCTTTCTAACTCCGTTTCCATCCTTTTCTTTTTAGCCTCTGGTTACGTTATGTGTTTACCGAAAACACTATCATTCCATGTCAGTATTTTATAGTTTTCAGTTTTTTTTTTCTGATTCACTGTGCTTCCTCGCTCTATTTTATTTAATTTTAAGGACTACTATGGAATGAATCGTCTATTAACATAGCATGGAAATTTATTCTTTTAAAATAACTATGTAGTTGATTTCTTTTTTTTGTATTTACCTAAAATGATTAGTAGTTTTTGCTTCTAAATTTCCATGTAATGATTTTTATGGGAGCGAGATCAGTATGATGATTAGATGTATGCCAAAGATACATGAATTACTTTTTCGTTTAATTCTGGACTAGAGAATTTAGTGTACCCAATTAATTGCTCAATAAATTTTAGGTGTACTTCAACTATTGGTTTTTTTTTAATTGTTAGATATAAAATTTTGAAATATTTATGATTCCCATTGCGAATATACACTTGAAAAATACTATGCTCAATTAAACGTTCATTATTGATTCAACAAATTGAAGTAGCTGATTTGAAAAAAACATCCGTGTATATATTTCAGATGCATTGTTTATTCATTTAATACTAAATAGTTATTCACCAATGATTGCATGATAAAAATGATATTACTTACAGGTACACACTATCATTTATTTTTATACTTTATACTTTAAGTGTATGAAAATGTCTGTTTTAAGAATTTTTTCTCTCTCTTCTCACTATTGGCATAAATAATATATGCATTATTTGTCAATGATATTTAGTTAGAACAGAAACTTTGATAAATTAAACATTACAACTAAGAAGATACTTCATACGCAGTAAGTAGCATTGCAATATTTCATTCTTTGATATAATCTATGTTCTATGCATAAAGATTGTATAGTACTCTCCTACGTAGTGTATACGTAAACCTCAAATAATTTGTTCGTTTCACTGAATGTTCTCGAAAGTTTTGCACAAATAAAATTTGATGGAAAAAAGAATCTGGTGGGTTCTAGTAGGTCGATTATGATTGAACACTATTATGCATTCATTAATTATTTTTTACTTCAAGGTTTCTGTTAAGTGTTTCATTTTGACAATAAAATCAGAATGAAACTCTCTTGTATATTTAGCTATACATTCCTTACTCATAATACTGTTAGAGATACACACGTAGATTATTCTATTTTCTTTTTGTAGCTATGTCACATATGTTTGTTTGAATACTGTTTCCAAACTAATCGTTGACCATATTTACACATAACCATCTTAGATGACAATCATATAGTAATCACTGAATGATGAGGGACTTTTATTTTAATTCGAATTTTTATGGTTTATTCTACATTCATGGTCCTTTGTCACATATAATATAATTTACTGTTCATTTAGATACTTCAGTACATACTAGTTAGTTTACTTAACAGATTGCTTTGTTACCTAGAGGATAGTTTTGTTCAACTCTGATAAAAGGATCTTTCGTATTGCGCAATATTATTTAAGAGATTACAGTATCAAGTATATTTTATTGAATAATTGCTAACAAGAATAACCAGTTAATATTTTGTTCATGTTTTTCGTTTAAAAACAAACAACAAGATTTAAGGAAATTTTAAAATTTATTTACTAAAGTTAAAATTATTTTTAAATAACTTTATTGTATTTTACCTTGTTTGCTATTGTCCCACATACTTGCAACATCATTCTAACCCGGTAGTTTATTCAAACAAAATAGTCTCGTATTTCGTCTATTTTTCTTCCCAAATTAATATATAATCACGCGTTCAATGCATGATATTTTAGAAGCAATGACCTTGACAATCTCCTAATCTTGTATTTTTTGTAGTTTCATCGATTTTTTTTTCATAAAAACTGTATTGATTGGGTGGTTTGTAAATTCTATTTTTCGGTTAGTATTTGTACAATGAACAAAATTCCTAAAATGTCCGCTGTTGTGAGAATAATGTATTAAATACAGAATTTAATATTAGGTATATTTTCAGGCCTCTAAACCTGGCTATTTATCAAGCAGTTATTCAAAGCGAAACTTCAGAAATGAAAATATTCATCCGACAAAGACGTTACCATGAGATTCTGAATACGTTTCAAACAAAGTATTTGGTGGTAGGAATGTAAAATTTAGACCTGTGGCAATTACTTCAACCTACAATAAAGTATTATTTTAATCCGTTTCAGTTTACCTACAAATGTAAGAGAAATATCCTAAATGTTGCTGTTGTTCTGCATCATACCACAGTGTTCAGCTTAGAAATGGTTAAGAAATACGTTTGAATCTACACCAAGACCACAACTACTAAACAAGTTCGCCAACGTTAACACTGGAAAATGGATGACCAACGGGTTGTGTTCTTACTCCTCTAGAAGAGGACAATATGCTGTGCTTGTACTAAGTCAAGAGGTTTTCCTGAGGGAGCCGTTCTTTTCACTTTTCTTTTCCCTCGTTATCTACATGATCTGCCATATTCTACAGAAAACACTTTTGTTAAACATGCAGATGATGTCATTGTATGTACATCGATTTCTGCCTGCTCACATCCCCTGGAACTGAATGAACAATGGTCTGTCGTTAATGATCCCACATTTAATCTTTAAAATGTCAAGCTGTTAACTTAATCCATAAACAGGACTTAAAAATCCTGTTAGAATCCCATAAAGTTTGTACCGTTGGAGATTTCGTGATTAAAAACATTATCAAAAGCCATTTATTTTGGTCTAAGTTTTTCCCCTGAACTCTCTTGTTCTTCTCATACTTTACTGATATTGAAGGAAATTTTCCATTTGATTTATTATAATAAAGAGGCCGAGTGCTTTCGGAGTTACTCAATACTTACTTTCACACTTTGTAAGCTCTTGTATATAACCTATTTTCCTTTACTCTTCCCTATTATTCCTTCCCGGGCTTCCGAGAAAAAATTTTAACGCGTTGGAGAGAATGCCGAAGGTGATTAGCAGAGTTTGTGGTGAATCTGTTGAAGTCGTTATGCATATGATGGTGAACAGACACTTAAAATGTTGTAGAATTCCGGCGAGTGTAATCTTATCTAAAATTAACCATTCTTTCCTTTCTCCTTGAAAATCTTCTGGCACAACAAGACGCCAATAAATTAGAATCTGTTCATTCAACCAAAAGTATAAAAACTTTACTTTAGAAAATATACCATACGGCGAACATGTGGTAAGAAATGACCTAGTCAAGAACTTATATTCCTAAACGTGTTCCCAACTAAAACGTTTTATGGATTCTCATTATGTATAAAAAAATTCATCTTATTTAAATTCCCGATAGTTTGTTCACCTAATTTTTCACGTATATATGTATGCAGTTATTGGTTATATTTTTGTTGGTTTTGTAAATGGAACTTGTTAAAGTACTTCGTGCTCAGAGTTCCAGCTTGTACTAAACATATGGTATTGAATAAAGCCATTATTATTTTTCTTTTCTGGATTTATGTTTTCTTTTAACTGTTGAACATGCTTAGTGCAAATTTTATTTGAAAGTGTGAACTATAGCTATTTCATCCATGCAGCAAGGAGTATAACGAACATGTGTAGGCTAATTTTGCACTATCAGCTATAATATTAAGCGTTGTGTAGAGAAGCTACACTTGCTCTATCAGATTACCCGCTGGTCCAATATGCTTTTGAGCCCTATCAGTGTAATGAAAGAAGGAGTCAAGACCAGTTAGAATAATAATGTATTTAGAGAAGAAATAGTTTACTCACAATGTGCACATTATCTTCATATTTTCATTTGCGAGACAAGCAGTTCATCGGCTGTCTTCTTTCGCATATCTTCAGGTCTTCAAAAAGCTTTGATCCTAACATACCTTCAAATTCGACACACTTCTTTCCAGTAACAACTTCTGGGTGACATTCGGCTGCGTACCATTTATAGGCTATGTTGCGAGTAGTATTCACCACGCTGGTGAAGATTGGGCCATTATCATCTTAATTAAATGCCTAATAATTGTTGTACACCCTAATGTGTCTGGTTATGGTTAGTATAAATGCATCATTGCAGCAAGTTATAAATGAAAAGAAAGACTGTTAAGCATAGGTCATTTTTGTTTGCTGACTAGTAAATTAATATAGGGTGCTTATTTAGTTCCATTTTCACACTCCTCATTTAGATATACCTCTTTTCCGATTCTTTTGTCCATACTGAGCTCTTAACAGAGTACCCATATTTTCAAATCTAAGCATGTTAACCTCTAAGATTAAAATCAATTTGTAGCTCTCGATTGCACCACGAAAACTTTGACATCAGACTCTATGGCGTATTTTCTTTATCATAGTCATGCTAATTGCCTCAAGTGGTTGATATAACCTGAATAACAATATAGTTCTACTCAACGCAGGAAAAACAAAATGTTCGTCTAAATGTTTTGATTTTCATAGAATCTCTTCATTATTGCTTTTTGTATTAACCGAATATTTTAGATGTACTTGTTGAGTATCCCTACTCTACAAGGCAATTTCCATAACCACTTCCAAATTGCTTCGAAAAAACAACTACTTTTTCAATATATATTTACCTATTCTTACATAGTTTATTTTTGATATTTCATACTCTACAACAAAGATTCAAGTCTAATCTTTTGATCTTTACTTTTTTTACTTTCAATTTCAACAACATAGACAAATTGATGGAAAACAAGTTTCATTTTTATCAGTAATTAATAAATAATTAAAATGGCATTTTGTTAAGTTTCAGAAAACTTACCACTTAATATAATAATTTTATGATGATTGATTCATGATTTTAATATGTAACAAAAGAAATTCAGTAATAAGTGCTTTAAATATTCATGTTTTCTTGTGCTTCATATTATTTTAGGAAGTTCAAGAGATAGTCCAGGAAACTTTGCGTGAAGTTGCACTCTGTCGTGTTTGTATGGATCAACCAATATCACGTGTGTTTTTCCCATGTGGTCATACAATATGCTGTAGTGTATGCGCTGATCGTGTAGATCAATGTCCTATATGTCGTAAAAGTATCGAAATCAGGCATCCATGCTTTTTACCTTGGAATACCGAATCCAATAATGAAGATGTTGACGTTCTTTCTACTTGCACATTTAAAGATATCAGTGATCGATTCAAATCCCACAGACATTCACGTCATCATAAAAACAATACTACAACAGATTCAGCTTTTCATGAAACAGCATCAGCACCTTCCTGCAATTTATCATCCCTTATTCCTGAAATGTCTAAACCATGTGATCATTTAGATAACCTTTATCAGTCCACATCAACTAGTGTACCTCGTATGTCTATGAACAATCAACCTAATGTTACTTCCTCTTCAAAATCAACCGCATCAATACCTGATTCACACACTTGTGAAATTCCTACAACGACTGCTTCAACCTCGAGAAGTTCTATTTCCCAACCAGCTACGACTTCAGATAACACTAAAAGCCATGAATCAGAAAAATCTGCTAGTGTTACACGTCGTGTTACATGGCAAACAGAAGATTAACACGATTCACTAGCAGTTATGCACTTTAGTCTGTGCATAATATTTGTATAAATTACTTTTTATCGGTGATATCAAAAAAACAAACCAATTTATACTAACCTAAATTGATTTAAAATTAAAGATTGACTTTCATTTCTACTTAGCTTGGCTTTTTTCCTTTCTTTTTAGACTACAGAGTTTGTCGCTAAACGGTGCAATTTATTGTTTTTGTTAGAAAACCTTTATTCATTACTTTCTTCACTCTTCTAATTTATTTTTTTTTTGCTTTGCCCTCTAAATTTAAATGCATAGAAATACACTTAAACAAAACTTCATTGTACTACATAAATATATTTATAAAATATGTAGTTCCAATTGTCATATATGTACATATTATATTTACGCGCATAAGCATATATTTATGATAAACTATCGAAAATCATGTTCAAACGATCTTAACAATTTATTTCATGCATATATACGTTTTGAAGTGACTGACTAATGTGACTAATTAATTCCGTATTGCTTTATTTCCTGATTTTTCTTGCATAATCTGTCATACGTATAAACCTTTCAGTCAGTGTAACAGGATACCAATTCATCGACATAATGAATATTGTACAGAAGAAATATGTATTTACATTTATGACCTTTATTATACTGTTGCTATCATTTTTATTGTGATTACGTATAATTTGTTCATTTGTGACATTTACTGCCCCATAGAAACAAACTTGCTGTTTACTAATACTCAGTTTCTGTTGCCTTGTGAAAAGCATTAATTATATCCATTCAGAATTTTAAAGTTGATATCTTGCAATGTATTACTTACTGTGTGTTTTGTGTATGTGTTATGTGTACAATGAAATCACAGTTATATTTATATAGATTCAAAGAGTAAATGTTCAAAGTTAATTGTTTCAAAACTATTTTTTTTGTTTAAAGAGAAAGTATAGTCAATGTTTAAAAAGTTGTTCTTGAAAATTTTTTTCTCGCATAATTGCCTTGACGGCATTGTTTAAAAGCCAGTGTGAATTCTCTAATTTTGTAAACATGGAATGACTAACCTCTCCTAGGTATGAGTACAGAACTCTATACTTTACTAGCTATACTGCTTACTGTAAAACCATATATATATAGATCTAAAATAATCTGATCAAAGTTGTAGTCATAAAGTTGCAGTTATATTTCTTAGCCACAGCCTTGTACACAATGAAAAAAATAGTAAAGTATTGGATATTTTTTATCATTTAGGGAGATATAATTTATTTACAAATCCAAAAATCCGAATAATAGACGTTCAAACATATACACCTATAAAAAGATAATAATTTTTATGTATATACAGCATATTTGGTGAGAGAGACAGATGTTACATCATGCTACTAAGTTGGCACAGTATACGACAGAACTGATTAACATCACGTACCATAGTCAATGCGTTGCTTTACACTATTGAAAATATACCAGATATAATTTCTGTTCTAATCGTAGGATTAAGCATGAATTTAAGCAGTACATGTTATTACGTCAGTATTTCTTAACTAGTTTAATCCTATCATTTTTCCTTTTTACACCATTTACTTGCTTAGCCCATTGAACAGAACTCAAAATTTCGCCAGTCGATAAAGGATTACTGATGATTTTAATGATAATCAATGACTTTCCTTCTAAGAAAAACTCTTTGTCACTTTGCACCTGAACTAGAAAATCTCGATGAATATTTACTTTAATTTCATAGTTATCACTAGGTAATTTATTAATGGAGTACTTCGAATCTGGTTAATACATAGAAATGCTTACCAATACAACGGATCAAGCTATCTGTGCTTTTAAAATCAAAGAAAACTTCAGTTTTTTTTCAACCTAACCAATATTAACTTGGCAAATAAAATCACTTTTCTAACATGATAAAACTAACCCCAAGTGTGTCTCTGTGCTAATGCGATATGGCAATCTGTACTTACGTACGAAGTTCTACGTGGTAACTGCCTGGCTGACTAACCGCATGTGAGAACAATAAGAATACCGAAACATGTATATGAAATGTTAGCAATCATTTCAACTGTTCGCTATAATAAACAGATTTAGGAAAATACCTTATTTTTCTTTTCATTAAAACCATACTTAAATGTATTTAGTAATAAAACTGGTAAGTTAATTCCTTTATTATTATTGTGAATTGTTACAATTACTGATTATTGTCACAATTATTAATATTATGTTTATCACATGTTATGTGTAAATTGTTCTTAGTTTAACAGAATTTTTGATTATGAATAAAGTCATAATCATAAGGTTAATAATAATTGTTATATAACTTATTTATTTACAGAACTACTACATGTTCAATGTCTACAAAAAAAACTGTATAGCAACAATTTTAGTAGTTAATAGTAAGAATAACAAAACGTTGCAAATCATTACTACATGTATATTCGGCACGATGGCACTGCTGTGTGCTGTGTGTTGCTGACAGAGTGATTTATTCAAAGGTACAGAAGAAACATTGAAAGACAGTGTGAATATGAAGGAAAGCGAAATAGTGTAGATGTGAAACTGTGCACTGGATTTAGGATTGGCGCCACACATTGTAGTCCCTAAAAGTAGCTGCTACCTTAACGTGGCGGTCAAGTTAACCTATCATGATGATGACTCAGTCGAGCTATATCCATCGGAACACATATTCCCTCAGGTCCTGACAGGCCAGGCAGGTCAACTGGAGAACATTAAGAATAAAAGCAGCAACTGAAGGTTGAATGTGAAATCCTAATACTGAGTTAGAGGGGTGCAACAGCAGTAAGTTTCTTCCTTCGAAAAACCAGCACCTGCAGCGATGCTGCTTCCTCCAAAACAGGGCAAGGAGCTAGAATAGGTCTACTCTAGAAATATAACATCTTACCTTACCCCGCGAATTTTCGTCTCTGGCAGTTATGCCTTTTGAAGAGCGAAGCTTACACATCAAAAACTTCCATAAGACGACCGTGTACGGTATTCCCCTGGGCTTTGTGGTCATGCTATCAGGTCACTAAGAGCAATAATAACCCAGCTTTCTTTTCAGATCCCGAAAGAGACCCCCACAATGTAGATAGCCGGGAAGTGGCAACCGTCCTCATACGCGTAACAGCACATCAGATCAGCTTGTTCGCGTTCAAATCCCCTTCCCACCTCTTAACATCGCATATCTTTATCACACTGCACTTCAAATACTGTAATAATTATTGTCGATTAACGTGCTTTAACTGAAACCCATTATATGATTTTTCTACGAATTTGTTGACCTAGTTTATTTTGTTATATTTTCCTCTAATGATGAAATAAATTTTAAACTTATTTGACCTAACGCATTCGGTTATTTCTAACTTGATTTCATAACTGTCTCTCAGAAATGTTACTTAAATCTTATTTTTATAGGTAAAGCTTTAATATCACGCAAGGAAACATGATCTTAAGGTTGTAAATCAAGTTAATTCGCTGAAAATCAAGTGAATTCATGTGGATAATATTGTGCTGATGATCACGTTACAAAAGCTCTATGTAATACAAAATTAGCTCTAAAAATCAATAAATTGTCTCTTTCTCAGCTTGGTGTAGTGCAAGCACACTGAGTAGTAAACGTTTACTGGCAACTACGTTTCGTGTTTTTCTGACATAGGTCAACTGTTTAACTGTTCCATCATCAATTCTTACTCAGTGGTGGTACATGCCCTGCCGTTGAATTACACAAATCATTCCACTACACCTTCGTGATCGTATGGAAATCGAGTTTACATGTCTTGTAAATTGTGGGAAATTCTTGTCAACAGAAGCCCAGAATAATAAAATTCATAATTTTCAATCTAGGGTACTGCAAACTCTTGAACATTTAATACTTTTTGTGTCCTAAATATACAGCCTTTCACAGCGTTCACTTACGCAAATATTTCTAAACAAACTAACCGAAAAGTCATCAAATATATATTAGGATTAAGTGATATATTCTCATTAATCTTTAAAATATCAGAAATGCTGAAATAACTGATGCCTGATTCAGTATGCATAGAATGTGTTACGTATTGTCTACAAAATAAATTTCTATGGAAAATTATCGTTCACTTAAAACAGTAAAAAGCAATATATTTTTAACAGCTCATCTTTTGTAAAAAAAAAAAGCTGTCTAATGTAACACGCTAGAACATCTACAAAGTTAACTGCACTCCAATTTCTACATTTAAAAGAATTAACAACCTTATCTTTCTTTTATAAATCTATCTGAGCATATTGTTGAAGTATCGCGTTTCTAAAAGATAATTAAAAGCAAAGCACGTTTTAGGCCACTAAATATTACATTACACATTTCTATAATATGGATAATTGATATTCCATTCACAATTAAAATACTTTTGTGAGATAAAACAACATTTGATGTTGATACGAATAAAAAATAACTGAGGTATTTCGTTGACACTGATTGCAAACATATAGTTCACTTGATCTCCTTGAAACTAGTAAGAGTGAAATAACATACATTCATGTCAAGCACAGTTTGGTATTGTCTAGCATTGTAATCTAGGATGTATATTGTTTCCTATTTAAAATTCAGTGGTCGTATATTCCTGAACTCGTGTTGATGTTTACGCCAGGACTCAAACCAAGGACCTTTCGCTTCTGACACCGTATATTTCATCTACTTAGCTACTAAGTTGAAACAATGACTATAAATGAATTCATGTTATTCCAGTCCGTTTTTCCAAACTGCTGACAACTAACCTATCATATTTTAAAATCGAAATCAACTAGTGAAAATGACTAGAAGTGAATGAGTATGTATTATCATGGTTGAGTAAAGAAAGAAATAAAGTTAATAAGAGTTTGAAAATTTTGCTATTAAGCATAATCATTTGATCACATAATGAAACACAAGTTAATGATAGTTGAGAATTATGTGTATTGATATCAGTCAGTAAGTATCTGATTATCAGTTACAAAAAATTAAAAATAATCCAATCACAATAAAAGAACGGTTTCAAAAAGCAGCTGTTCAATAGAATGAAGCAAACTCGACTATGGTAATAAAAGATTTGTTACTTAGATTTTGAATATTTATTTCAGGTTTGAAGTGTTGTTAAGGTCCCTGTTGTGAAAAAAGATGTCCTGAAATAGTACCAGTAAAATTTAGTAATCTATTGGACCTAAAATGTTTCAGAATGTATTTTTGAAACGAAGGTGGGATCTTCTTTCAATTCTCCCAGAGTGTCTGCTGTGATAGATGCATTTAAAAAACCATGTATGCGCGACCAGGAACAACGTGAAAGAGATACCTATCACTAGTTGATTTCTCTAATGACCAAGTTTGTACGAAATCGTAAGTTTGACAGCAGGATGCGTTCTGGTTATTATAGTTTTCATTCTCTTTTGGTTTTCCTTGTATAGTTGTAACTCTGGAATGAATGACAGTGGATGTCTTAGTTTATTGAAGTTTAATTAGGCTTCTCTGGTTTGTTTTTGATTTCTGTTGATACTCTTTGCTGTATAAACAACTTTTAAAGTTGACTAATTCTGCTTCAAGTCTAGCAATATAATATACAAATTCTGTTCTGTGAAATAACATTTCAAACAGTTTTTTGTATCTGTACTGTACCAATATTTAAACAAAATCCATGTAACGTGTCATTCTGATTAACGGAAAGTTGAATTGTACTATTTCTCCCTTCTGTTGTGTAGCGGAAATGGAACTTATTTACTCTTCTTATTTTATAATAGATTGTATCGATTACATTCAATAATGCATCATTAACATGCCTCGATTACCACTTTATTCCATCTATTATTGATTCAAACTTCTTTTTTTCATGATAAGCGGTAAAAAATATTTTGTAGAAAAGAACCTAATGAACTTCATGTTACGATAACATCAATTCAACAGTGTTATCAGACTGAAAAAGAATATCTTTCATATACATAAATAGGAAACCAACAGAAGTTTGATGATGC